GCATTCGCCCGGATTGCGAAGGGTGCGGGTTCGAGTCCCGTCTGCTGCCTGGTCCGCGTGGAATTTTTTCTAGTTATATTTTCTTTAGATTTAAACATCAAGCAGTTACATGCTTTAAAAATAATAAAAATTATAACTATAATTGCTATTTCTTCTTTCAAATGTTTAATACTTGTAAAAGTATTCATCTGACATTGTGGGTTTACCTATAATGCGAAGAGATGGCGCTGCCTTGCAGCTTAAGAATAGCTAGAAAGGAATTTCGACGCGGTCCGTGAGGGCCGCGGTAGCATAATTGGTCAGTGCATTCGCCCGGATTGCGAAGGGTGCGGGTTCGAGTCCCGTCTGCTGCCTGTTCCGCGTGGAATTTTTTCTAGTTATATTTTCTTTAGATTTAAACATCAAGCAGTTACATGCTTTAAAAATAATAAAAATTATAACTATAATTGCTATTTCTTCTTTCAAATGTTTAATACTTGTAAAAGTATTCATCTGACATTGTGGGTTTACCTATAATGCGAAGAGATGGCGCTGCCTTGCAGCTTAAGAATAGCTAGAAAGGAATTTCGACGCGGTCCGTGAGGGCCGCGGTAGCATAATTGGTCAGTGCATTCGCCCGGATTGCGAAGGGTGCGGGTTCGAGTCCCGTCTACTGCCTGGTCCGCGTGGAATTTTTTCTAGTTATATTTTCTTTAGATTTAAACATCAAGCAGTTACATGCTTTAAAAATAATAAAAATTATAACATTAATAATATTTTAGGAAACGCGCGATTTAAAGAAGCATTTGCATATATGGACGATGTGATAATCCCCTCGAAAACTCTTGATGACGGTTTTTTAAAACTGCGTGAGACGTTGGCTTTATTTCGACAGGCAGGATTAACACTTAAACTATCTAAATGTAACTTCTTTAAAGAATCTGTTGAATATCTTGGGTTTGAAATTAATGAGCATGGTGTAAGACCAGGCTTAAGAAAAATTGAGGCAGTTAATCTATTTCCAGAGCCTAAAGACCCGCATAATGTTAGACAATTTCTTGGGCTTGCTAGTTTTTTTAGAAAGTTCATTACGAACTTTTCAAATATTGCGAGACCTCTCACGCAACTTTTGAAAAAGGATGTTGGGTGGCACTGGGGCACTGCTGAGCATGCATCCTTTTTGACATTGAAAGATGAACTAATCAAAAGACCAATTCTTGCATTTTTCAATCCATCATACGAAACGCAATTGCACACTGACGCTTCCAAAATAGGATTAGCCGGAATTCTCCTCCAAAGGGCGAATAAAGAATTCCCCTTTTCTGCCGTGGCATATTATAGTAGACAGACCACACCGGAAGAAAGTAGATTCACCTCGTATGATTTAGAAACATTAGCTTTAGTTACATCACTACAACGCTTTAGAGTTTACTTATTAGGTATCAATTTTACAGTAGTAACAGATTGTAACTCCTTACGAGCCACTCTTGAAAAAAGAGATATGTTGCCAAGGGTTGCTCGATGGTGGAACATAATGCAAGAGTACGATTTCAGTATTGTGTACAGGCCAGGATGCTCAATGAGCCATGTAGACGCTTTAAGTCGTAATCCAGTAGACTCAGAAAAGGGATCTTTAAACGTTAGAACTGTTGATAGCGAGTGGATTGTGACTGTCCAAAGGAGTGATGATGAGCTGCAAAAGATATGTAACATATTAAATGACACTAATACAGAAAACGTAGTTGAAATTAAAAACAATTATTTAGTCAAAAGGGGACTTTTGTACAGAAAAACACAAGAAGGTGATCGCTGGGTCGTGCCAAAGGGAGTTAGGTGGCAAATACTTAAGGCTAATCATGATGACATCGGTCATTTTGGTTTTGATAAAACATACGATAAAATAAAAAGTCAATATTGGTTTCCTAAGATGCGCAAATTTATAAAAAAGTATGTAGAGTCTTGTCTGGAATGCGCTCACACTAAAGTACCGTCAGGCAAAAAGTCTGGGGAATTGCATCCTATACATAAAGTAGACGTTCCCTTTGATACCCTCCATATTGACCATTTAGGTCCTTTTGTTAGAAGTAAGAAAAACAACTCGTACATACTCTTGATTATAGACGCCTTTACTAAATTTATTGTTTTAATGCCAGTTAAAAGTACCAAGAGTGTTCATTCAGTAAGAGCAATAAAACACTATTTTCATACATTTAGTGTGCCAAAACGGTTGATATCAGATAGAGGAACATCTTTTACATCAAAACGGTTTAAAGATTATTTAAGTTCTCTGAAACTTTAACAAGCCTGAAAATTTGTAGGATGAATGCATTACTGAAATTCAGTGGGGTTTAAATAACACATTTAATAAAGGTACTAATAAAACTCCCGCAGAAGCTTTATTTGGTATTAGAACGATTGGCACTCCCGATGCAATGATCCACCTTAACATTTCTAATGAATCTGTAAATACTAACACCAATTTAGATTCTGTTAGGAGCGAAATTACTTCACACATAGAACAAGCCCAAGCTAAACAGAAGGATCGTTTTGACCAACGTAGGAAGAAGGTAACTTTTAATATCGGTGATTTGGTACGGATTGAAAGAGAGGTTCCTTCTACTGGAAAAAGTAAGAAACTCGTTCCTAAACTTCGTGGCCCATATCGCATTAGTAAGGTTTTAGACAATGACAGGTATCTTATAGAAGACACACCGTTATCACGCAAAGGTAACCGACCATTTAGTGGAGTATTTGCTGTGGATAAAATTCATCCTTGGCTGGTTTATAGTAGAAGCAATGATAGCACTGATTCAGATAGTGAGGAAGATTAGCATGTCAATCAATGACCGTATTATTAATTATGTTTACATTAAGTATAGCCATCGTGTCTTATAGCATAAATACTTTGAGTTTAATAAGAACATATTAATATAATTATAGACAAGTATTAAAATACATTCAATCGTTTGTTCTTGTGATTGTTTTAAATGGTAAATTGATATCATAATTCATAAATTGTGTCCTTGTGTCGATAGAGCGACTAGTGTGGTGAGAATGTTTTTGCAAAGTAAATAAATAAATATTGTGAGAATTTAAATAATATTTAATACTGTTGGGATTGTTGTGGATTTATAGAGGTCACGAGATTCCTCAGTTTTTCATAAATAAATTCTTATGGATATGTAGAGGCCATGGGAACTTTAATAAGTCGTAAGGGATTCATATGGATATAATAGAGGCCATAGAATTCCTAATTTATAAAATAAATTCTTATGGATATGTAGAGGCCATGGGAATTGAAGTATGTTATAAGTGGATTCTTATGGATATGTAGAGGCCATGGGAATTTAAGAACGTCATAAGTGGATTCTTTCTTATGGATACGTAGAGGCCATAGGATTCTTATTATATTACTGTGTGAATTATTGTGAATGTACTAAAATGTTTATTAAAATGAGGATACATAATGTCTGATTTGTTATATCACATGGGTATTATTGTACAATATATATAAAACATTTAATTTAATTGTTATGTGAATTTTTGGTATTATATGACGATATTTTTTATTTGCGTTAATTAGATTTTCTAATGATCAATGTAAAACAAAAGGTAGAATAATACTTTATAATTAAAATTCACGAGACGTGAATAAATGTCAGGAAAGGCCGACTGTTAGCAATCGATGTAAATATTTCTGTCAATTAATGTAATTGGGTAGTATGAACTTAGCTGTAAGTTGCTTATTTGACTTTATCCGGTCGCGCGACTTGCCGTTGCCGCGCGGTTGAAATAATGTACCATTGCTGATTTGACAAGAGAGTGAAAACTATAAAACAACTGGCAAGTCACGCGGTCGGTCATTCGATTCAAGTTCTTGGCGTGGAAAAGTCGCTTAGAAAATAGTGTACCAAGTGAAGTGTAGAATAAAAGTGAATTGTGCAAGAATAGTATTTTATTTAGATTGCTTTCACCAGTACCTTATCTTCACTCATAGGAACAATAGGGATGATGACAATTTTTTTTTCTTCGTTTATCAGGTAGATTATCAAAAAATATTGGACACGTATTTTTTCTTTTTTCACATAATTTAAACATTGCAGAGATATATTGATTTGAAAAGTCGCATGACGTCACGTTTTGGTACAATTTTCACTTAAAAGTGACGTCACGAGCCCCTACTCCCAAACTTTGACGCGCTATATCTTTGTCATTTTTTGGTTGATTGCCCAAAGAAAAAATACATGTCCATTATTTTTTGATCATCTAACTGACGGACTAAATAGAATTTCGTTAACTGTACCCCGTCATTACCCCTATTGTAATTGAATAAAATAGCTAGGTAACAAAGAAGTATTTAACGACACTTTTCTGAAATCGAGCAAACAAACAACACGATCAACAGAAAATTGTATGGAAAGCGCGGGAAAATAATTTCAAATATATACGTGCGTCTTTTTTTTCACATTGAGCCTAATACCATAAGCCTGTTTTAATAAACTTTTTTATTAAAAGTACTTTAATCTAATAGGGTATTTGACAGAATTAAAAATAAAGTGCCAATTGTGAGCATCTGTGTTTAGAATGAATATTGGCAGGGGTTTTTACTATTTTTACAAAAAAAAATATTCATAATTTTACTAAAAACCCACGAAAAAGATAATAGTTTTCTTATCTATTGTCACGTGGCCCAAAACGCTTGGGATTGGCGGAGCCTAAAATGACGTCACACGCAAGTAAACTTCCGGTTAAAGTGAAAGTTTTAATTACAGTCGTGTGGCGTCACACGCCATATTGTCCAGAAAAACGTTATCGCGGCAACTTGAAAATGGAGTTTTTGATTTGGGTATTTTTACTGAAATACACAACAGAATGATGAATATCCACTTTTTAGACGTATAACATTAGTCCCTAAACATTAGTCAATAACGTGAGATCGTATTCTAAAACTTGTCAAATACCCTATTGTCTATCGTCTACGCAGGCCTTAAACGATATTGAATTTAAAAAAAAATACTTACCGCCGCGCGGTCCCGGGTTCGCAGACGTGGTGGGCTCTTCTGTATCATTCACAATTACTTCTATTGGTGACACTCCTAAATATACAATAAATATTATAAATAAAAGAGCTATTAAAAAATTACTAGAATAAAAACAAAAAAGTCCAGGCGTCAGACGGGATTCGAACCTGCACCGTCCGCTATCCGGGAGGACGGATTCACCAATGGAGAAGGAAACTACTAATTTATTCCGCCAGAGGCGCAGGTATCGAATGGACCACAACAACAAACCGTGACTAAGCTGTCAAAGTCGCAAGGAAAACCGACAAATTCCGATAGACTTGGGCTGTGTTCCAAACAGGGCTTGAAACCGGTTTCAAAGATACCGGTAAACAAAGGTTAATACCGGTTTTTAGTAAAGGTACCTAAAACCTTAATAAACCGGTTTAATCCAGAGCGACACGTGCACGCGTCGGCATCGCTTGAAGTTTGTTTTGTTTGAACTAATCAAGTTACAACTTGTTAATGCTCAGAGATTGATGCATTTATTGACACGTTTGCTAGCATCTAGTGAGTCAAGTTATTCATTTTGTAGTTGTGTATTTATTTCAGCCGTCAGTAAGAGCGAAATGAAACCCTTTAAAAACCGCTAAATTGATTCAAAACCTATTTGATTTCGCTTTTTAGGAAAACCGGTTTTATTAAGGTTAAGGTAGAGCCAAACCTAAATAAAACGCTCCTAATGTACTTGACACTGATTTAGGTGCGAAAATTAACCGGTAAACAAGCCCTGGTTCCAAACTACGCTCCAGGTGCAAAGAATTTCAAATTTGACACAAGTTTCATCACACTAATATTATAAAGCCGAAACTTTGTGAGTGTGTGAGTGTTTATGTTTGTTACTTCTTCACGTCTGAACGGCGGGAGCGATTTTAGTAAAATTTGGCAACCAGTTAGCTGACACCCTGGATTGGACATTGGCTATATTTTACTGCGGGAATATATACCTAATAAATCGCGGGTCACACCGCGGGGCACAGCTAATACAGTATATGTCACAATTTAAATGTGCGGGTAAAAAGTTGCACTCAGAGTGAGGTTAAGCGCAGCCTTGAAGTGGCAGGTTGCTTGTTATGGGTCAAACTGGTAAAGCGCCATCTGTAATAAGCTTTACATTTTCTTTCCCATTATGATACCATCATCATCATCATCAGCCTATTAATGTCCCCACTGCTGGGACACAGGCCTTCCCTATATATGGATGGAATAGAGAGATTAGGTCGTGACCCAGTACGCGGGCCCAGTGCGGATTGGTGGGTACTGACGACTGCAGTTGCAGCCGGCACCAACGGCTAAACGTGCCTTTCGAAGCACGGAGGAGTGAGAAATAGAAAATTTTTGGTCACCCATCCTATGACCGACCATTGCAAAAGTTGCTTAACTTCAACGGTCGCAGCCGAACGCGCTAACCATTTGCGTTTGCACCATGGAGCTACTCACGCTACCAAGACCTCAATTACCTTTCGAATCCTATCTGATGCCTGGACAGTGTTTTAGTACCTAGTAGTCTAGTAGTTTAGTTAATATTTTGTTTAGATACACCACAAATATGTGTGCAGAAGAGACCCAATGAAAGTACAGCAGGACCTCGTTAATCCGAGCTCCGTAAATTTACCCCCCGTTCGGATTATAGAACTACAGAGAATTTAAAGGGTGTTTTTTTATAAAAAAAAACTAATACTATTGTGGGTAACCCACAATATTTTTTTCTAGCTATATTTTATATGCTTAAAAAATAAAAATTATAACAGTTTTAATTATTTATTGCAATAAAGGAATGTTTTCGTTCAATAAAATTTGCCGTCATCAATATTAAGGGTACTTTACCTACAACCACGGTCTTTTTTTTTCTTTGCATCCTTAGATTAAAACAAAAAAGGGAAGATACGGTACGCTCATACTAGCATCAAATAAAATATGATCCGACTCAACTACATAAGCAACTCTCACACACGCACGCGTCTGTATATAAACATTCAATCGAGTCGAACTGTACGCTTCAACGCAGCGCGAGCGAAACGGCGAGTCCGCTTCCGAGTCCACATGGATGAGCTGTATTGTTGTCCTTTGCTTGATAACAAAATGGCGATTACGTTAATAACATTGACAACAAATCGTGATTTTTGACAAAAAAATGTTTTAACAGTTTTACGATTGAAAAGTGTTGCCAGGCATTTGTTATTTAATTTTTTTAATTAAACAGGTGAATATTAAAGTCCCTTATCGAATACCTAGACATCCGATGTCAAATATACGTCAGTATACGTGTTTTTATGATGGTGGATATATTTTTTGTTTGTTGAATCTGTCATTGTAGTTTATTTGTATTTATGTGAATGCTGTATTCACCTATTACAAAGACTATCTTTTTTGGTATTTATATATTTTTTTAAATTGTATGGTATTTATATATTTTTTCAAATTGTAACGTAAAATTATATGTTGTTGGTAAATCTTTGTCAATAAAATAAAATTAAATAAATAAAATAATTTTGAACTATTTGTGTTCTTCATAACAGCATCCAAAGTTTTGTTTTATCTTTATAACACAGAATATACGCAATATTGTTATATTGAGTGCACATGCAGCGTGTTTGAATGTCCAATTGTGACTAAAGCGAATAGGGTATTTGACAAGTTTTAGAAAACTATCTCACGTTATTGACTAATGTTTATGGAGTCCGTAAAAAGTGGATATTCATCATTCTGTTGTGTATTTCAGTAAAAATAACCAAATCAAAAACTCCAATTCCACATTGCCGCCAAAACGTTTCTCTGGACAATATGGCGTCTTACTAGTGTGTGACGTCGCACGACTGTTATTAAAACGTCAAACGATACAATGTAATGTCACTTTAACCGGAAGTTTACTTGCGTGTGACGTCATTTTAGGCTCCGCCAATCCCAAGCGTTTTGGGTCACGTGACAATAGATAAGAAAACTATTATCTTTTTCGTGGGGTTTTAGTAAAGTTATGAATATTATTTTTGTAAAAATAGTAAAAACCCCTGTCAATATTCATTCTAAACACAGATGCTAACAATTGGCACTTTATTTTTAATACTGTCAAATACCCTATTGCGGTCATGCAACACAATTTTTAATCTGATCAATTTTGAGCCGCGAGTGCTGTATCTTCCCTTTTTGTTTCAATCTAAGTTTCCATCGTATACACGTCCCTAAGCAATGTATATGTGTGTGTGTGTTTGTGTGTAAAGTAGGTACATACGTGATCTTGTGACGTAGGGCAGAACGATGACGACCACAACGATGGCCACAGCGAGGGCCAGCGTCACCAGAGCTCCCACCAAATACTCCGCGTACGATATCGTGGCCACTATGCGGAACCTGACCCAATATACATTAATAATTATATTATATGTTTCTTAGGTTTTCACGCACATCACTCATTAAATAAAACTAGTTACGTCGTCAGAATTCTGACGACGTGGTGTATCTAGACCACGTGCGCGTGGCTACGTCGTCAGAATTCTGACGACGTAGCCTGTAAAGTCGACGAAACGTCAATAAATAAATAAAGTTTCGTGCATTAACCCGTAAAAACTATGACGACGTAACCTGTAAAGGCTACGAAACGTCAATAAATAAATAAAGTTTCGTGCATTAACCCGAAAAAACTAGTTTTATTTAATTATATTATAATTTTATTTTAAGCATTGAATTCAACGATACTAAATACCCTAAATACACCAACACGAACAAAATCGTGCCCAAAACCTGTCCAAAAGGTACATTGAACGATCCACGGAGCTCCGTAAGATGATCGCGTTGTCAAAAACAATATAAGCATTGTTTAAACATTGAAAGTCACCTTTAAAGCTTACTATATAAGGTCTTAATTAAAACGCACGCATCAAAGAGTTATGACAGTTCGAAATGCAAGCTCGTTAAATTTTACGACTTATTGCTATATGCGGAAGAATATAGACCTTATTTCTTTGACTCTACGCACAATTCTGAATGCGTTGTAAGCAATATAGCTGATACGGACCGCGAGGAAAAGATACGGCTATATAACCGACCATGCATGTGACTATCACAAATATTTTTTATTAAATCAGTTTATAGTAAGTATTAAAACAACTTTTATTTCAAATGCGTTAAATTAATAAACATTGATTAGATACCTGTCGAAAAAACGACATTTTACCTTCTATAAGTATTTTTTTCGCCTGTTTTCACGGAGCTCAGCGGCATGTTGACTTTTCAACGGTCCGCGCGTGACTGTGAATCAAGAAGTGCTTGAGTGGTGTTCAAGCACTTATTGATAGGGACATATTTTGAGCGCACGTGGTCTAGATACACCACGTATTTAATATCGTTGATTGAATTGCTAAAAGTACGGTCGCCGGGCAGTAATAATTTCGTACAATGACCCCACGCTACCCATCGTTATCGCTCGCGCGCACTTGTGTTGCTCTCTCGCTCGCACACGTACCGTGTGTGTGAGCGAGACAATAACATAATTGCCCGCGAGCGATAAGGATGGGTAGCGTGGGGTCATTGTAAGAAATTATTACTGCCCAGCGACCGTTCTTTACATGTATAAGGTTAAAGAACTTTTACAAGAAAACATTCCACGCGGCCAGACAGCAGACGGGACTCGAACCCGCACTCTTCGCTATCCGGGCGGATGCACTGACTAGACCAATATGTTACCGCGACCTGAATGACCGTGTCGAATTTTCTCTAGTATTTCTTATGCGGCAAAGCAGCGCCATCTCTTCGCATTTAAATTTTCTTTAGATATCATCTAGTAGTTAAATGCCATAAACTACAATTGCTATTTTTTTCTTTCAAACGTTTAATACTTGTAATGGTATTCATTTGACATTGTGAGTTCTTCAATGCGAAGAGATGGTGCTGCTTTGCAGCTTAAGAAAGGCTAGAAAGAATTCGACATGGCCGTCAGGGCCGCGGTAGCATAATGGTCAGTGCATTCGCCCGGGTAGCGAAGCCCGTCTGCTGCCTGGTCCGCGTGTTTTTTTTTCTAGTAAACTTTTGTTTAGATTAAACATCGAGCAGTTAAATGCTTTAAAATAAAAATGATCACTATAATTTTAGAAGTTTTTTCAGGAAAATTTGCACTATGGTAAAAATTGAACAGAAATCGAAGGTCTCCTTTTTATAGAATTACTAGTTGACCCAGCGAACTTCGTACCGCCATAAAAATAAGGGCAGGTGGTAGAAGAGAAATTTTAGGGTAGTATGTATTTTTTAAAACCACATTATAAAAAAAAAGTCCAAAAAAAAATGGTTGCCTGTAAAGTCGGTTTTACGGGCGAAGATTTTACGTGACAACGTCTTTTTCTCGGTAGAATATTTATTGATATGAATATAATTAAATTGCACAATAGGAACAAGGAATTGAATGAAAATAAGAATTGCACAAATTTTAACTATAGAAATATATTTTGTTTACTAAAACATTGTACATGTAAACTTAAACTCATCGTAACGTTACCGAGCGTTACACTTTTTCATAAGTGACTCCCAGCCGCAACCTAATTTAAGACGTTGTCACGTCAAAAATTTTTAGGGGTGTGTAACGTAGTGTTCTATCAATTTCCTGGGATAACATTCCTCCTAACCCATATGAGAGCACTACGTTACAATACCCAATATTTGAATTTTGGCGCGAAGGCGCATTGTAGGTTTCAGAACACTACGCTACAGGTGGACAACCATTATCACTTAAGGATAGGAACCGAATCTCAGACCCACGGAATCTAATATATAAAATTCTCGTGTCGCGGTGTTTGTGGTTAAACTCCGAAACGGCTTTCCCGATTCTCATGAAATTTTGTGTGCATATTGGATAGGTCTGAGAATCGGACAGCATCTATTTTTCATCCCCCTAAATGTTAAGGGTAATACAGCATACAAAAATACATACAACCCTAAATTTTCACCCTTCTACCACCAACCCCTATTTTTTTATGGCGGTACCAAGTTCACTGGGACAGCTAGTATGCATATAAAATTTCATAAAAATCTGTCAGGCCGTTTCGGAGGAGTATGGTAACTAACATTGCGACACGAGAATTTTATATATAAGATGTTGTTCACATAGGATAATAGTCTTTATACGAATCGGTCGAAGCCGTCATACTCCCGCACTATGAGCTCATGGAAAACTAGCTCCTATATCAGGTACATTACGCACCTGAATCGCTTGAGCCTGTCGTTGAGCGCGGGCCGCGGGGCCGACGCCGGGGAGCCGGCGGTGCAGGCGTCGTCGTTCTCGCGAACTATGAACACTATGTAGAACCCGTGCGGGAACATGGATTGCTGCCGCAACGATAATATCATATATCAAATAATTGAGGAGCTCGATGGCGCAAGTGGTTAGCGCGTTCGGCTGCGATCGTTGAAGTTAAGCAACTTTCGCAGTGGTCGGTCATTGGATGGCTGACCAAAAATTTACTATCTCGAGCTCCTCCGTGCTTCGGAAGGCACGTTAAGCCGTTGGTCCCGGTTGCATCTGCAGTCGTTAGCACCCGCCAATCCGCAATGGGCCCGCGTGGTGGGTCATGGCCCAATCTCCCTATTCCATCCATAGGGAAGGTCTGTGCCCCAGCAGTGGGAACATTAATAGGCTGATGATGATCAAATAATTAAATATTTATCAAAACCATAACAAACATTATAGCTATTAACGGGATTGTTACCATTGTACCTTGTTTTTTTATGGGTCTCCGATATTTCGACACTGTTGCAAGCAGGGCTTGTTCACCGGTTAATTTTCAAACCTTAATCAGTATCAAGTACATTGGGAGTTTTTTTTTAGGTTTGGCTCTACCTTAACCTTAAAAAAACCGGTTTTCCTAAAAAGCGAAATCAAATAGGTTTTGAATCAATTTAGAGGTTTTTAAAGGATTTCATTTCGCTCTTACTGACGGCATCGCCTTTGGCGTTTCAATTCAAATCTATACTTATAATAAATCTGTAGAGAGGTCAATTCTGTACATGAAATATATTTTCAAAATAACTATCAGGGGTTATTAGTGATCGATACTGATGCCAAAAATGCAATCAGTAAAATTTTTGTCTGTCTGTCTGTCTGTGTGTATGTTCCTTATAGAAACAAAAACTACTCGACGGATTTTAACGAAACTTGGTACAATTATTCTTCATACTCCTGGGCAGGTTATAGTATACTTTTCATCATGCTACAGTCAATAGGAGCAGAGTAGTGAAGGGAAATGTTGGGAAAACGGGAGAAGTTACTCGATTTTTTTAGCTTCCGTTGCGTGTGCAGCCTTAATGGTTAAAGTTACATAGAAATCATGTATGACGGAAATATTCTACATAGAATTGTCTAAAAAATATCCCGCAATAGCATTTGTCTATCTTTTATGGTTGACTCACAATAACACGTGTAACTCCTGATAGCTTAGCAGTTCGGAGTATTCTTATTATATTTGTTTACTCTTACGTTTATAATACTCTCACTCATCCCTAATTTAAAAAAGTTAACATTATTACCTATTCAATAAAAAAAGAATCATAGAAATCGGTATAGAAACACCAAACTTATACATGAAATAAGACATCGCGCCGTCGCACGTGTATACTGAATCATGCTATAAGGATTATTTTTGTGTAACGGTTGCCGCGCTCGACACGGGTCGCGGCGGCGCCGGCGGTAGGTATAAGAAGAATGTCATTGTGTATAATACAGGCCTGAGAACAATAACTATGCTCTACACCGAAGCGAAGCGAAGGCGGGCCACTAGTTTATAATAATTTTATGTCAGTTTCTTTCCAACTACAGAGCGAGTGAGTGAAGTAGTGTGTTAGTACACAACTACAAAATGAATAACTTGACTCACGAGACGCTAGCAAATGTGTCAATTAATGCATCAATCTCTGAGCATTAACAAGGTATGACTTGATTAGTTCAAACAAAACAAACTTCAAACGATGCCGACGCGTGCACGTGTCGCTCTGAATTTAACCGGTTTATTTAGGTTTTAGGTACCACTTTCATTTCGGGCGCGCTCGGAACGAAACCTTTACTAAAAACCGGTATTAACCTTTATTTACCGGTATTTTCCAAACCGGTTACAAGCCCTGGTTGCAAGCGCCATGATCACGGGGTAACAGAAGTGATTGCGGTACATGTTATTGGCAGACATATCGGTCTACCCTCTGATGTCGTCTTTAACTGCGCTCGATACCCCTACCACTGGTCACATTCTCACTATTCACTCGCACCTATTCCCGATACACAATACTCACAGTATCAGATCGTGGAACGACATTTTTTGATTTTTGCGGTTTTTGCACATACCAAACATACACATAAAAAACAAGGTACATGGTAACAATCCCGTTAATAGCTATAATGTTAGTGACCAAGCAAGTTTAAAACAACATAGCAAAGATATTACAATGACAATAGTGATCGATAATAACTGCATTGGTTATGACAAAACAATTTTTGCTACAATATAAAATTATTGTCTTATGTCTTGTAATTATTGTCTATCTTAATCTTAATTTAATATTAAAACAGAAATTATATGCGTGTTTGTGTCTTATGTATGTGTGTGTGTGAGTGTGTGAGTGTATTGTGTGAGTGCGAGTCTGTGTGAGAGTATGTATAGCCCAAATTTACACTACATGATCAGGCCAAACTCAATAAAGTACTAAATAATTTCTCTGTATCCGAATATGTCAGGCTTTGAAGCCATTCCATAGTTTTTACCCTGCATTTTCTGAGAGTAAGAGGAAATATATTCACAACTCCGTTTACCTTGTTGTATAAAACAGAAGATATAAAGAAAATAACTAACTTTCCAACACATTTGCTCGAAAATAGACATTTACGGAGACTGTATACATTGTTCGAAAATTCAAAATTACGGGCCATACAACGGAGGGTGCGGTAAAACTTTTACCGCACGCTCCCACACATGGCACCGTGAGCATCCTTTAGGTACTTAAATACTATAAGGTGTACTTCTAATTTCCTGGAAATATATAATTAGACTGAAAATATATTTATAATTTTTATTATTTTTAAAGCATGTAACTGCTTGCTATTTTCTTTAGACTGAAAATATATATTGAACAGGAAATAAATCAGGTCGCTTGATTCCTCGGAATTCTGATTTGATTTTCTCAAAAAGCATAAATCTGAAAGCCCACTTAGTGTTATAAGTTTCAAGGTGTGTAGGAAAAATATATGTTTATGGTTGAGTAATAATTTTGAAAACACACGAAAAGATGGTTATTATATCAGCTTCAAAACTACGTAGGTAATAACTTTTTGCTCAATGTATAACTATATTAACCCATATATGGCCACACAAAATAAAATGATGTCTTCTTTCAGTAAAATATCCTATTTCCAATATTTAATATAGCTTCCCTCAGTGTGAGGTAGCCGTGGGACGACGATAAACCTCAATATCATTTTTGAAGACCTAACCATAGACACTCCACAAGTTTTTTTTTTTTATATGATTAGGTAGGCAAATGACTCTACCCCACCTGATGTTAAGTGGTGATAAAGTCCAAACGCGAAGATAGCTGGTACAGCTGGTATAGGTTTAATGAATTTTTTTTTAGTTTCAGTTCTTTAAGCATGGGAAACCCCATTATTGTTTTTTTTATTATTATTTTTGTGTGAAAATCTTAATGCGGTTCACAGAATCCATCTACTTTCCAACTTTCAATAGCATATTTCATATAGTTTCGGAAAAAAGTGGCTGTGACATATGGACGGACAGACAGACAGACATGACGAATCCATATGGGTTCCGTTTTTTGCCATTTGGCTACGGAACCCTAAAAAAGGTACTGTAACGTCCCTTACGTTACAGCCTCCTTGTTTGGGTAAACTCTTTGTTCATGCAATGCCTACGGCAGGCAGTTATATTAAAAAGTTAAAGTCATGATTTTAATATTTGAAATAAGGAATGGTCTGTCTTTTGATAGAAGGTTCCACATCATATGGACTTCAGGCACCAAACCTCTCGTAGATAGATAAAGTTCACATTTTATATTCGCCTGAAATCTAATAAAACCAATATAGTGTAAAACGGCCAGATTAGTGTACTTTAGTTATTTCCATAGTGTAATGTCGTACGGAATTTTATTGTGGGGAAATGCCGCCGACATTCAAACTATTTTTGTGCTGCAGAAGAGAGCTATTCGATCAATTTATAATCTTAAAGTTAAAGAATCATTAAGAGATAAGTTTAAAGAATTTGGAATAATGACGGTCGCATCACAATACATATACGAAAATTTATTACTTGTAAGAAAAAATATTAATTTGTTTCTTAAAAACAGTGATGTTCACACAATTAATACAAGAAACAAAAATAAACTAACTTTACCTGCTACTAGGCTTCACGAAATTAATAATTCATTTAAAGGTCTTTGTGTTCGCTTATACAATAAAGTCCCAAGCAATATCCAAGATTTGGCCATAAATAAATTTAAAGATATTATTAAAAAAACACTTATTAAAAAAGCTTATTACAAAGTGTCTGATTATATTACAGACAAAAATGCTTGGGTTTGAACTGTTCCAATCATTCCAACAGGTTTTCTATATTAAATAAATCATGATTGTATTGACGTTGTAACAACATAATGATTTGTAAATGTTGTTACATTAGACTTTTAATGTTGTGGAGTTTTTTTTCGCTCGTTTTTCTCCGCAGCTAAAAAATATGTCCAATAACGAGTGGTAGGGAAAAAAAATGTTTGGACGATTCAAAAGTGTTGTACTATTCATCCAATTTGAATAAAGATATATTGATTTCTGATTTGATAAAATCAAGTTTGTTTCTATAAATTGCTACGCTCCCAGGGCCTACCCCATCAGGGTAGATCGCCGCAGTACTTTTTGTAAATTGTGCTTGATTGATTGATGCTAGGTGGGCCGATAGATGAATCCGGAAAAATAGTTTTACATCTAGAAAAAATGAACTCACCGTGAGGGTGATGCCTCCTTTAGTGGTCATGGTGAGATGGTACCCCTGGTACAGCACATCCTCTTCGTTGTCGAACACTGGACACTGAGTGGTCATTCAAATCTTAATATAAAAAATATTTAAACAAAATATAAAACCGACATCAAAATTGAACTAAAATTGTGTGTGTCAGCTCCGACGGAACTAAAATTGTGTGTGTCAGCTCCGACGCACGACTGGAGTTTACTCCTTAAGTTCGATAGTCTAACCAGACGCAAAAAGAGTTTATTTAACTTAAAAAAGATTGATACTGTATGAAAGGGTAAATTAACAAATTAATGAAAATGATATACATATCTTTATATATATAATTCTTCTGTGAATGTGTATGTCACTGAACTTCTCTTAAACGACTGGACCGATTTTGATGAAATTTTTTGTGTGTGTTCAAGGGGATCTGAGAATGGTTTAGATTCACAATTTTGTCCGCTGGACAACCACTATTTTTTTTGGGCGGTACGAAGTTCGCTGGGTCAACTAGTATAAATATATATTTATTCATTTCATATACATTTATTATAACTAATCGACGAAATATATTACATTAAACTTTTTACAATAGTCAATTTCAGATGTGCATAAATAAAGGTACGCTACGATACTGTGCTACGGTGTAGCACTACGGCTGCTACAGCGTAGACAGTAAAAACGTAACGAGGTCATTCATCGATAGATTTCACTCCTCACATTTTTCTCATACCGGGCCCCTTATATATGCAAATCGATTCTTAAGGAGTAAACTGCAAAAAGTAGAAAATAATATCTGGTTCATGATTTGGAAGTGACATGATTGAAAGACGTGTTATTACCGATCAGAAACGAAAATCTTTTTAATGTTTTAATGTTGACCCGCCCGACTTCCAAATCATGAACCAGATATTATTTTCTACTTTTTAGTTCCATTTTCGATTTTGTAGTCGGTTTTTTTTTATTTCATCCATTTTATTACATCGTCCATGGAGGAGCTCGATGGCGCAAGTGGTTAGCGCGTTCGGCTGCGATCGTTGAACTTAAGCAACTTTCGCAGTGGTCGGTCATTGGATGGGTGACCAAAAATTACTATCTCGAGCTCCTCCGTGCTTCGGAAGGCACGTTAAGCCGTTGGTCCCGGCTGCATCTGCAGTCGTTAGCACTCACCAATCCGCACTGGGCCCGCGTGGTGGGTCATGGCCCAATCTCCCTATTCCATCCATAGGGAAGGCCTGTGCCCCAGCAGTGGGGACATTAATAGGCTGATGATGATGATGATGATGACATCGTCCATGTAAACAATAACACAATTGACGGAGCAATCGATGAACATGCATAAAAAAACATCGTGCGTGCCTTTGAAATTTGAAGGTTTCCCTCGATTTCCCCGGATTCCACCATCAGATCCTGACTTGGTTCCAATGGGACCATCTCGAAAGTGCACTCTTTCGAATAAAAAAATAATTTTGGACATCGGTCCACAAATGACCGAGAAATCCACAGAACGTCCCCCTTTTTTGAAGTTGGTTAATAAATTACAGGTCACTTTGTTTGTCCGGGATGGACTCCTAAACTACTGAACCGATTTTAATCAAATTTGCACACCGTGTGCAGTTTGATCCGACTTGAAAGATAGGATAGCTTACATCTCAATTTATAGTCGCAATATTATTTTATTGCAAATTATCACTTATGGGCGGTACGTCAGAGTCAGCTAGTATATATATAAACTGTAGAGTTTGATGGCGCATGTTAGCGCGTTCCGCCTGCGATCGTAGGATTTAAGCAACTGTCGCAATGGTCGGTCATTGGATGGGTGATCGAAAACTTATTATCTCTCCCTCCTCCGTGCTGCGGCCGGCACGTTAAGCCGTTGGTCCCGGCTGCATCTGCAGTCGTTAGCACCCACCAATCCGCACTGGGCCTGCGTGGTGGGTCACGGCACAATCTCCCTATTCCATCCATAGGGGGTATCTGTACCCCTACAGTGCCACTACCCAATCCCTTTTTGGCATGTGGATGTCAGACACTATCAATAGGTACTATTTAACATTTTATATTATATAAAAAAAACACAAATTCCTTTGCCTTCGCCTACATTGATGAAGATACTCTGTGTTTTGATAAGATAAACAATTATTTCATAGAATATCGTACACATAATATCGTCACATCTACGACAAACTTACGAATCTGCTTTTTAGTAAAAATCTATAAAAAAAACTGCACATAATGGGGTACTTAACACCAGGGAAAAGTCACACAATTTTATCAATGACGGTTCTAAAAGTCTGATTGTTTGAATCTGCATTTTATGTTTATACACCCAAAGTAAACTTACCAAATTAAAATACGATATTTTGGCGTAGTAGGTTTTATGAAATTCAAATTCGTAAGTGTACTATGGAAATGACGATATGATGACAATGATGTATTTTTTTTCTTCACATATTTTACCATGACCAATGGCATATAAATATTAAAAGATAAATAAATTAGGCTAATTTTATTATGCCATAATTATTAAAACTATAGCAATATTTATTTGTTTGGTGCACTCACCGAGTTGTTCTGTATGGAGATTGTTGCGCATATCTGGTCGTCTGACTCTATGATCAGGATCACGCTCTTGGGGATGGTGTAGTTGAACCTGGGGCGAACAACAATTATGTCCTATTCTGAAATTATCTATCGCTAACGACCTATATAAATTTGTCGGGTTATACTTCCGTAATATACAGGGTGTTACAAATAATGGTAATTGAAATCAGATGGTGAAGTCGGGTTATACTTCCGTAATATACAGGATGTTAAAAACAATGGTACAGTTAGTGAAATGGCATCAAGTAAACATGTACGTACGTATATTAATTGAACAAAGACTTTCGGAAATTTAAACAGCCGTCGACAACCTCCAGTGCAGAGAAAGAATTTTTAAAATGTCAACTTTATATACAATATTTTTGTATATAAAGTTATATAGTAGTTATAGTATCAGTTTGTGGTAAAAAAGGTAAATTTTACTAAAAAACATTCAACTCGTTCCCATTCAAGATATGAAGCGGAATTCGAATCCGCGTCTTTAACAATCCGAGGGTATACATTGACTACTATGCAAGAGAACTTAACGGACGTTGCAGAATTTATTTTTTAGTAAATACGTATATCATCAGAACAAGAAATATAGCATATTAGTAATGTAATGACGTTTGATCGTCTCATAGAGAAAAGATTTCCAAAGAAAGTATTACCCAACCAAAAAGTATTAGTGGCGTGTTGACAGGATACATTTGACATTAGATCGCTTCGTGATTCGGTATCTAAGGTATTCAATTTGACAATTGTATAGTGGAACGCACGCTGTTCATAGCAACATAAATTTGTCTTTTTTTGGTCTATATGTAAAAATAAGATAATAGGGATGATGGCTAATAAAATTTTTCTTCGTTCATCAAGTAGATTATCAAAAAGTATTGGACACGTATTTTTTCTTTTTTCACATAATATAAACATTGCAGAGACATATTGATTTGAAAAGTCTCATGACGTCACGTTTGAGTACACTTTCAAGTGAAAATTCACTAAAAAGTGACGTCACGAGCCCATACTCCCAAACTTTGACGCGCTATAACTTTGTCATTTTTTGGTTGATTGCCCAAAGAAAAATATGTGTCCATTATTTTTTGATCATCTAACTGACGGACTAAATAGAATTTCGTTTACTGTACCCCGTCATCACCCCTATAATATTAGTCGACTTTATGAGGTGATTTAAACTCTTGACATGCTTTAGTTCATGTTCTAAGCCTGCAAAGAATGATTGATTTCTTTCTGCAGGTTTATAATGCAAGCAGTTCAATTAAACTCTTAAAATAAAGATTAAACCAAAAGAAAATTTTACTAGAAAAAAAATCACGCGGACGGCAGCAGACGGGACTCGAACCTGCAACCCTTCGCTATGCGGGCGGATGCATTGACCATTAAGCTACCGCGACCCTGATGGCCGTGAAGTTTCTCTAGTGTTTCTTAAGCTGCAAGCCAGCGCCATCTCTTCGCATTGTAGATAACCACCACAATGTCAAATGAATACCTTTACAAGTATTAAACATTTAAAAGAAGAAATAGACACGCCGATCAGGGCCGCGGTAGCATAATGGTCAGTGCATACGCCCGGGTAGCGAAGCGTGCGGGTTCAAGTCCCGTCTGCTGCCTGGTTTGCGTGGATTTTTTTGTAGTAAAATTTTCTTAAGATATAAACATCTAGTAGATAAATGCTTAAAAAATTAAGGATATAACAAACTATAATATAATATTCACCTAGGCAAGTACCTCCACCCGCCCGGCACAGAGATGTTAGCGGGTGTGCTGTCGAACGAGAAGTAGTAGTATTTGGGCGTGCTCGGCTTCACTGTCAGGTTCAATTCCTGGCAGAGGCAGGGACGAGTTCAAATGTCATAAATAAAGCAATATTGTAATGGCCACACATTTACCCAGAGGCGGATTATCCTTTAGGCAAACTAGGCATGTGCCTAGGGGCGCGAGGGTACAAAGGCGCGCGCGGGCGGAATTGTAAATTAAAGAAAATAATAGCAAACCAGTGAACCAAATGTTCACAAAAAAAATGTATTTAATTAATTGAGAACTTCGGAGATTTTGTGTGGTTTCGTTTGAAATAGAAATCACGTTATTTCTCGAAAACCGGAAGTGCTACGTTACTCAAATCCGGTTTGTAGTCTTATCAGACTATTCTTAACTTATAACTTAAACATTCTCTTTATCTATCTCTTACAGTTTGGCCGCTGAAACAGCACCACGGACGGACGGACGGACGGACTTGTCTAATAGATAAGAGATATGTGATATTGCATTTAATTAATTGGGCCAGTAAGTGAGCCACCTACTTACAAAATAGAAAACTATTATTTTTGCTTACAACCTCAATTTGTTACAATTTATAACAAAAGATTTTAACGGACGGGACTGACTAATACTTACGGCTACAAACAACATTGTCGACGGACCATAATATGATCTCTGTTTAAAGTTGGTAAGATACGATTGTAAAGTTGATCGCATCGACCGAATCGGTTTCGGTCAAACTATAGTACGAGTAATTTTCAATATAGAGGCACAGATGAGATGATTCTGCATTTACCCTTTTTATTAATAAATGCAGAATAAGCTTGGAATACTTAATCCATATTTTGTCTCTGTTAGTTGAATGACAAATGGCATTTGAGTGACATGAACAAAACACGACGTAACTAAATCTAAAGAAAAGTTTTACTAGAAAAAAATCCACGCAGACCAGGCAGCGGACGGGACTCGAACCCGCATCCTTCGCTATCCGGGCGAATGCACTGACTGGGTTACCTACAATGCGAATAAATGGCGCTGCCTTGCAGCTTAAGGCTAGGAAAATTTCGACGCGGCTAATAGGGCCGTGGTAGCATAATGGTCAGTGCATTCGCCCGGATAGCGAAGGATGCGGGTTCGAGTCCCGTCCGCTGCCTGGTCCGCGTGGTTTTTTTTTTCTAGTAAAACTTTTCTTTAGATTTAAACATCTAACAGTTAAATGCTTAAAAAATAAATAAAATCATAACGACGTAACTAATCTAACCTTATTCTTTGTTTATTAATAAAGGCTTTAGACGTGCGTTAGATGAAATGATCACATATCGTTTTATTCGATTAACAATAATATTATTACTCATTGTTCCCAAACTTTCTGTGATTCCTTAACTTTTCAGAAAGGTAATACATTACACACTATTTCCTTTACTTCGCCCAATGATAAATACTTTTCAGCATTGTTTTATTAACAAACGCTCCACAGAATGTAATTTATGCGTGTTGACCTAAATTTTGACAGAGGGTATGGATAGCGGTTATCAAATTGATGGCGTGTATACCGACTATTCGAAAGCCTTCTACTAGCTACCCCATTATCAGCTAATTTCAAAGCTAGAAGCAGATGGTATTCATGGCGATCTTCCCCGATGGTTGGCGTCGTATCTGTGAGACCGTAGTCAGGCTGTGGCAATAAAGGGTTACTGTTCCACTTTTGTTCCCGTAACCTCAGGTGTGCCCCAGGGCTCTCACCTCGGTCCCGTTCTATTTAACCCTCTTATTAATGATACAAACAACTACATAAATAATTTTAACTTATTGCTGATATAAAATATGAAAATTATAAAGTTGATCAAATCCTAAAAAGATGGTAAATTGTTACAACAAGATTTGAACAACTTGAAAAACTATTGCAAGTATAACACATTTAACTTGAACACAGATAAATGTGCAGTAATAACTTTTACACGGAAAAAAAGCCAGGTGAATATATTACTATAAATTAACTAATACTGTTCTCACAAAAGCGACCGAGATGAGAGCATTGGAGTAATCATTAATGACCATTTTCTTTTCAGTAACCGTTCTTGTTTCGCTTCTATTTTAATAATACTGTATAATGCATTTGGGAGACCACACCTTCAATATGCCTCTTGTGTATGGAGTCCACAGTATGATACATACATTAATGCTATTGAAAGAATTCAACACAAATTTGTAAAGTGAATAAATGTTAACTTAATTATTAATGACTGTGAAACAAAGATACAGATTACATCCTTGCAACATCGCAGAACTGTTAGAGATCAATTATTTCTTTACAAACTTATTAATAACCTTGTAGATTCACCGTTCCTTTTGCAGAGGATTGGTTTCCGTTGTCCAAATAGAACTAGGTCTGACAACACGTTTAAAAAATAATTCAGCAGGACCAAGTTTGCTGCAAATAGTTTTATATCTAGAGTATGTCACAGCTATGATAAATACTTCAGAGGATTCGACATTTTTGCCTTTCTTACAATCAATTTAGAAATGTATGCTATAAGGTTGTTTACCCTAACACTCAGTAGTTTAATTATTATTCTTACCATAATTTTTAGCTAGCATCTCATGACACAAGGCTTACATTGAGGGTAGGTTAGTAATAATAATTAATTTCAGAATTACAATTCTATATCTATTAGTGACAAATATGACAATAATAAAAAATATTTTTTTATGTTTTTATTATTTACTTTGTATTAATGGTTTGTGTGAGTATGTTATACATGTTTATTTATTATTTACTAGTGGCTGTCCGCGACTTCGTCTGCTTGGAAATATTTGTTTCCCGCACCTAATCGATAATTTCTAGGATAAAAACTATTTCTATAGGTACCAAATTTCATCGAAAGAGAAGTGAAGTGAAGAGATAGACAGAAACACTTTCGCATTAACTATTTAAGTATAGACGGATGTGGATTGCGTTAGTACCAGGATAATAGAGTTTAGCAGGAGTTGACATCAATAGGGTGATTTAAGATAGCCACAATACCTTGTCGACTTGCACGAAGAAATCTGTGACTCGCCGCAGCTTCACGATGGCGGTGACGTTCTGTTTGCTGGATGTGCTCAGCTGAAGCGATGGCCGGTTGACCGACGTCACGTCTGACCCATAAACACCTCGCCTTTATTCCCCTATACTATGCCTCGACGCGCGAGGAGCTCGATGGCGCTAACAACCCGTTAGCGCGTTCGGCTGCGATCGTGAAGTTAAGCAATTTTCGCAGTGGTTGGTCATTGGATGGGTGACCAAAAATCTTCTATCTCGAGTTTCCTACGTGCTTCGGAAGGCATGTTAAACCGTTGGTCCCTGCTGCATCTGCAGTCTTCAGCACCCGCCAATCCGCACTGGGCCCGCGTGGTGGGTCACGGCCCAATTCCCTATTCCATCCATAGGGAAGGCCTGTGCCCCAGCAGTGGGGACACTAATAGGCTGATGATGATGTCTGGACGCGATCTTACAATAGGGGTGATGACGGGGTACAGTAAACGAAATTCTATTTAGTCCGTCAGTTAGATGATCAAAAAATAATGGACACGTATTTTTTCTTTGGGCAATCAACCAAAAAATGACAAAGTTATAGCGCGTCAAAGTTTGGGAGTAGGGGCTCGTGACGTCACTTTTGAGTGAATTTTCCCTTATAAGTGTACTCAAACGTGACGTCATGCGACTTTTCAAATCAATATATCTCTGCAATGTTTATATTATGTGAAAAAAGAAAAAACACGTGTCCAATACTTTTTGATAATCTACCTGATAAAGGAAGAAAAAAAAATAGTCATCATCCCTATTGTCTGTGCTTTGGTACTAAGGTTGGCTTCAAAGAAGATATGTATAACACAAAAGCCGACCTATAACAACAAGTAGACACCCAATCGCCTAAAAAAGTGCTTTAAAAAAACGTCCGAGCGGTGTTGTGATTGTAAATATATTATACCTACATCAACTCTAATATAGTAAGAGTCCGTGGTCACCATACTTTCGTTATTACATTCATTATAAAATCTGAAAATTTTTCAGCGCATACCTCGAGCACAGGTAAGATGGGGTCCTTTAAGAGGCGTGAAGAAGCATTCTTGCAGGCCGGCAAGGTGAGGATGGTTGGTGTGGCAGTTTATAACTGCTGTACCAGCTATCTTCGCGTTTGGACTTTATCAACACTTAACATCAGGTGGGGTACAGTCATATGTCTACTTGGATATAAAAAAATAAAATAAAAAAAAGGTAATTTTTAGATATATTTTTACTATAAATTATAATACTAGCGGCCCGCCCTCGCTTCGCTTCGGTGTAGAGCTAAAGTGTAGACTACAGTTTTTGTTCTCAGGCTTGTATTATACACAATGACATTCATCTATGATTCTTCTTATACCTGCATGCAAAGTCTCAGCCCGATCGGTTTAAAATTGACAAAGTTTCATACAAACTTTCATTCCCTATTTTATCCCCTTGGGGGTAGAATTGATCAAAATCCTTTCTTAGTGGATGCCTACGTCATAACATCTACCTGCATGCCAAATTTCAGCCCGATCCGTCCAGTGGTTTGGGCGGTGCGTTGATAGATCACTTTGTCAGTCAGTCACCTTTGAGTTTTATATATATAGAGGTAAGGTGTTCTCCCAATTGCCAAAACATTTGGACGGTTCCAACCCTTAGCTAGCCTAATTTAAATGTGCAAGCGCCCGCAGTACTCATCAGTAGGAGCGAGTGAGACAGCGAAACAAATATCCTCAGCTCACTGATCACTCTTTTAAATCTTTTAGAACCTACTTGCACTACAAATTGAAAGGAATATTGATTTTTGGATTGTATATAAGTGCTTATATAAATTACTCTGTTACCCTAGCATTCCATTAATCACGTGGGGCTCCAAGTTTTTACGGGTTAATGCACGAAACTTTATTTATTTATTGACGTTTCGAATAATTCTGTATAATATTCTTACGATTCAGACCTGAAAAGGCTGCGAAACGTCAATAAATAAATAAAGTTTCGTGCATTAACCCGTTAAAACTAATTTTGTTTTGTTTAGAAATATTTATTATTACGATGAGTGCATAACAAATTAATATTATTAGGAGTTAATGTAAATATATAACATAAATTGGGTGGAAACGAACATAATATTATCGTCTAGGCTCAGATTAAAGAACAAAAGGCAGATGGGGCGCACGGAACATGCAATTGCAGTCACCAAATCAAATATAAAGTCAAAAAAAAACTGTTTTGTCTTTCTGAACAGTTTTTACATTTTCAACACGGCGCGGCGGTACACAGTGGCGGCGCTAGGCGTCGGCGACGTCGGCCACCGCCGACGGCCTCGCGCCTGAGGGGGCCTCGCAAAAAAATTTTACTAGTTACCTATTTATTTTCGTTTCTCCTGGCCTGGCTTAGGTAGCCGACCTCGAACAATTCGGGGAAAAAGCTAAGCAGAAGATAATAACTTTAATATTATGATGCTCAATAAAAGTCTTTCGAAGGTAGCTCGACAAATTAAATAAAAGTTTGATTCTGACGACGTAGCCTGTAAAGGCTACGAAACGTCAATAAATAAATAAAGTTTCGTGCATTAACCCGTAAAAACTAGTTTTATTTAATGACTTTTATTATTTTCGAACACGTGCGTGATGGAAGCGAGTAGTACTTTGCGGGTATTCAGAATCGACTGTCTGGCAACACTATTTTTGTAATTTCTGTTTGTAATTATTTTTTGTCATCATTTGATTATCAACAATAAAACTCCTTTACTCATACGTTATTTTATAATTTGGCTCACTTAATTTAACGGTTTTTACTGCGAAGTAAAATAGGCCTCGCGAACTTGATGTCGCCGACGTCCACATGTGGTCTAGCCCCGCCACTGGCGGTACAGTTTTGATAATAACTTAATATTCACGGGTCGTATTTACAACACCACGCGTTGTAGCGCACAGACGCGAGTTTGTATTCGCTTTTGATTTCGTATTCGGTTTGGTGGCCGCACTTGCGTGTTCGATGCGTTCCATCGACTGCTTTTTGTTCTGTAATCTGAGCGTCTAGGTATATTTAAATAAAAAGCGCCACTCACTGGGTCCCGCGTCGTGCGGACACAGAGTCCTCGAGAGCTCATCGAAGGTCAGCACGCTAGTCTTGGTGGTCACCACCAGGGGCAGCTCCCACGAGGATATACCTGGTGGTAGACCAAGGCTATCAGTGATCAGATGTAGTTCAAAGTTTAACAATGTATCGTAGCTTCTAGACCCTGGGTTCCGAACCTGGGGGTAATTACCCCTCCGGGGGTAAATCACCCATTCTTCGGGGGTAACAAAGAACCTAATTAATTGGTCAAATCTAAATAATAAGAAAATACTATACCTATATAATAATACTACTAAACAGAGCATGCGCTCCTTCTTGCTAGCGAGCCCGCGGGGTGCGGGGTGTAGGAAGCGGGGCGAGATCTATTCCTGATGATGACATTATTGGAGACGAAGATGTAGCGGCCAAATTGGAATTTCTTGGACTGATGGTAACATTTTAAAGTCGGGGTAAAATCTGTTTTCCTAATAGGTTACAGGTACTGGAAAGGTTAGGAAACACTGTTCTAGACATTCATGAGTGCTTGTAACAGCCTAAATTGATTGAATGATTATGATTATTATTGATTTAAGCTTTCATAGTTACTACAATACAGTAATTTACATTATTTGCGGGATTGTTATCATGGTACCATGTGTAGCGGCCACATCTACATGCCCCACATATATACAACGGATGGAGGAAATCATTACTCACCATCCTCAAGAGATGGCGTTACCTGCACTGCGATCATAATAGTATGGAAGCCTACATCGCGCAAGATAAATTCGGGGGTAAACACTTAATATACACAATGGCCGACCAACGCAGTCGGGCCGCGGCCCCCGAGCTACCATCATCCAGCTCGGAGGAAGATCTTCCCCTTTGGCCTTCCTACACCTTGTTTTAAAGCAAGTTTCCAATATTCCGGCACTGTTGCAAGCGCCATGATCACAGAGTAACTCAGCGCATCAGCACCAGAATTTACATTATATCACGTTTTTATCGCGTCTAATTGTCAAGCTGAGCTTGACAATTCAGCGTGATAAAAACGTGATATAAAGCATATGGCCGTGCTCATGCTAGGGAGACAGAGAGAGATTCGAATCCTGTCTGATACCTAGACCGATCGGAAATTGTTTTAGTTTTTTCTTTAAATTCACTCTAGCAGTTCAATGATTAAATAATAATAATAAATTCTTTATTTATTTCTTCACATAAGAAACATTTACAATTAAGTGCTTAATTACAATATTTCATTACTTAATGTGAAGACTGGTGCTTGCAATAGGATAAACCTGTCTACAAGACGCCAGGCCTCCACTCCCAAAACTACATGAACAGAGCAAGCCGCCAGTACTATTTATGTGATTAATGATTTTTATTAATATGAGAAGTGCTTAAGAAACAAATAAAAACAAAATAAAAAAAAAAGTAATTGTGTGTGTGTGTGTGTGTGTGTGTGTGTGTGTGTGTGTGTGTGTGAGCGTATGCGCACGCGCACACAAAAACAATATAATATAATTCAGTTGAAATGAAAAGAAAAGAATGTTATTTCGTTAAAGAGTGTATTTATTCCTTCCTATTCCTTCTTCAAAGGCCGTCATCGCATTTGTGATCATCGAAAAATCTTGCTCGGCGCTCTCGGTTAATATTTTCACTTTCAGAGAAGGAGGCTAACTCGATCTACGAACGTGGAAGGTGTGTTATCTCTCAATCCTTCGTGCTCCGGAAGGCATATTAATCCATCGGTCCCGGCTGCATCTGCAGTCGTTATCTACCACCAATCCGCACTGGGAGTAATGGGTCATGGCCCAATCTCCGTGTGCCATCCATATGGAAGGCCTGCAAAATCGTAAGTGGTTCGGTCCCAGATTTAGAGACCTCCGCTCCTTCGTTACCCCAGATCCCCCCCAGTACTAAATCCGGCCCTGCTTATGCCCCCAGCAACGGGGAATGGTGTGGCAGTTTATAACTGCTGTACCAACTATCTTCGCGTCTGCACTACAACACCACTTAACAGCAAGTGGGGTAGCCATTTGCCTACCTAGCTATATAAAAAAAATTGTGTGTGTCAGCTCCGACGCACGACTGGAGTTTACTTCTTAAGTTCGATAGTCTAACCAGACGCAAAAAGACTTTATTTAACTTAAAAAAGATTGATACTGTATGAAAGGGTAAATTAACAAATTAATGAAAATAATATACATATATAAGTATATATTTATTCATTTCATATACATTTATTATAACTAATCGACGAAATATTTTACATTAAACTTTTTACAATAGTCAATTTCAGATGTGCATAAATAAAGGTACGCTACGATACTGTGCTACGGTGTAGCACTACGGCTGCTACACCGTAGACAGTAAAAACGTAACGAGGTCATTCATCGATAGATTTCACTCCTCACATTTTTCTCATACCGGGCCCCTTATATATGCAAATCGATTCTTAAGGAGTAAACTCGAGAAAAACATGAATAGGCTGATAATGACCATGATAGGTCTACATACCTTTCTGCTGGACAGCGGAAACGAAGAGTGGATGATCAGGCGTGACGCTTCCATTTGACGACACATGCACCCTCGTGGGGTACCCGTACCAAATGTCAGAGTCCTGTTTCATATGAAGAAAATCTAGATATAACGATTCTGCAGTATCATTTTGAACTTCAAAGACCTTTCAAAATAATGCAACGATTATATAAATAAATAAACAATAAATATTTCCAACACTCACACCAATTAGCCTAGCCCCAAAGTAAGCACTGTAAGGCTTGTGTTATGGGATGCTAGTGTAACGGATAGGTCACATACACAGTACATATATAAGTATATTTATATATAAATACATATGAAACATCCATGACTGGAGTACAAATGCTCGTATTCATTACACAAACATTTGCCCCCACCGGGACTCGAACCCGGGACCTCTCGAGTCGGCGACACCATGAAACCCGGCGTACAAACCACTCGACCACGGAGGTCGTCGGTGTCGATTCTGGCATGATTCTATAAACCTGAGGCCTGGGCTTAGCTAATGATTTCATTTTGTTATTTCTGACTGCTGAACTGCCCTTTTTCAAATACCTTATGTTCATTTTCTTAAATATCGTCGTTGGATGGGTGACCAAAAAACTTATCATCCCAAGCTCCTCTGTGCTTCGTAAGGCACGTTATGCCGTTGGTCCCGGCTGCATTGGTGGTCAGCACCCACTAATCCGCACTGGACGGGCATGGTGGATCTCCTTGTTCCATCCATATGGAAGGCTTGTGCCCCAGTAGCAGGGACATTAATATGTCCCTGCTGCAAGCCTATTAAGGCTGATAATGAAAATATGCAAAATACACATCGCACCTCCGGTGCAACACTGTCACTTATGCAAAGAAAATCATTTTTGCAGGAGAAGCGTTTAAAACTTTAACATCCCAAAACATACAATATTTAAAGTGTTTTTTTAATTTTTTTTAGATGAATAGCTAAGTAGTATAAGCTTTTCATCACGTAAAAATCTTTAAATATTGTATGTTTTGGGATGTTCAAGTTTTAAACGCTCATCCTGAAAAAAAATGTTTTTGCATAAGTGACAGAATGTTTTTCAGGACACTCACTGGTTATACACTCAATATTTAAAGTAACCTCACCTCATAGAAATCAAGGTATTGTTCAGTAGTCTTGTTCATTGTGATTTGGATCCATTCATCATATTTATACCTGGAATTGGATTAATATTTGATTTGTGGACAAAACTAGAGCTAAAGTTAAAAATAAACTATTGACTACCGACCAACACCACTTTTAGATTTTATATTAACTGCAAGTAAGCACCCCAAAGAATATTTAGTGGATTTCGGGTATAACGACGATGAAGGGACCGCTCTATTTTCGTCGTTATATCCGGAAGTCTTTACAGGCAAAGCATTGCTACTCAGAATATCACTTTGTTACTGAACCACTTTAACTGGGAAACGTACACGCTTCTCTACCTATTTAGCTGATATCTATAAACAACAGGTAAAGGTCTCCACACTTGTTGCCCATCTGTGTGGATGTAAACAAAAGATAAGTAATGTTGGTGAAAGAAAGAAACCTTTGTGTCTTTGGCGGCAGACTCTCGTCGCAATATCTGCATCTGCAAAACAGTCGCTTCACCCGAACTCGGCGTTACATCCAAAGTCGCTATAGCCACATGAATTTTGTACTAAAATATGCTTTAAATTCAAGGGACTTCGATTTATCGTCGCTATAGGTAAATGGTCGCTACAACCAAGGTCGTAATATGTGAAATCCACTGCACTACATAAGGTGAGAGCGCAAAAACCTCATCGGGCACGGGCGCGGGTGTTTTCTCTGAGGACCTTAATATACACATCGCTTTCCCCTTAAGCCCGTGCAACACAGTTTTCCAAGCTGAGTGTATGGGCATCACACTGGCGGCAAGAGCGATCCTCTCAAGGACAGGAAATACGAATACTGTCTGACAGCAAATCAGTCCTACAAGCTCTAGATGCCTGTTTAGTCAGGTCGAGCTTACTACAAGAATGCCACCAAACCTTAAACACGGTAGGGACGAGCAACTCTATTACCATCCAATGGATCAAGGGACACAGCGGATCACGCGGAAACGACGCTGCGGATGAGCTGGCCCGGAAGGGATCCGATACGACCCCAACAGGCCCCGAACCAATCGTCCCGATACCGGTAAGCTGTCTCGTCAATAAAATTCGCGAGCACACTGCCGCACTACACCAGCAACACTGGCTCGAACTGGAGACGTGCAGACAGACCAAACTCGCTTTGCCACGGGTGAATGCTGCCTTCTCCAAAACTCTCCTACAGCTAAGCAAACCTACATTGCGCATGGTAACAGGTACTATTATTGGTATACTGGGCATGCACATTTTAACAGACATCTTTTCAACATAGGTGTCACGGACAGCCCCCTATGCAGAGGATGCATGGAGGCAGAAGAAACAGCTACTCACGTTCTGCTGGAATGCAACGGAGTGGCCGAATACCGGGCGAAATACCTCGGCTCACCGGGAAACCTTCAAGAGGCAGTCACCAACGTGAAGGCCCTGGGGGCCTTCCTGGCGGAGCTGGGCTGGCTGGAGTGATTCCGGCCATACACCCTCCTCACGCAAAACAGGCGCCATAAGGACGTCGAGTTGCGGAAACGCCCGTAGCAACAAGAAGGTGAGAGCGCTCACATGCACATTGACTGCTTCCAAACAATTTGACATTAGAGTGACTCGATTTCGTTGTTTATTCGGATTGCTCTACCTGTGCATGCAGTGCCGTCTTTGACCTATTGGAGGCCCTGGGCATATTACGATAATGGGACTGTCCCCCCCCCCCCCGCCCCATCCCCTACTGACCCCTATGACTTCCGTTTGGTGATTTAACAGGAACTAGGGACTTTGTATTTGATCTGAGGGGGCCCCCTATCGATCACTGCCCTGGGCATTTGCCCAAAGTGCCCACTGGGAAAGACGGGTATATAATCAAAGACTAAAGCCATTTAAAAGAAAATAAAATGTTTTGTATCTTGTTGCAGGATGCTACAACAGTAACCGACTAAACATAAACAGTAAAACTACCTAAATTGAATTGAATTGTTCAAAGTTTAAATTTACTTTAATGATAATAAAAACAGTTTAAACGGTTTTCGGAAGGAGGAGTAGATAAACGCAGGATATAGCAGCTATTATCTATACAACTCATACATAGTTAGTACAACAGGCCAGATTGCTTGAAGAAACTATAACATTTTTTTACAACATTAAATTTTGTTAATCTAATTCAATATCATCTATTCAATAAAACAAGTGTCAACGATATAGATGCATTGATTTTATTTATTTATTGACGTTTCGCATCCTTTACAGGATGTGAATTTCTGAATAATCGTGTTAAGGATGGGAATCATTAATAAATAAATAAAATCAGTGTATCTAATACGTTGAAACTTGTTTTATTTCATGAGTGACACATGCGTTTGACAAAACAAGCTTCGCCAGCATAGTAGACGCACTTGGCAAACACGGAGTCGATGAGACCATTATATACTGGGTAAGTAACATGCTCCGTAACAGACTAATCAGACTACAAGACGACAACCATCTCAGAGCATTGGCAACTAAAGGATGCCCTCAAGGAGGAGTACTGTCGCCTCTGCTATGGAATGTAGTTGTAAACGACTTAATTACCAAACTAAACAACCTTCACTACCACACGGTGGGCTACGCGGACGACCTTGCAATCATAATTCCAGGTAAGTTTGCGAGCACCGCCTGTGATGTTATGCGGGGGGCAATGAAGGTTGTTGAAAAATGGTGTGACGACTACGGCCTTAAGGTGAACCCAGTGAAGACGGAATTGGTCATGTTCACGAATAAAAGATCATTAGGCGACTATCGGCTACCGAAACTATTTAACACGACACTGAGGCTCTCCAACGAGGTAAAGTATCTAGGAATAACCCTAGACTCCAAACTGAACTGGGGATCCCACATAGACAAAACTACAACGAAGACTAACATCATTTTCTGGCAATGTCGCAAAATGATTAGCAAAACTTGGGGACTATCACCGCTCATTGTTAAGTGGCTATACACGACCATAATTAGGCCCATCATCAGCTATGCAGCAGTAGTATGGTGGACCAAGACAATCCAGGTAACGACAATTAATAAGTTAAGACGTCTCCAGAGGCGGGCATGCTGTGCAATCACCGGCTGCATGAAAACCACTCCCACATCAGCACTGGAGACAATACTTAACGTGAGACCACTCCACTTGTTTATACAACAGGAAGCTGCATGTACAGCCACGCGCCTAAGCATGCTGGGGCATTGGAGAGACAACAACTCCCCGTACACCAGCATCTTGGCAGACATACACAGGCACTTTCCGTACTTTGCAGCAGTAAACGACCTTATTCCTAAGACGTACGTATTTGACAAAAAATACAAAATTCAACTTTATGAAGACACCCCGGACCGTTGTCTGCATAAGGAGTTGAGGGTCTACACAGACGGTTCAAAAACCAACTGTGGTACGGGCTCGGGTGTCTTCTCCGAAGACCTGAATATACACATCTCGACAGCTTTGGGTGCCTATAACACGGTCTTCCAGGCAGAGTGTGTGGGCATCATCAGAGCTGCTGAGGCGATAGAATGTCGCGGGGTAAGAGGTAAACACATTCGTATCCTCTCTGACAGCGCTTCTGTCCTACAGGCACTGGACAACAATATAATGACATCAGGCTTAATTTACGAATGCCACAGTAAGTTGACTAATATTGCTAACGACAATAGATTGACCCTACAGTGGATTAAAGGACACAGCGGCTCAAGGGGTAACGATGCGGCGGACTGCTTAGCCAGGGAGGGGTCTAGCAGGACGGCCATTGGTCCGGAGCCAATTATACCCATACCCTATCGGCAGCTGCGAACCTGGATAAGGGAGCGCTCTCAACGACAACACGACGAATACTGGTCAAAACTCACGGACTGCAGGCAAGCCAGGGAAGCCGTTCCTAAGGTAAACCTGCAGCTAACACGTAAGTTAATCAGACTACCTAGACAAGCCCTGAAACAAATCGTGGGTATACTCACGGGTCACGACTACTTTAACAAACACCTTTGTAATATAGGTATTTCTGACAGCCCTCTGTGCAGAGCCTGCCTGGAGGCGGATGAGACGAGCGCCCATGTCCTACTGGAGTGCAGGGGCGTTGCAAGACAAAGGACTTCTCTAATGGGAAGCCCGAAGACAATAGTAGAGGCCTGCAGCAACATTCGGGGACTGCTGAGCTTTCTGGAGGAGCTGGGATGGCAGGACTGCTGCCAATCCCCACGCAAAAGAGGCACTAGGTGTCGAGTTGCGGAAACAGCCCGCCGTACTACTAAGACTAAGACTTCATGAGTGATCTGCATAAAAACCTAAGAAACAAATATCATCTATTCAGTTTTGGCTGATACAAGTACTTGTGTTGGAAGAGAAGCTACACCATCAGTTCGTAAATTTATATGTATTTCTTCTGTCTTAAATGGCTAGACTGATTTTTGTGAAATTTTATATGTACATTTGAATGAGTCTCTGATTGTTGTAGATTCACAACACAACATGTTTCTAAGAAAAAAGAAATTGAGAATTGAGATTGATATTCTTTATCAAATATGAAATAAAACAACAAAAAAATAATAGTTTAAAAATAATAAACAAAAGAATTATCTACTGGTGAAGGAATTAAGTTTACTGCTCATTTCCTGTCAAATATTCAAAATATAGTTAAACTTGACAGCTTGCATTGTAGATTGTATGTAATGGTATGACTCATGGATAAATACTTTGAAGGGGAATTCCCTGAGAATATAAGATATAAATAGAATAAAGAAAAATGACTAGTTTAATTAGATCACCATATAGGTACTAACAGTGTCATATGATGAGTTTTATCAATAAGATATTTCAGAAACATAAATAAACAGTACTTAAAACAATTTCTTATCTAAATTAAAATATGAATAGATCCAAACTTACCTATTATACACAAAGGTCTTATTATCTCCTTCCATGAAGTTATATAAACTTTCTGTACTATAAACATTATTTACAAATGTAAGAATTAAAACTATTATGGTAAACATTATTAAGATGAGCACGTCTTCTCTACGCAACTACTACAAAATCAAATCTTCAAAATTTAAAATTTGCTAAACTTTGCTATCAGTTTAGTGTTTTATCTGTAAGTTTTTTAAAGTGAGCTCTATTTCGAACTATTGATAAAAATTATGAAATAAAATTTCAAGAAATTATATATTTCATGAACTAATTTTACATTTATCAAATTAAATAATGTTGACGTTTCATTAGTTATTTTAGAAATTAAAACTTATTTTCATTCGAAACCTATTTTTATAAAAATATCTAAGAAAGTGTACAGTAAAAGTACCCATTCATTCCTGACAAATGACAATTAGATTATCACAATGTCATTGTCAAAGTTTGTCAGTGCTGCCAGATCTATTTTCGGAATACGGTAAATCTATAGCGAAATGGGGCGTTTCCAATCGGGCTTATTATTTTTTCCTTAAAATTAAACCAAAGACCGTTTTAGCCCCATCCCACTCCGGCGAGAGTGGGTAATTTCAAAAATAATAATTGCTTCTGATTTTCATTGAAATCTTCACCATCTTCCCTATTAAAACTAGCATAAGTTTTAAAAATTAAACATTTTCAGCTGGCTGCTGACCGCCTTTAAAAACGCACAAACCGTGCATGCCATAAAAAAGAGTAAAGAAGAAGAAGACCATCATTAATTCACTATACAATAATATAAATAATGCATTTAAATCACGAATGAGGGATTTGAAACGGGAGAAATTGGGTGACTTGCCAACATCAGCTGTCATGCTTTTCTTAGTTTTAATCTTCCGCATTGGGAAAAGTAAAAGCAAAGCCCTGCAGCCATCTTTGTAATTTTTTATTATTTTTTTAAAATTCTCTTTTTACATTATAATGAGGTACATATAACGCATTAAGATGATTATTGTTTGTAGTGCTTGGCACGAAATGTATCGAGTCAGTTTTGTCGATATGCTTCTGTAAGGTAGTCAATAATACAATAAAGTTCTCACGTCCACTTGATTTGACCGGAATATCATATACAGGGAGTTCCAAGGGTTTGTCACACGGAAAGAAAATATATTAAATATTGAAGAAAGGATATTTTACTGTAATAAGACATTATTATCGTGCTATCACCAGATACCCTTCAGGCCTTAGGGTACGGCCAGAGTGCACTCAGATTCAGATTCAGACTCAGAAAACAAGCGTGAGAAATAAACAGTGTAGTTTAAGCAGGGTGGCCATTGTTTTCTGAGTCTGAATCTGAATCTGAGTGCACTCTGGCCGTACCCTTTCGGACAAAACATCCCCCAGCTCCAGTAAACCCATATTTTCTCGTTCCACTCAAATTCTCGAATTTGAACCCGTCCAGTTAGGCTTCGGTGTAAAGGGAGGGTGTGAGGCAGTTGTCCATGCCCTACGCTCTTTCCTAACTTACGGGCAGCCTGACGTGTTGCTCAAAATTGATGTCAAAAATGCATTCAATTCGGTAAACAGGGATACCCTGCTGACGGAAATAAAACAACATATACCGGAAATATACAATTATCTTCTTCTCAGTTACTCCGACCCAACAAAATTGTTATATCGTTCTAATGAACTGTCCTTAGAAGAAAGTTGTCAACAGGGTGATCCCCTTGGGCCTGCAATTTTTAGTTAGAATATAAATCCGATAATCAAAAATTTTAACTCTAAATTCAACTTTTGGTATTTGCCCGGTGGAACCCTAGGAGGTGATGTGGATACTTTGCTTTCGGACTTTTTTTTAATCAAAAATAAATTTGTAGCCATCGGTTTGGAGCTAAATTTTAGCAAATGCGAACTTTTTATAAATAACTACAACTTAAATTTAAACGACGTTAAACAAAAATTTAATATTTTGACTCCAAATATTAAAATAGTTAACAGTAATTCCCTTTACCTTTAAGGTTCTCCAATTTTTGAAGTTATACTTCTTTAGGCGCGTTATGAAAAAATGATGAGAGTGAAATTTTAAGATGCGCGCGCATCACTGTAACACAAAAAATTAACAGCATGAAGTTGGTCGCTTTAGCGACCAACTTCATGCTGTTACTTTTGTGTTTACCGCACATTAAGAAAATCTACCAACAAAATAGAAATAGAATCTCTATTTTGTGGGTGCTAACGACTGCATTGTGAAGGCCTATCAAAAGTATTTATTAATCTGGAACAACGGAACCAAAGCGCGATTCAGGAGACTACAGCGCCAGCTCTTGACCATTGGTGTAGTAGAACCAAAAACCAAATCTTTATTTTTTGTAATAAAGTAACAGTTATAGGTATTCATATTTATAATATTTATCCACATGTTTCTAGTTTGTATATTCGGAATACGTGTTTGAGTTTCATACAACTGCAAATCACATATGTTCTAATAAATTATATTCAGTAGCGATTTTAATTGAATATTTTGATTATTTATTTATTTTTTCAAATTAAAACTGAACTTTATTGACTGTGTCCTTTCCAGACTTTTTATTAATTTATTGTAATTAATTATTTGCATGCAATTAAAAACTAATTTTAAACGATGCCAAAGAAGGATAACTTCTCACGCGCCTACATAAGTACACGCACCCATTTTTTTTGTTTTTTTTTTAGTTTATTAAGGTCAACAAACAGTTTTACAATAAATCTTATATAAAATATAATAACACCAAGTTTTTATAAATGCAAAACCAACACCGTTAACCACAAGTTACTTTCAATATTTGTTGAGAGTTACTACGTGAGAAAACTTCTTACTTAAAAAAAAATAAGCTTATAAGCCTTCTATATTGATATTTATTTATAGCAAAGATGTCTATATCATATAAAGTGCTATTGTATAAATTCATAACACGCTGCAGAGGAGATCGCTTGCTTGCTTGATTGGTACGACATAAAGATGTTGCAAATAATTGATGTTTTCGCAAGGATCTCATCTGCGTTCGCCTAGGTATTATATAGCCAATTTTATTAACTAGTTCAGTGCAGTCAAACCCGGTGTGACATATATCATATAAAACTATGGCTTCTAGTTGTTGTCGCCTCGATTTTAGGTCTGTTAGTTAATATTGTTACAGAAGCTGTTGATATGACAAACGAGGTTGACCGCATCTGTACTGCATGTTTTTCATGATTTTTTGTGCACCATCTCGATATTTGCTACATATTTATTATAATAAGGGTTCCAAATACTAACTGCATGTTCTAATTGAGATCTAACTGATGTTTTAAATAAATATAGATAGGAAGATATATTTTTAAATTGCTTACATGATGGCATAACAAAACCATACATTTTAAATGCCTTGTTGACAATAGTCTCAATATGTATGTACAGATTTCATTTAGAGTCCAGTATCACACCGAGATCTTTAATTATGGTTACTTTTTTTAAGTCGCACCCACATAATCTATATATAAAATTGCTTACGATTCTTTTTTAGTAAAGGAAATAGATTTGCATTTATTTAAACTTAGATTAAGTTTGTTATAATTGCAATATCTAGTAAACCTGTCCAATCTTTAGGTCGTCAGCGTAGAGTAAGAATTTGCAAAATTTAAAACATGAATCGATATCGTTTAAAAATAATATAAAGAGGAGGGGACCTAAAATAGATCCTTGCGGCATCCCAGAGCCAACTGATATAACATCCGACTCGAAACCATTGATAACCACTTTTTGTGTGCGATTGGAAATATAAGATTTAAACCAACGCCATAAGTTACCCCGTATACCATTGTATGCTATTTTCTCCAAGAGTATTTGATGGTCAACCCTGTCGAACGCTTTTCGAAAGTCTGTGTACACGCAGTCAGTTTGTGTGTTAGAATCTAAATTTTCAAATAATGTTGTTGTATAAATTAATAAATTAGTAATTGTTGATCGCTGTTGTTCAAAACCATGTTGTTCCTTTATTATGCATCTATGTAGGCATGGATAAAGTGCATCATGCATAAGTCTCTGGCAAAAATAGAAATTGGACAATAGTTTTCTATATAATGTTTATTCCCCATTTTATGTACCGGTACTATTCTTGCAGTATCTATTTCTGAATATATTGATAATTCAATTAATAAATTTAAAAATTCTGCCGACCGTCTCCTTGAAATTAGTCCACATTATGCATTTTGCATCTTAAAATTCTGTTTTTTTGTTCCAAAATTTACGTAAGTGCTCCGTTGCTGCTTCTTGTGGAATCACTTAGATATTTTGACACAATTACTTAATCAAAATTAACTTAGAATCGATTTAATATGCAGCTGAACGAGCAATCTTGGACCCAAGCATCCCTACCCATCCGTTATGGTGGTTTAGGGATTCGCAAAATATCCAGTGTCGCTTTACCAGCCTTCCCATCTTCTGTCCATAGTTCAGCAAATCTCATAACTAAAATTTTAAGGGCATCCCCATCAAACTTTGAGATTGCTTGATTGATTTGAGACGCTTTCTTAATTGCAAGCCCAGGTCAAAATTTTCCAGTTTCTTCAAATTCACAGAGGAGCTGGGACGGCTTAAATTGCAAATTAACTTATAATAACCTTTTGCGCTGTAGTACAGGTTCGGCGTGTGCTTGGCTTTTGGCCGTGGGTGCGCATGAGGCCGGCTACTAGCTTCACGCGTACCCTTCGACAAATACAGGAACAGTTCTTGAGCCTGACACACTCCGAATGGCAACCTGTCTAAGGCTTGGGGTCCCGGTCTGCGCTCCTGATAAATGTCCCTGTGGCAGTGATGTCGACAAGCTAGGACATCACGGACTGCCTTGCCAAAAAGTGCAGGCCGCTTCTCGCGACACGCCGCACTTAACGATATCATACGCCGGTCCCTTGACACTGTCAACGTGCCAAGTCTACTTGAGCCTACTGGTATGAGTTTGATTCCATGGAAGATGGGTCTGGTGCTAGTATGGGATGCAACCTGTTCAAACACGCTGGCCCCTTCCCATCTACATGGAACCAACAACAGAGGTGCTGCGGCTTGTGAAGCGGCTGAATAAGCTTAAGGCATGCAAATACAGGGGTCTAGGATCCTAATATGATTTTGTCCCATTCGGTGTCGAGAGCCTTGGACCGTGGAGTCCTAGCGCTATAATGCTTTTTAAAGAAATAGCAAAAAGATTAGTCGACATCACAGGAGACCGAGGAGCTAGCTGCTACCTCGGACACAGAATTATTCTAGCTATCCAAAGGTCCCCCTTTGCCATTACGATACGCTGCCAGTATCTTCGGAACCTTGTCTAAAGGAACTCCTTTTAATAATGTATATATTATATGTATTTTAGTTATTATATTTTATTGGAACGAAGTTCCTTACGGCAGGCTTGGAGGGGATAGGGATTTTGCTGCGGGACCGAACTGAAAAAAATGTGATAGTAAAACCGTAAGAAAAAATCCGTGGAAAAAAGTGCGTGGAATAAAACCGTTCAATGAGACGTGCGCAGGCGCGACAGTCGCATACACAAGCGAGTTTGCAATTTGTTCGATTCTACATTAGCCGAAGGAACTTCGTTCCTACCTGGTGTCCCACGACACCACATCATTTTTTTTAAGGTTTTTTGTTTTAGTTTCATTGTTATAATATATTTTTTGAAGTTATACTTCTTTAGGCGCGTTATGAAAAAATGATGAGAGTGAAATTTTAAGATGCGCGCGCATCACTGTAACACAAAATTTTAACAGCATGAAGTTGGTCGCTTTAGCGACCAACTTCATGCGTTACTTTTGTGTTTACCGCACATTAAGAAAATCTACCAACAAAATAGAAATAGAATCTCTATTTAGTGGGTGCTAACGACTGCATTGTGAAGGCCTATCAAAAGTATTTATTAATCTGGAACAACGGAACCAAAGCGCGATTCAGGAGACTACAGCGCCAGCTCTTGACCATTGGTGTAGTAGAACCAAAAACCACATCTTTATTTTTTGTAATAAAGTAACAGTTATAGGTATTCATATTTATAATATCAAAAGTATTTATTAATCTGGAACAACGGAACCAAAGCGCGATTCAGGAGACTACAGCGCCATCTCTTGACCATTGGTGTAGTAGAACCAAAAACCACATCTTTATTTTTTGTATTAAAGTAACAGTTATAGGTATTCATATTTATAATATTTATCCACATGTTTCTAGTTTGTATATTCGGAATACGTGTTTGAGTTTCATACAAGTGCAAATCACATATGCTCTAATAAATTATATTCGGTAGCGATTTTAATTGAATATTTTGATTATTTATTTATTTTTTCAAATTAAAACTGAACTTTATTGACTGTGTCCTTTTCCAGACTTTTTATTAATTTATTGTAATTAATTATTTGCATGCAATTAAAAACTAATTTTAAACGATGCCAAAGAAGGATAACTTCTCACGCGCCTACATAAGTACACGTACCCATTTTTTTGTTTTAAGCTAGTATTAGACAATAGTATATTTTTAATTATATTATTGTTAAGTTACGATATGTAACCAGGAGATTATACTTTTAATTAATTTTTAAATTAAAGTTGAATTTTTTTATTTTATTTTTAATAATAAGTAGAACTGCATTCACAGTTTTTAAAAAATCGCGTGCCCAATCATGGATTCAAACTCTTCGAACTCTTTGACGCGTGCGTTTTAATTAAGACCTTATTTTCTATTCGTTAAAGGTGACTTTCAATGTTTAAATAATGCCTTATATTGTTTTTGACAACGCGGAAATCTTACTGAGCTCCTTGGATCCACTGTCCAATGTACCTTTTGGACAGCTTTTGGTCACGATTTCGTTCGTGTCGTTGTATCTAGGGTATTTAATATCGTTGTCTTAGAAGCTTGGAGTATGATGTTCATGAGTGATTCAAAATGTGATTGATTGAATGCAGCGCTACGAACGACGTTCATTGTCCTTGAACGCGTCAATAATAAATAGATTGAAAATGGCGTCGTTTTGCCGATCAAATGAATCGAGGAATTTACATTTCAATTAATTTCTTCTCACATTTTCAAACTATTGTTAATATAGACTTTTATTTCTTCTCTGTAATATATAGTTAAGTGATTTAACTGTGTGTTGTGTGGTCGGAAGTTGTTAATCTTTGTTTTAGTGGCGATATGTTGCCGTGTCTTTTCGTGGTCTAGTAATATCGGTTGTGTTTACATGACTTCGGCGCGGGGCAGTTGCTTAGAATGCTATCAACTGTCGAGGAGAGCCGCGGGTACGACTTTCAGGACCCGGAGAACGCCGAAAAATGGAGAGGTCTCTTTGTCAACTCACTCAAAAAGGTTTGTGTACAAAACTTTGCATTTGTTGTCCTATTTTCTTCGAATCCCATCAAATATTCTACTCTTCATGCTCTATAGGAGCTTCTAACGTACATAAATTGCTGCTGCCTGTCATATAACTAATGTTTTATAAACAAAAATAATAAAATGTTAGCTGTATCCAGCAATAGGTAAAGTTGTGTGCAGTTACTATCAAGGCCTTTGATAAGCTATCAGTCAATATATTTTATTAAATTTCGATCACAACATTGGTATTAAATATTGTTTTAAGAGTTGTGACAATAATAATCTATTATTGTTAAACTTTTGTGTTTAATTAGTTTACTTACTCAGCTATTGTTAGTAGCGAAATGCAAGTGACTTTCATGCTATTTTAACTTGTTAACTCATTAAATAAAGATCTTTTATTTTTTAAGGAGCATGGTCGGTTATTGTTTCTAAACACTTGCATTGCAATAATATTTTCCAATATAAACTTTGTTAGGTACCTATCTTTTTACTACTTTTTTATAATTCAGTTCTCATACATGACAAGTATCTATGTTTATTTTCAAGTTTAATGGATGGTCATATAGGTTTCTCTGTTATTAAGTTAATAACATACATGAGAGTCCAAAGTTGTCAACGAAACCAAAATGGTTCTCTCTCACTCATACACTCTTAACTAATACCGTATATCTTTGAACCTGGACATTGGCAGAATCGTCACATAATGGCACACAACCATAATCAACAAAAATTGAAATTGAATTGATGGGTCAAAGTCAATAGGGATGATGACTAATTTTTTTTTCTTCGTTTATCAGGTAGATTATCAAAAAGTATTGGACGTGTATTTTTTTTTTTCACATAATATAAACATTGCTGAGATATATTGATTTGAAAAGTCACATGACGTCACATTGGAGTATACTTTTAAGCGAATATTCACTAAAAAGTGACATCACGAGCCCCTACTTCCAAACTTTGACGCGCTATAACATTGTCGTTTTATGGTTGATTGCCCAAAGAAAAAATACCTGTCCATTGGTTTTTGATCATCTAACTGACGGACTAAATAGAATTTCGTTTACTGTTCCCCGTCATCACCCCTGTTATACAAAAACAAAAAACTTGACATAAACAAAGATTGTATGTCATAGCAATCAAAATGTGAGTGGATGTTGTATTGGTAGTGAAGTGACATAATATTATGTAAATTGTTGCTACTTCTGTTGAATGCTGATGAGTTTCTTCCCTTAGGCTAAAAGATGTAAGATGGTAGGAAAAAACATTGGACAATTCAAAAGAGCAAGTCAATTTGAATAAAATATAATTTTACAATAGAAATTCTGTATAAAAGATAATGCTATATCTGAAAATTTAGTTTAAACCACCTAGAAAACAATACACATACACAAGCCCCTGGATAGTACTAACTATACAGTGTCTCTGAATGTAAAGTGTTGATTGATTTTCTTTGTTGCATAAAATATATAATCCAACCTTTGTAACTATGGTATGGGTTGTATAAATTCAGCTATTTAGTCTCATCAAATCAACTTAAATTTATTGCAAGTAATGCACAGTAGGTGTTCTTAACGCATAAATCATTCTTTTTCTAATACACCTTATGAAAATCACAAGCGTAGACTTAGTAGAAAAGTTGATACTTAATATTATAAATAAAATACAGTAGTGAGAGTAATAGAACACAGATGAAAATATATCAAATTTGAAACTGAAGAGATCATTTGATTTATTAGCATGAATGTTGAGAATGGTACTTGAAATATACAATATCAAACACTACATTGACGATGCAAAATAGAAATTAGCATGTAAATATTTAGTAGACAGTGGTATAGCTAAAGCTGTCTAATATTTTTTTTATAAGCTAAGAATGAAATTTGTTAATTTTTTTTAAAGCTTTATTAACCACTAAAGATTTCAAAATATTATGTAGCTTAAAATAACCTACTCTAGTTAAGGTCTTAATTAAGAAAGGTTATTAAGATACTATTATTCTAAGAATTGTAAATAAGTATATTATGTTTTGTCATAAAATACTCACATATTATTTTCTATTCAGCTATAGCATTTACTGCAAAAACTATATTTACAAAAAAACTTTCTAAAACAAATTTTACAAACTTTATCACATTTTGTATCTGAGGCCCAAGCACCAATATTAACAGCTCGCAGTATAGTTATCAAATTTTGTATGTACGAAGTCAGTTCCTTTTTGACGTCTGGTATGAGCTTAAATGTCATAGAAACTTTAAAGAAGCGATATAATTACGGAGCTGTCCTGTCATAGTTTTCGTAGAAAATTTGATGCAAAACAATTATGGAGATAATTACTCTCAAATTCATTCAAATTCTTGCTCAGACCTCAGTTGACAGCTTGATACGTTGTTTGCAGGTGCTGGAGTCCGTGCACCCTACATTAACTGCGGAGGAGAGCGCCCTCCAGTATGTGGAGTCTCTGTGTCTGCGCCTACTGGCCATGCTGTGTGCGGTGCCCTCCCCGCTCACTGTACAGGTGAAGATGAAACTAATGAAAACCTCCGAATGTGTACATTTGCTTTAAAAAAAAATAACAAATGTTCAAACTTTCTGTTGCTTAATCCACATCTGTTTGACAAAGTTTTATAATTTACATTTGAACTTTGAATTAAGTACACTCCTTTAGGTGCACATACAAATGTATCGTTTTCCAAAACCTCTTGTAGTGTGTCAATTAATCGCATTTACGACAACTATTTAAAAATTTGAACGCTAATGTTTAGCGCATTTATTACCGAAGCCACTCGAAGTTTCGTCGCGAGGGTGTGGGAGAAGTATGATGGTACGAAACAACTCTATAGCCTATGGACGACACTTACGATACCAGGAAAGTTTCACTCATGCATTGTCTTCTTCCTAGGCAAAAATGTATGTATGTATTAAATTTTGCAAACGTCTATATGGAATTCCAAAATTTTTGGTCTTTTCATTTTGATTTTTTATTAAAAGTCCCTTTTTAAAGCGCCCAAGTTTTGATTAGCATGCTATTGAAATAGAATATTTTGAATTTGGTCTATCAAGGGGATCAGTATTGCGCAGTGTTTCCAGACTGCGCAAGAGACTGTTTTATTTTTAAATAGATTATTATTTGATCTTTCCACAATTATAGAATAATTACAAGAATAAATTCGACACGACCATCAAGGTCTTGGTAACATAGCAGAGATGGCATGCTATTGAAATGGAACATTGTTAAGTTTGGTCCTTCGAGCCGGATCATAAGTATCGTTAGACGTTGTCAGGACGTGGAGCAGCGCGTGGCACAAGTGGGCGCTTGCTTACGCCGAGAAGCATATATACAATAGCTTCTGCAACAGGGCGCCATTCGCCTATCGAAAATGCTTTGGAAAGCGCTAACGCTTTCGATTTTATTTTGTTATTTCTGACCGCCGAAGGTTTCAAATACCTCACGCTCTTTTTTTTTAATATTGTTATTACCAATGAAAAAAAAAGGGCGTGGCATTTGAAAACCTCAGGCGGCTAGAAGTAACAAAATGAAATCGTAAGCGTTAGCGTTTTCTAAAGCATTTCCGTTAGGCGAATGGCCCCCTGGTGTTTCCGTAACCAGACGTCCTTATGGCGTCAGTTTTGGTGGTGTTGCTAGAACTTGCAAGACGTGATAGCATGCTGTTTAATCCTTGTAAATTTGCGAATGAAGGAAAAGATAAATTTGGTACTTCCTGTGCCTCTATTCTCCTTGCCTCTCTACTCTACCTGGAATTTGGTGTGAAGACAGATATTGTGGCGATTCAGGCATGATTTCCTAAACCTAAAATTTAATTTGACAACAGTGTATCTTTGTCATTCTGTATACGTATACAGAATGAAGAAGTAAATTCAGTTTATTCGTTGAAGTTAAGCAACTTTCGCAGTGGTCGGTCATTGGATGGGTGACCAAAAATTTACTATCTCGAGCTCCTCCGTGCTTCGGAAGGCACGTTAAGCCGTTGGTCCCGGCTGCATCTACAGTGGTTAGCACCCACCAATCCAGACTAAGCCCGCGTGGTGGTTTATGGCCCAATCTCCCTATTCTATCCATAGGGAAGGCCTGTGCCCCAGCAGTGGGGACATTAATAGGCTGATGATGATGATGATACAGAACGAAAAAGAGAGACTTGTGTTAAATTTAGGTCTGAGTTAAGAGAACCATGCCAGATTGGAGCATTGTTAAGTTTGGTCCTTCGAGCCGCATGATAAGTAAAGGTGATGGTGATGGTATGTGTCATGTGGTGGTCAGGACGTGGAGGAGCGCGTGGCGCGATCGTTCCCGACGCCGCTGGACAAGTGGGCGCTCGCCGACGCCAAGGAGAACACCTCCCAGCGCCGCAAGAGGGCGCTGCTGCCCGTCGATAAGATACACCACATGCTGCAGAAGGTAACAAAAAATATTAATTTGTTTCTTAAAAACAGTGATGTTCACACAATTAATACGAGAAACAAAAATAAACTAACTTTACCTGCTACTAGGCTTCACGAAATTAATAATTCATATAAAGGTCTTTGTGTTCGCTTATACAATAAAGTCCCAAGCGATATCCAATAGTTAACCATTGATAAATTTAAAGATATTGTAAAAAAAACACTTATTAAAAAAGCTTATTACAAAGTGTCTGATTATATTACAGACAAAAATGCTTGGGTTTGAACTGTTCCAATTGTTCCAACAGGTTTTCTATATTAAATAAATCATGATTGTATTGACGTTGTAACAACATAATGATTTGTAAATGTTGTTAAATTAGACTTAATGTTGTGGAGTTTTTTTCGCTCGTTTTTCTCCGCAGCTAAAAAATATGTCCATAACGAGTGCTAAGGAAAAAAATTTTTGGATATTTCAAAAGAGTTGTACTATACCTCCAATTTGAATAAAGATATATTGATTTCTAATTTCTAACGTCACAACTCATTCTTTACTCTAATACTCACCATCTTATTTCAGAACACGGTCTGTAGTTAATCTCGGTTTATACCTAACGTTGTCTTTTTAGCAACTAAAAGTGACAGCATCAGGTTTACTCCGGGTTTAACTTAAGTCAACGATCTACCAATTCGCACTGGGCCCGCGTGGTGGTCACGGCCCAATCTCTCTATTCCATACATAGGGAAGGTCTGTGCCCTAGCAGTGGGGACATTAATAGGCTGAAGATGATGATGATAATCATCTTATATATAAAATTCTCGTGTCACAATGTTAGTTACCATACTCCTCCGAAACGGTCTGACCGATTTTTATGAAATTTTATATGCATATTCCGTGGGTCTGAGAATCGGCTACTATCTTTTTTCCATATCCTAAAATGAGGAGCTCGATGGCGCAATTGGTTAGCGCGTTCGGCTGCGATCGTTGAAGTTTAGCAAATTTCGCAGTGGTCGGTCATTGGATGAGTGACCAAAAATTTACTATCTCTAGCTCCTCCATGCTTCGGAAGGCAAGTTAAGCCATTGGTCCCGGCTGCATCTGCAGTCGTTAGCACCCACCAATCCGCACTGGGCCCGCCTGGTGGGTCATGGCCCACACTCACTATTCCATCCATAGGGAAGGCCTGTGCTCCAGCAGTGGGGACATTAATAGACTGATGATGAAGTGATAATGGTTGTCCACCTGTAACGTAGTGTTCTGAACCTGCAATGCGCCTTTGCGCCAAAATTCAAACTATTGGGTATTGTAACGTAGTGTTCTCATATGGGTTAGGACAATCCCAGGAAATTGATAGAACACTTAACACACCCTTAATTATTCTTTTGACAATATTTATTTTTTTATAATGTGGTATTGAAAAATACATACAACCCTAAATTTTTTCTTCTCTACCACCTGCCCCTATTTTTATGGTGGTACGAAGTTAGCTGGGTCAGCTAGTCATGTATAAATATATAATGTAATAAAATATTTATGGTTTTTTCCAGGAGGTGCTCCAATACAAGGTGGACATATCGGTGTCCGTGTTCATGAGCGCAGTCCTGGAGTTTGTGTCCGCGGATGTGCTGAAGTTGGCCGGAAACTTCGTGAAGAAGATCTCTCGATCTGGACACGAAACTATCACGTGCAGTGACATTAAGACTGCCATGTGCGCTGATAAGGTAATATTGTACTTCACAGTATGGGAACGTAACGTTGGTTTACAATCATTAATTGATAGGTCTAATAAATATATTGAGCTTAATTGTAAATACATAGATAGATTAATACTTTATTATAACACCAAATACATGATTACGTTAACAATCAATAAACTAAACAAAAGCATTATAATTGGCGGTCTTATCGCTGAAAGCTCTTTTTCTTCCAGACAACCGTGAGTAAAAAAAGTAATACAGAAACTGTAGGTTGGGGTGTTATATGGCTTGGAGTAAATAGTCACATCTGTACAGACAAATTTCATAACATATATACATACATACACACACACACACACATACATAACATATATATGATAAATATTTTACACAGTAAAATCAGGTTCACTGCGAAAGATAAAAGTGTTTAAGCTGGTCTTTGAATATATTTAAAGACTGAGCGCGTCTGATATTAGTAGGCAACGAGTTCCAAAGCCGAACAGCTTGTACAGCAAAGGAATAGTCATAAAAGCTGGTCCAGTGAACAGGCATCGTGAGGGTCAGATTATCTGATGACCTAAGGGAAAGCGATAGGGAATTTTGTTGAAAATTAAAAAGTTCTTTTGAGATAGCGCGGGGAAAAGGGATTGAACAAAATATTGTAAAGGAGTGCTAGTATGTGCGTATTCCGGCGAAGCCTAATGGGAAGCCACTTGAGCTTTAATTTAAAGGGTAATTATATTGAAAAGGAAAAATAGGCTTATTGTTTTATTTTATTTAGAAACCTTTCATTCCACGAACCTTCGAACCTCCCCTCGTATATATGTATCTGTATTGTTATTGCAAATACATATTGGGGGCAGCCGATATAAGTAATTAAAACGATTGAAAAGGGATGCAACGAGATTACGATAAATACACAATTACGAATGGGTTTGCTAATAGCGTAACGTACTCACGTTTGAAACCTTTGTCGGAAGCTTGTGGTCCGCGTATTCTTCTAGCTAGAGGGGCACATGAACAACACACAGTCATATAAGAAATTCACAGTTTATCGTTGACGAATTCCACTTGTTCGGTATACCGAACGTAAAGAATATGTTTATACGATGTTAGCGCGTGCTAGGCTTGTTGAAAATATATCGATGTATCGATATTTTTTGCCGATATATTTTGATTCGATATATCGATACATCGATACAAAATAACCAATATCGAAATTCGTATCAAAAACGATATTTTTTTAATTATTAGCGGCATATCACGATCTAACCAAATTCGTATCTGGAAAAATCGTAACTGGATCTCGGATTAATGATATTCAACATATCTATGATCTGTGCTGTATTTAGTATTGTCTATGTCATCATTCGAAAATAGGGTCTATTTTTAGGGAGATACTTTTCGTTCCATTATTATTCCGCGTGTCACATTTCGTGAGCTACTGTACGATATTTTTGGGAAAATTGGTCCGATATATCGATGTTTTTTTCGCGATATATCGAAGCCGATATTGATATTTTTTAAAATATCGATATATCGATATTTTTTTCAACTTTCGACATACCTAGCGCGTGCGCGGGCGCGGAACGGAGTGACGTAGGTCCTCTCGTGTGATCAGTGGCTAACCGTCTGCGTTAGGCTATTAAAAAACCACATTCGCAGATGTATCGTTCTCGTTGCGAACCTACCCACATTTAAAATAATAAATAAGTAACCACGATTAAGTGATAACGGAACAGTATCAGTATATGTATTCTATCCGTTACCCTAGTATCCCATAACACAAGCCTACAGTGCTCACTTTGGGGCTAGGCTAATTGGTGGGGGTGTTGGAAATATGTATATACTAGCGGCCGCCCGCGACTTGGAGTCAGAACTAAAAGTTCACTGCTCGTTCCCCGTAGGTTATAGCGTATATGTAGCCTATATTATTATGTTGACCCGACTTCTTAATAATATTCGTGCCAAATTTTAAGTAAATTCATGCAGTACTTTTTGAGTTTATCCTGGACAAATATACAGAAAAACAGACAAAAATTCTAAAAACTATATTTTTGGCTTCTGTATCGATTGTAGATCACATCCCAAGTATTCTTTTAAAAAAATATTCAATGTACAGTTTTGACTTTCCTATCATCTAATTATTTATATAGACTAGCGGCCCGCCCTCGCTTCGCTTCGGTGTAGAGCTGAAGTGTAGACTGCAGTTTTTGTTCTCAGGCTTGTATTATACACAATGACATTCATCTATGATTCTTCTTATACCTGCATGCAAAGTCTCAGCCCGATCGGTTAAAAATTGACAAAGTTTCATACAAACTTTCATTCCCTATTTTATCCCCTTGAGGATAGAATTGATCAAAATCCTTTCTTAGCGGACGCCTACGTCATTACATCTACCTGCATGCCAAATTTCAGCCCTATCCGTCCGGTGGTTTGGGCTGGGCGTTGATAGATCACTATGTCAGTCGGTCACCTTTGAGTTTTATACATTTAGAAGACGGAAGATTATTATTATATGTTTCGATTTCAGGTACTAATGGACATGTTCTACCAAGAATGGGAGGCGGTTCGAGGGGTAGTGGGCAGCGGGGGGAGCAGCTCCGGGGTAGGCACCGGGGTAGGGTCGGCCGCGGGGGCAGCGGGAGGGGAGCGGCGAGGGTCCTTGACCTACGCTGACCTTGTCAGGGATTTACTGGCCGATGAGAAGCATTTTTTACGAGACTTACATCTCATTATAAGGGTGTTTAAAGATGAAATTGAGAAGATATTGCAGCATGATACTAGGGTGAGTCATATATTAATTTATTAGTTAATTACAATAATAGGGTCATTGACCTTCGTTGACGTTGTAAGAGATTTGCTGTCTGGGGAGAAGTATTTTTTAAGAGATTTGCATGTTATAATTAGGCTGTTTAAAGATGAAATTGAGAAGATGTTGCAGCATAATTATTACTTTAGTATTTGACCACGTAGCCTGTAACCAAATTTCGACCTTATTCGTTATTCTGTTAAAAACATTGTATGTATTTCAACAATATGTTACACTTATAATTTTTTTTTAAGCATGTAACTGCTTGATGTTTAAATCTAAAGAAAATATAACTAGAAAAAATTCCACGCGGATTAGACAGCAGACGGAACTCGAACCCGCACCCTTCGCAATCCCGGCGAATGCACTGACCAGTTATGCTACCGCGGCCCTGACGGCCGCGCCGAAATTCCTCCAGCCATTCTTAAGCTGCAAGGCAGCGCCATTTCTTTGCATTGTAGGTAACCCACAATGTCAAATGAATACTTTTACAAGTATTAAACATTTGAAAGAAGGAATAGCAATTATAGATATATATTTTTTTGCAGCTTAAGAATGGCTAGAGGAATTTCGGCGCGTCCGTCAGGGCCGCGGTAGCATAATTGGTCAGTGCATTCGCCGGGATAGCGAAGGGTGCGGGTTCGAGTCCCGTCTGCTGCCTGGTCCCCGTGGATTTTTTTTCTAGTTATATTTTCTTTAGATTTAAATATGTTGCACTGTTTATTGTTTTTTTTATTAATTTAATGTATCTTTGATGCATTTTATTTATGCTTTGATGCATTACTTATAGAGGAGCTCGATGGCGCAAGTGGTTAGCGCGTTCGGCTGCGATCGTTGAAGTTAAGCAACTTTCGCAGTGGTCGCTCATTGAATGGGTGACCAAAAAATTTCTATCTCTCCCTCCTCTGTGCTTCGGAAGGCACGTAAAGCCGTTGGTCCCGGCTGCATCTGCAGTCGTTAGCACCCACCACTCCGCAATGGACCCGCGTTATTGGTCATGGCCCGCACTCTCCTATTCCATCCATAGGGAAGCCCTGTGCCCCAGAAGTGGGGGCATTAATAGGCTGATGATGATGATGATGCTATAATAGTTGATATTGTCCACAGTCCATATCGCTAATCTTCGGCAACATAGTGGACATATATGAGCTGACGGTGACACTTCTGGGCAATCTTGAAGATGCCATCGAGATGTCACAAGATTCCCCAACCCCTTACATCGGCAGCTGTTTTGAGGGTGAGTCATTTTCCCATAAATGTTATTTTTTTAACTTATTTAATGTAGGCTTTAATACTTGGTATGGCGTGTAAATATCCATCCACTGGAATGCGGGTTTATATATGTATGCGGCGGGCGAATTATTACGTATGAGCTGCTTAGACACAAAGAAACATCAACACAATGAACCAAGTGGAAATTGAATCCGCGCAATGTCACCAACGACTCACCTGGATGTCTCTCTGCCTCCTCATCGGGCTTGCTGGCGTGGGCACGGCCGATGCAGCTCCTTCTTTCTTCCTCTGGGTGCGGTTGCAATCTTCTACGCGATTTTCGAGATAATTACGCGCTGCGTTTCACTTTGTTTGCGTACGACCTATCTGCACGGAATCTAACCCAGCAGAGAGCGGCCGTTGGAAAATGACGAGCCAACGACCGTTATTAAGTTCGCGTACCCGCGCATAACAATATTCGCAGTACCCACATATCTGCCATCTGGACAGGTTCGCAGATCGAACACTAGGTGGCGTCAGCGAGCATATTGCAAATTCAAAAGCCAAATGCGAACATTGTTGATGTAAAAAATTCACACATAATAAAACGCCCAACCAATACTTGAAACATACAACAGCCTCGCCCACGGGCGTAGCCAGGTTATAGTATTGGGAGGGGGGGTGGGGGGGGGTTGAACCCCCAAAACCCGCCCCCTTGCTACGCCCATGCCCATCGCCCATTTTTGAGAAACCTTCCAGTAAAGTTTTTTTATCTAAACATCTAGCAGTTACATGCTTCAATAATTAAAAATATAACTACAAGAAAGTCACTTTTATCCGAGATAGAAAGGATCATAATTTTTTATCTGGGTATAAACTACGTATCTGCCAAATTTCATTTGAATGCGTTCAGACTTTTTAGCGTGAATGAGTAAATATTCACATATATCCATACAAACTTGGATGACAAAGTTTATGTGTTTGTTGTACAATCACGCAAAAACGGCTGAACGGATTTAGATAAAATTTGCCACACATAATTTAGACATGAGGTACTTTTTATTGCGAAAAAATGTTAGATTCCTGTACACATACATCATACATATCCGGCTCATAGGACCAAAATTAAAAACACATCACACTAATTTCGAAAAAATATTTGCACAAAGGCTGACATTACTAACCTTAATTTGTCATTTTAATCTTTCATCAAACAAACGGCATGGATATTCTGTATACAAAAACATTGCAACATTAAATTGTCGCATTATTTTGTCCTGATTATTTACCTATTATTACAGAACTGGCGGAAGTCGAAGAGTTCCGTGCTTACGTGCGATACGCGAATATAGTCACCAGGAAAGAGTCCAGAGAAGCGCTGCAAAATATTGTGGACGATCCTGCGGTGAGTTTATGAGGGATTATGGGCTGTATTGTCTGTGTAGTAAGTACTATAGTAGATTGTAAGCATATCACGAGGAAAGTGTGTAGAAAAATAAGCGTGTGAGGGATTATAGATTGTATTGTCTGTGTAGTAGGTGTTATAGTAGATTGTAGGCATAGTCGCGAGGAAAGAGTGAAGAGAAGTGAGTGTGTGAGGGATTATAGACTGTATTGTCTGTGTAGTAGGTGTTATAGTAGATTGTAGGCATAGTCAAGAGGAAAGAGTGAAGAGAAGTGAGTATGTGAGGGATTATAGACTGTATTGTCTGTGTAGTAGGTGTTATAGTAGATTGTAGGCATAGTCACGAGGAAAGAGTAAAGAGAAGGGAGTGTGTGAGGGATTATAGATTGTATTGTCTGTGTAGTAGGTGTTATAGTAGATTGTAGGCATAGTCACGAGGAAAGAATGAAGAGAAGTGAGTATGTGAGGGATTATAGACTGTATTGTCTGTGTAGTAGGTGTTATAGTAGATTGTAGGAGTAGTCAAGAGGAAAGAGTGAAGAGAAGTGAGTGTGTGAGGGATTATAGACTGTATTGTCTGTGTAGTAGGTGTTATAGTAGATTGTAGGCATAGACACGAGGAAAGAGTGAAGAGAAGGGAATGTGTGAGGGATTATAGAGTGTATTGTCTGTGTAGTAGGTGTTATAGTAGATTGTAGGAGTAGTCAAGAGGAAAGAGTCAAGAGAAGTGAGTGTGTGAGGGATTATAGACTGTATTGTCTGTGTAGTAGGTGTTATAGTAGATTGTAGGAGTAGTCAAGAGGAAAGAGTGAAGAGAAGTGAGTGTGTGAGGGATTATAGAGTGTATTGTCTGTGTAGTAGGTGTTACAGTAGATTGTAAGCAAAGTCGCGAGGAAAGAGTGAAGAGAAGTGAGTCTGTGAGGTATTATAGACTGTATTGTCTGTGTAGTAGGTGTTATAGTAGATTGTAGGCATAGACACGAGGAAAGAGTGAAGAGAAGGGAGTGTGTGAGGGATTATAGAGTGTATTGTCTGTGTAGTAGGTGTTATAGTAGATTGTAGGCATAGACACGAGGAAAGAGTGAAGAGAAGGGAATGTGTGAGGGATTATAGAGTGTATTGTCTGTGTAGTAGGTGTTATAGTAGATTGTAGGAGTAGTCAAGAGGAAAGAGTCAAGAGAAGTGAGTGTGTGAGGGATTATAGACTGTATTGTCTGTGTAGTAGGTGTTACAGTAGATTGTAAGCAAAGTCGCGAGGAAAGAGTGAAGAGAAGTGAGTCTGTGAGGTATTATAGACTGTATTGTCTGTGTAGTAGGTGTTATAGTAGATTGTAGGCATAGACACGAGGAAAGAGTGAAGAGAAGGGAGTGTGTGAGGGATTATAGAGTGTATTGTCTGTGTAGTAGGTGTTATAGTAGATTGTAGGCATAGACACGAGGAAAGAGTGAAGAGAAGGGAATGTGTGAGGGATTATAGAGTGTATTGTCTGTGTAGTAGGTGTTATAGTAGATTGTAGGAGTAGTCAAGAGGAAAGAGTGAAGAGAAGTGAGTGTGTGAGGGATTATAGAGTGTATTGTCTGTGTAGTAGGTGTTATAGTAGATTGTAGGCATAGACACGAGGAAAGAGTGAAGAGAAGGGAATGTGTGAGGGATTATAGAGTGTATTGTCTGTGTAGTAGGTGTTATAGTAGATTGTAGGAGTAGTCAAGAGGAAAGAGTCAAGAGAAGTGAGTGTGTGAGGGATTATAGACTGTATTGTCTGTGTAGTAGGTGTTATAGTAGATTGTAGGCATAGACACGAGGAAAGAGTGTAGAGAAGGGAGTGTGTGAGGGATTATAGACTGTATTGTCTGTGTAGTAGGTGTTATAGTAGATTGTAGGAGTAGTCAAGAGGAAAGAGTGAAGAGAAGTGAGTGTGTGAGGGATTATAGACTGTATTGTCTGTGTAGTAGGTGTTATAGTAGATTGTAGGCATAGACACGAGGAAAGAGTGTAGAGAAGGGAGTGTGTGAGGGATTATAGACTGTATTGTCTGTGTAGTAGGTGTTATAGTAGATTGTAGGAGTAGTCAAGAGGAAAGAGTGAAGAGAAGTGAGTGTGTGAGGGATTATAGAGTGTATTGTCTGTGTAGTAGGTGTTACAGTAGATTGTAAGCAAAGTCGCGAGGAAAGAGTGAAGAGAAGTGAGTCTGTGAGGTATTATAGACTGTATTGTCTGTGTAGTAGGTGTTATAGTAGATTGTAGGAGTAGTCAAGAGGAAAGAGTGAAGAGAAGTGAGTGTGTGAGGGATTATAGAGTGTATTGTCTGTGTAGTAGGTGTTACAGTAGATTGTAAGCAAAGTCGCGAGGAAAGAGTGAAGAGAAGTGAGTCTGTGAGGTATTATAGACTGTATTGTCTGTGTAGTAGGTGTTATAGTAGATTGTAGGCATAGACACGAGGAAAGAGTGAAGAGAAGGGAATGTGTGAGGGATTATAGAGTGTATTGTCTGTGTAGTAGGTGTTATAGTAGATTGTAGGAGTAGTCAAGAGGAAAGAGTGAAGAGAAGTGAGTGTGTGAGGGATTATAGAGTGTATTGTCTGTGTAGTAGGTGTTATAGTAGATTGTAGGCATAGACACGAGGAAAGAGTGAAGAGAAGGGAATGTGTGAGGGATTATAGAGTGTATTGTCTGTGTAGTAGGTGTTATAGTAGATTGTAGGAGTAGTCAAGAGGAAAGAGTCAAGAGAAGTGAGTGTGTGAGGGATTATAGACTGTATTGTCTGTGTAGTAGGTGTTATAGTAGATTGTAGGAGTAGTCAAGAGGAAAGAGTGAAGAGAAGTGAGTGTGTGAGGGATTATAGAGTGTATTGTCTGTGTAGTAGGTGTTACAGTAGATTGTAAGCAAAGTCGCGAGGAAAGAGTGAAGAGAAGTGAGTCTGTGAGGTATTATAGACTGTATTGTCTGTGTAGTAGGTGTTATAGTAGATTGTAGGCATAGACACGAGGAAAGAGTGAAGAGAAGGGAGTGTGTGAGGGATTATAGAGTGTATTGTCTGTGTAGTAGGTGTTATAGTAGATTGTAGGCATAGACACGAGGAAAGAGTGAAGAGAAGGGAATGTGTGAGGGATTATAGAGTGTATTGTCTGTGTAGTAGGTGTTATAGTAGATTGTAGGAGTAGTCAAGAGGAAAGAGTCAAGAGAAGTGAGTGTGTGAGGGATTATAGACTGTATTGTCTGTGTAGTAGGTGTTATAGTAGATTGTAGGAGTAGTCACGAGGAAAGAGTGTAGAGAAGGGAGTGTGTGAGGGATTATAGACTGTATTGTCTGTGTAGTAGGTGTTATAGTAGATTGTAGGAGTAGTCAAGAGGAAAGAGTGAAGAGAAGTGAGTGTGTGAGGGATTATAGAGTGTATTGTCTGTGTAGTAGGTGTTACAGTAGATTGTAAGCAAAGTCGCGAGGAAAGAGTGAAGAGAAGTGAGTGTGTGAGGGATTATAGACTGTATTGTCTGTGTAGTAGGTGTTATAGTAGATTGTAGGCATAGACACGAGGAAAGAGTGAAGAGAAGGGAGTGTGTGAGGGATTATAGACTGTATTGTCTGTGTAGTAGGTGTTATAGTAGATTGTAGGAGTAGTCAAGAGGAAAGAGTGAAGAGAAGTGAGTGTGTGAGGGATTATAGACTGTATTGTCTGTGTAGTAGGTGTTATAGTAGATTGTAGGAGTAGTCACGAGGAAAGAGTGAAGAGAAGTGAGTGTGTGAGGGATTATAGACTGTATTGTCTGTGTAGTAGGTGTTATAGTAGATTGTAGGCATAGACACGAGGAAAGAGTGAAGAGAAGGGAGTGTGTGAGGGATTATAGAGTGTATTGTCTGTGTAGTAGGTGTTATAGTAGATTGTAGGAGTAGTCAAGAGGAAAGAGTGAAGAGAAGTGAGTGTGTGAGGGATTATAGACTGTATTGTCTGTGTAGTAGGTGTTATAGTAGATTGTAGGAGTAGTCAAGAGGAAAGAGTGAAGAGAAGTGAGTATGTGAGGGATTATAGACTGTATTGTCTGTGTAGTAGGTGTTATAGTAGATTGTAGGAGTAGTCAAGAGGAAAGAGTGAAGAGAAGTGAGTGTGTGAGGGATTATAGACTGTATTGTCTGTGTAGTAGGTGTTATAGTAGATTGTAGGCATAGACACGAGGAAAGAGTTAAGAGAAGGGAGTGTGTGAGGGATTATAGAGTGTATTGTCTGTGTAGTAGGTGTTATAGTAGATTGTAGGCATAGACACGAGGAAAGAGTGAAGAGAAGTAAGTGTGTGAAGGATTATAGACTGTATTGTCTGTGTAGTAGGTGTTATAGTAGATTGTAGGCATTGTCACGAGGAAAGAGTGAAGAGAAGGGAGTGTGTGAGGGATTATAGACTGTATTGTCTGTGTAGTAGGTGTTATAGTAGATTGTAAGCATAGTTACGAGGAAAGAGTGAAGAGAAGTGAGTGTGTGAGGGATTATAGACTGTATTGTCTGTGTAGTAGGTGTTATAGTAGATTGTAAGCAAAGTCGCGAGGAAAGAGTGAAGAGAAGGGAGTGTGTGAGGGATTATAGACTGTATTGTCTGTGTAGTAGGGGTTATAGTAGATTGTAAGCAAAGTCGCGAGGAAAGAGTGAAGAGAAGGGAGTGTGTGAGGGATTATAGACTGTATTGTCTGTGTAGTAGGGGTTATAGTAGATTGTAAGCAAAGTCGCGAGGAAAGAGTGAAGAGAAGGGAGTGTGTGAGGGATTATAGACTGTATTGTCTGTGTAGTAGGTGTTATAGTAGATTGTTGGCATAGTCACGTGGTAAGAGTGTACAGAAGTGAGTCTGTGAGGGATTATAGACTGTATTGTCTGTGTAGTAGGTGTTATAGTAGATTGTTGGCATAGTCACGTGGTAAGAGTGTACAGAAGTGAGTCTGTGAGGGATTATAGACTGTATTGTCTGTGTAGTAGGTGTTATAGTAGATTGCATAAAGGTGATTAATAGGAAAGTAATTAAGTGGTGGTTACGCTTTCATCAATAAGTCTTTAGATTAATGAATTAAGCAGCTTAATGGTAAAAACAAAAATATATTTAACAATCTATTTTGATGGTAACATTTGACTATGGTAACTTCTAGGTGGTTTAGGAAAAAAAATAAATTAAAAAAATGTGATACTTAGTTCGGCATGCCAGTGTTGTTCATCCGCCCGAATAGCGGAATTCTAAAACATTTAATAATTCTTTTCTACTAAAAAATACAATAGGCTATTTTACAGTATGAAGAAAAATGTACCAATTGTTTGAATCTGTATTTAATATGAATATTAGCAGCGATTCTACTATTCTGAAAGATCAAGTAATTAATAACTTTTCTATAAAATCACTAAATAGAAATGAATGTTTTTGCTCCATGGTCACGTGACAGAAAACGCCTGGGATTGGCCAAGACTAAAATGACGCCACACGCTAGTAAATTCCGGACAAAGTGACATTACATTGTATCGTTTGAGATTTTAACGATAGTCGTGTTACGTCACACGCTAACTAGTGAGACGTCATAATGTCCAAAGAAACTTTTTCGCGGCAACTCGAAAATTGAATTTTTAATTTAGTTTTTTTTATTGAATTAAACGACAGAATAGGGTATTTCACAAGTTTTAGAAAACGATCTTACGTTATTTACTAATGTTTATGGAGTCCGTAAAAAGTGGATATCCATCATTCTGTTGTGTAATTCAGTAAAAATAACCAAATCAAAAACTCCATTTTCAAGTTGCCGCGAAAACGTTTTTCTGGATAATATGTCGTCTTACTAGTGTGTGACGTCATACGACCGTTATTAAAACGTCAAACCATACAATCAAATTTTACTTTAACCGGAAGTTTACTTGCGTGTGACGTCATTTTAGGCTTCGCCAATCCCAAGCGTTTTGGGTCACGTGTCAATAGATAAGAAAACTATTATCTTTTCCGTGGGTTTTTAGTTTAGTAATTATGAATATTTTTTTTGTAAAAATAGTAAAAACCTCTGCCAATATTCGTTCTAAACACAGAGGCGAACAATTGGCACTTTATTTTTAATACTGTCTGTAACCTATTGTACCAAAACGTGACGTCATGCGACTTTTCAATTTCAATATATCTCTGCAATGTTTATATTATGTGAAAAAAAGAAAAAATACGCGTCCAATACTTTTTGATAATCCACCTGATGAACGAAGAAAAAAAATAGTCATCATCCCTATTGTTGATAGAAGCTGAGTTTCTTGCCGGTTCTTCTCAGTACAAGGTCTCCCGCCGTAGATTTACGAACCGATGGCGTAGGGTTCGACTTTCACAAGAGCTTGTAACAGCCTAAATTGAATAAATGAGTTTGAGTTGAGTTCGATCTAATACCCTACTAGTTCGTCATCCCCCCCTCCCTCCCCCCCAGCTGTCGGAGCGTCTCCACACGGCGGGGCACGGGTTCCGTCTGGCCGTGAAGTACTACCTGCCGCGCCTGCTGGTGGCGCCCATAGCCCACGTGTTCCTCTACCACCACTACGTGCTGGCGCTGCTGCAGATCGCGCCCGCCACCGACGACCGGGAGAGTTTCAAACAGGTGCGGCGACTTAACATAACGACCTTGTTACACATTATAACGAGAAAAAATGAAGAGAACCTTATTATAATTGTAGCCCATGAGTCTTTACAGCTATTAATGATGATAGGGAGAGTCTTAAACAGGTCGGAGAACTCGAAAAACTCACCAACCTTGTTAAAATTAAAGCCCATGAGTCTTTACAGCCTTTAATGATTATAGGGAGAGTCTTAAACAGCTCGGAGAACTCGGCGAACTCATCAACCTTGTTACAGTTACAGTAAAAGTTTGTCCACAGCTGTGTGTGATGATTGGAAAAGTTTTTAGCAGGTCTGTTAACTCATCATCACATTGTTAAATTTGTTATAATTGTAGTACAACTGTGTCTTACAGCTTTGTGTAAGGGTGGTGTGACTTCGTCGATCTCAAAAATCTTATGAAAATTATTATGATTATGCTACACGTGTGTTTTACCGCTATTTAGCCTTCCTAATAATTCAAGATAAATAAATTTAAGATATATCATCTTTAACAGTTGATTCAGTAGCTTTAATATTTGCAGGTGGAATGCAATCTACATCCAATAAAGAAATTATTAATAAAGGCCTTAGGAAATGGACCCAAAATGTGAGTTACTCTTTCATTATTGTTTACGCTGATTAAACTTTTGTGTTTGATTTATAAATAACTAGCAGTGTGCCCTGTGGTGTTCCACGCGGTTTGTTACGGATATCTTTCCACACTAAAATGTAGTGTCAGCTAACTCCATACCAAAATTTATTAAAATCGCTCCAGCCGTTCAGACGTGAAGAAGTTACAAACGTACACACTCACTCTCATAAGCTTTCGCCTTTATAATTTTAGTGTCATAAAAAGTATTCACTCTTTTTAATTGAATTTGGTTAAATAGGGTAGTCTTTTTTGATATTTTTTAGAGATTTGCAACTAATAAGTACATTACATATTAGTAACTTCTTTTTATCAAAACGCTTGACCTCCTTATTATTAAATTAAACTAGAAATAAGCTTAGTTACGCTGTGTTTTCTTCATATCTCATCATCATCATCATCAGCCTCTTTATGCCCCCACTGCTGGGGCACAGGCCTTCCCTATGGATGGAATTTTGGGCCATGATCAACCACGCGGGCCCAGTGCGGATTGGCGGGTGCTAATGATTGTGCAACCAGGTGCAACGGCTTAACGTGCCTTTCGAAGCATGGAGGAGCTCGAGATAGAAAATTTTTGGTCACCCATCCAATGACCGACCACTGCGAAAGTTGCTTAACTACATCGATCGCAGCCGAACGCGCTAACATTTTTTTTTACTGAATAACACAACAGAATTAAAAATAAAAAACACTTTTTTTGGACTCCATAAACATTAGTAAGTGACCTGAGATCGTTTTCTAAAACTTGTTAAATGCCCTGTTTAGAGATTTTATACAGAGAACGAATTGAGCTTCCTTATTTAAGCGAGCTCGAATTATTACTGTAAATAAATATTTCTAACACTCACACCAATTAGCCTAGCTCCAAAGTAAGCACTGTAAGGCTTGTGTTATGGGATACTAGGGTAACGGATAGAATACATAATATACTGTACATATATAAGTATATTTTTGTAGAAATACATATTAAACATCCATGACTGGAGTACAAATGCTCTTATTCATCACACTAACATCTGCCCTCACCGGGATTCGAACCCGGGACCTCTCCGAGTCGGCGACACCATGTAACCCGGTGTACAAACCACTCGGCCATGGAGGTCGTCGGAGTGGATTCTGGCATGATTTTATAAACATAAACTTAATTGACAACATTTAATTTAATTAAGTCCCGGCTGCATCTGCAGTCGTTAGCACCCGCCAATCCGCACTGGGCCCGCATGGTGGGTTATGGCCCTATCAATCAATACCATCTATGGGGAAGGTCTGTACCTTAATAGGCTGATGATGATGAAAATATAATGTTATTGCAATATAAACCTTATTTCTAGTGACGCAACGTTGCGAATGGCGGTCCGAGCTCGCCGCCAACTAGCCATAGAGAAGTGCAACGAGTTGGCGCGACTAGTGGACAACTGGGACACCAGTGACACGGGACAGTGCTGCAATGAGTTTATTAGAGGTGAGTGGGGACAGTAGGAATCTACATGGGGACAGTGGGATTACAACCTCGGATAGTAGGAAATAAAGGAACAGGTGGAAGGTGAGGGGGTAAGTGGGATTCTAGTGGGGGACAATGAGTCATTTGCCGACATTGGGACGCCGGGGATAATGAGACACGAGGATGGCAGCGGGGACAATGGGACATCGGGGTCATGATGAAACAGAGAACAGTTTTCACTTTTTTTTAATTAAATCAAAGAAGAACAACGTTTTGAGTTAATCTTGTATCAAATACTTCCTTTACGGTTATTTCTAATATTATTTCTCACATAGTGACTACTAAACATGAGAGAAATTTTTCACATTATAATGAATATAAATAAAATAAAAAGGAATGAAAATGTTGTGCCTAAACCGAGTTACTAATTAGTTTATTGAATATTAAAGAATTTATATTAAATATATCAATGTGACTATATTTATAGTTGTATGATTTCATAGCTCTCACAATGAAGCGATTGCTTGCTTAATTAGTATAATTAGCAAATAGTACAAATAATTACCTTCTAACAGTTTTAATAAAGCTAAAGAAAATATGACTAGAAAAAATTCCACTCGGGCCAGGCAGCAGACGGGACTCGAACCCGCACCCTTCGCTATCCGGGCGAATGCACTGACCATTTATATATTAGGTAACCCATTGTGGGTTACCTACAATGCGAAGAGATGGCTACGCTGCCTTGCAGCATAAGAATGGCTAGAGGAATTTCGACGCGGCCGTCAGGGCCGCGGTAGCATAATTGGTCAGTGCGTTCACCCGGATAGCGAAGGGTGCGGGTTCGAGTCCTGTCTGCTGCCTGGTCCGCGTGGAATTTTTTGTAGTTATATTTTATTTAAATTTAAACATAAAGCAAATAGATGTTTAAAAAATAAAATTATAACTAGTCTTAATAAAGCTTAAAGTTAATATTGCAAATTCTTTTTCCCAGAGGACACATTGTCCAAGATAGGCCCGGGCAAAAGGATAGCGGAGAGACGCGCGTATCTATTCGACGGATTACTGTTGCTGTGCAAGCCCGTCGCTGGATTAGTTAACGCGGTAAATATTCACTACACTACACTAACAGTACACTACCTACATCGACACTACAATACACTACAAAAGGATAGCAGACATTATAACAAACAAAATATTCTTACAAAAAATCAATACTTTAAAATACGATATCATCATCATCAGCCTATTAATGATCCCACTGCTGGGGCTCAGGCCTTCCCTATGGATGGAATAGGGAGATTGATCCATGACCCATCACGCGGGCCCAGTGCGGATTGTCGGGTGCTACTGCAGATGCAGCCGGGACCAACGGCTGAAGGTGCCTTCCGAAGCACGGAGGAGGGAGAGACAGAAAATTTTTGGTCACCCATCCAATGACCGACCACTGCGAAAGTTGCTTAACTTCAACGATCGCAGCCGAACGCGCTAACCTAGTATATAATATTGATTCTAGCTGTCCCAGCGAACTTCGAACCGCCATAAAAAATAGGGGTTGGTGGTAGAAGGGTGAAAATTTAGGGTTGTATGTATTTTTGTATGATGTATCATAAAAAAAAATATCCAAAATTGAAAAAAAAAAATTAGGGTTGGATTACCCTTAACATTTAGGGGGATGAAAAATAGATGTTGTCCGATTCTCAGACCTACCCAATATGCACACAAAATTTCATGAGAATCGGGAAAGCCGTTTCGGAGGAGTTTAACCACAAACACCGCGACACGAGAATTTTATATATTAGATATTTGTTTGTACAGGTGAACAGTAGTGCCGTATCAGGGAGTGGGGGGGGAGCGCCTCAACTCAAACTCAAAGAGAAATTACACGTCAGGAAACTGGAGCTCGTCGACAGGCCCGACACCGAGGGTGAGTCATTCATATCTATATCTATATCGGTGTATCACCATACAAGTATAACAATAGAATGGGGAAGGCGCCTCTAAAAGTGCCCCTCTAGTAGAAAGAGAAACAAGATGAGAATCCGCTAGCTATCTCATTCTTATTATTAGATAAATGTTATTATGATGTATCGGAATTTTTAAATGACAAAGGACATTGGGCAAAAATGTATGGACGCTGCACCCACGTCCGCCACGGCTTAAACTACATTTGTTTGTAAGGTATTATAGTCATGATCATCTGTGACAAAGCGCATCAAATTCCATCCCGGGGGTCTTTAGTTATTTTAAGTTAAATGTGTACAATTACAAACATTAATGCAGCAAGGGAATTAATTTAGTTAGTTCGAGTCTACATAGGATGCTCAGGAATTATGGGAGTACTTCACAAGGTGCAAATGTGCCCCCTTATGTTATTCTGCCGCGTTAGAGCAAATTCAAATATCCCAGCATGGGTTGGTTTTTTTTTTAAACATTCTGTTCGTTATTATAAATTGTCCGTTTTACATAGAAGATATGTAAAATGAAGCGACCACAGATTACACAAACTTGTCCACGCTTCGGAGAACACATAATTCCAGTTCATCCATACTAATTGACAAAACCGATAATCGTGTTCCAATGTCCAAAGCGTGTTAGATAAAAATCAATCAAGTAGCAGGGAGCGCACAATCACAACGAAGTAAGACGAGTCGACTATTTGCAACTGCAAGTCCTTCAACATCCGTAAACCGTTTTGAAATGTCTCAGTAAGAGCAAGCGCAGGATGGTCGGCAGGCTTTGTCGTATATCTGGTTGTATAGTACGATATGGCATATTATTACGATTACTAATAATATAAAATGAAGGTACTATAAAATGAATTTATTCAGCTACTTAAATATGCCCATGTGTCATATCTATTGACTACCAGGATATTTTTTACGGTGTCATATCTTTTGACTCCCAGGATATTTATTTTCGGTGTCATAATGAAAAAGTCTAGTTTTTCATAGATCTATTGATTCATACTAATTACATTGTTGGCGGAGCTGGGGGTGTTTTGACCATTGTCCTTTTGAATTATAATTATGTTTTTATTATTATTATTTTTATTTTTTGATTAATTTTGACATTTTATTATTCAATTGGCATCATTTGAATTTGACATGTTTTATTATTGACAAATTGTGAATTATGATTATGTTTTTATTATTATTATTTCTATTTTTCTGATTAATTTTGACATTTCATTATTGGATTGGAATCAATTGAATTTGACATGTTTTATTATTGAATATTAAGATTTTTGACTTGGAACTTAAATAACATGATGAATATGTATGCCCATATCGGCACGACATGTTATGCACCCCTCAAATCATAACATCTTACTTACACATGTTGTTACAAATAAAAATTGTCTTTCTTTCTTTCTCTCTTTCTTGTGACGCATGCCATCCAATGGCATCACATCCAAATAGTAAGATTTTTACGGTTGCCAATGCGCATGCGCGATTAGAGAGAGAAAGCTAGCGGTCTCTCATCTTCTGTCTCTTTCTATTAGAGGGACACTGCCACTGGTAGTAGAGCCTATATCTCCCCTACTCTATTCTTATACCTGTATGTGTATAACGTGTTTTTTTATTTTTATTTATTCTTTATGCACAAATGTACAATGGCGGACTTAATGCCGTAGGCATTCTCTACCAGTCAACCATAGGATGTTGTGGATATTATTAGTGGTAGGGTGCACAACTGAAGTGGAGATCACATTGAAGTTTATAAAAATAATAAATATAAATAATAATATATAAACGTACACATACATAACTTAATATATTTAAATAAATACACAAATACATACATATTTCCAAAATAAATACAAAATAATGACGACAAACAACTCAACGAAACGCCTGATCTAATAAAAAGCTTCGCAGTTTGGTTTTAAAGGTATATTTACTGGGGGACATTCTGATATCTAGCGGGAGATCATTCCACAAAAGTATCGTTTTTACGAAGAAGGAAGAGTGAATAATATCGGAGCTGTGATGGAACGATAAGTAAACGATTAGAAGAAGATCGAAGATTTTTACTATGAGAGGTACATAAGTACTGAAATTGAGAAGTGAGATAAGGGGGAGCATTTTGAGAATCCAGCAAAGAGAACAGGGTTGTCAGAGCCCGCATACTTCTGCGCTGCCTAATGGGCATCCATTTTAAGAGAGATCGGTATGCGGACACATGGTCATATTTTCTCAGATTGAAAACGAATCGAATGCAGTTATTCTGAAGGCGATCAAGTTTGTTGAGTAGATCTGCATTCAGGTCGAGGTAGCACAAATCACCATAGTCAATTATGGGAAATATTAAGGTTTGCACAAGCATTGCCTTGATATTGACCGGCAAAAAATTTTTCATTCGATAAAGGGCACGCAGGGTTCCCGTTACTTTTTTACAGACACTACCAACTTGGTCCTGCCATTTAAAACTCGAGTCGATATACAAGCCCAGATCTTTAACGACGTTGCTAAAAGGTATTGTAGTACCGTCATGAATAATGGAACCAAGACTGTTGATGTCAATTTTGCTCATCATCCTTGACCCCCCTAGTAAAATGGCTTGGCATTTTGAAGCATTGACAGTGACCCCAAATTTTTCCGACCAGGTTTTAATAGCGACTAAGTCACTGTTTAGAGCATCAATGGCTTTGTTTAAATTGTCGATGCTTGCTTCAGTATATAATTGTAAGTCGTCAGCATATAGATGATACGAACACTGAAGATTGTGAGTGATAAAATCAATAAAAGTTGAAAAAAGAAGAGGAGAGAGAATACCGCCTTGGGGAACACCAGTTTCAAGGTTGCGCCAGGATGAGGAATATTCCCCAGACCGGACCAACTGCCGGCGGTCCCGAAGATAAGAAGAGAACCAAGTCAACACATCGTCAGAGACCATAAGATGGGATAGTATAGAAAGGAGAATATCGTGACTGACAGTATTAAAAGCATTGGAGAAATCGATAAGTACTAAACATGTTACTTTACCGTTCTCCATTCCCGCCCTAATATCGCCAGTCACCTTTAAGAGCGCTGAAATTGTGCTATGTCCTGACCTAAATCCGGATTGGAGGGGGTTCATCAATGAATTTTTGTGGACATATTGAGATAATTGCTTGTGAACGCAGGCCTCTAGCACTTTTGACATGAAGGGGAGGATAGAAATCGGCCGAAATTCATGTGGCTGTGTTGGATTGGAAACTTTGGGAAGAGGCCGTACATAAGCTTTTCGCCATAGCATAGGAAAAGTGCTGGTTTCAAGAGAAGAATTCATTAAATGCGTTATAGCAGAAAGAAGAGGGTCAAGAATAGTAATGATCATGCGACGACTAATATCATCACACCCTATCGCATTTGACTTAATGGAAAGTATTATCTTTTTAATCTCTGTCGATGTGACTGGTGAAAAATGGAAGGGGTCGACGTTAGGACGCGTTAAACCATTTATGGAAGCAACAGTGCTTGCTGTAGAATCACGATCCAACTTAAAAGTTGTGGTGAAATGAATTGAGGTCGTTTAAGTTTATTGAATTAGATAGGTCTAAATGTCGCGATTTGCCGATACCTAGTGTTCCAAGGAACTTCCAGATATCTGCAGAAGATGAGGAAGAAAGATTGTTGAGAATATATCGGCGTTTGGCGTTACGTATCATCTGATTACACCGATTTCTAGCAGCCTTGAAGAGTTTCCACTTTTCGTCAGAGCGATCCTTTCTATAACTGCGATAAGTACGATTTCTACGTCTCATCGCCATCTGAATACCTGCTGTCATCCAAGGAGCTGGTTCACGCTTTAGCTTCACTTTTCTGATGGGCGCGTGGACATCGTAAATGTTCAACAGGGTATTGTTAAATATTTTTAGCTTTTCGTTGACATCCGAAGCTTGAAACATAGGGTCCCAATTGATCCCTGAGACATCCTTTAGTAATTTGTCTAAGTCCATACGCGCGAATGAGCGCCTGTGCAAAACCTTGGGAGGGAATTTGGGGGGCTTAAACCGATAGGAAAGGAAGATGAGGTCATGATGAGAGAAGCCAGGAGCGATATGTTGACCATGTGATGTGACGAGAGAGGGATTAGAGGTGAGGATTAAATCCAGCCATGTATCATCACCACAAGAGTTTTGGTGAGTTGGTTGAAGGGGTAAAATATGTAGGCTTGCGGACTGGACAATATGAAGGAGTTTTCGGGAACGTGAGGATTCGGGAGCGAGGAGATTGGTATTAAAATCACCCATGATGATAATATGTGCATATTCAGACCCTAAAGATTCTAGAACCTCTTCAAGTTCGGTGAAATAATCGACTGTGGGGGGACAATAAACTACACCAATAACTGCTTTAGCACGACCTGTCCCAATCTCCAGAAAAATATATTCCGAATTGGAGTCAGAGTTGGAGGAAGTTTTTAGTTTATACAAAAATGTACTACGTAGGTAGATAGCGACACCACCTCCGCCACGGCCACAACGATCATTCCGAATTAAGGTAAAACCAGGGAGAGAATAAGTGGGAGATAGAAGATGTGGTTTTAACCAAGATTCGGAAATTAGTATAGCGTGTACATTTCGCCCAGAGAACACATCAAGCAACTCGTCATAATGACTAGGTAAACTTTGAGCATTCATGTGACATATATTCAATAGACCTGGAGATTGGTCAAGAGTTCGATGCAAAAAATCACCAAGTGTGTCGGTAGCTGAACAGAAGCTTTCATTAATAGAAGTGTCTGCAGATTCGTCATCAGCAGATAAGAATTCGTCGTCTGATACTTATTTATTACTATTATAGTTATTACTTACTTACTTAGTTATTACTATTTTAAGAAAAAAATGTCATTGATAAATTGTGTTCAGAATTAATGCGTTAAACATGAGGATTGAGGTACTCTGCATGCTGAAATACAGGATGAAAATCCTAGTTCTTAGTTTTATTTTTTACATTTATTGATTTTTTTTTTCATTGAATTTTCATCTGAGCCACAATAGCTATTAAAGACAGCTTTACTGTTTTTTTTAGTAGTCCATTTTTACCGTCTTACCTAAAAGAAAATGTGGTCTACACTCATTTCAATATCTTGCTATAAATCTATATATTTAATCACTATAATTTTACCATATTCCAAAGACTTGAAAAACCGTTAAGACTAGATTTACTTACTAATAATAATCTTAGAAATTTCTTCTGAGTCATTGGTATATGGGGTAATGTATTTTTCATTAAGAAAATATTACAAGAATATTTAATCCACACAGACCAGGCATCAGACGGGACTCGAATACGCACACTTCGCTATCCGGGCGAATACACTGACCATTACGCATTATGTGTTATCTACAATTTGAAGAGATGGCGCTGCCTTGCAGCTTAAGAAATGCTAGAAAGAATTCGACACGGCCATCAGGGCCGCGGTAGTATAATGTAGTACATACGCCCGGATAGCGAAGGGTGCGGGTTCGAGTCCCGTTTGCTGCCTGGTCCGCGTGGATTATATTCTAGTTACATTTTCTTTAGATTTAAACATCGAGCAGTCACATGCTTAAAAAAAATATGACTGTATTTTTCATTGCTTTTTGTGTGTTTTCTAGAGGGCCGCAACCTAGTAGAATTATGCCCACGCGTGGGCCCCCCCGTGGTCCTGGCGTTGGGTTCGAGTGCCGACAAAAGGAACTGGATGTGCGACCTGGTGATGCTCAACACGAAACCGATGCTGGACAGGAGTTTGGACAGGTCAGTATGTTCCTTTTGCTGTAATGTCGCGTGACGTCACACCTTCGTATTTTTTTAACTTTGGCACTGTTAACCATTATTTATTGATTGATCGACAAAAGAAAAAAATAAGCATGCATATTTTTTTGATAAATATATGACATTATGCTTCCACGGCCCTATTGGCCGCGTCGAAAATTTCCTAGCCTTAAGCTGCAAGGCATCGCCATCTCTTCGCATTGCGGGTAACCCACAATGTCAAATGAATACTTTTTCAAGTATTAAACATTTGAAAGAAGAAATAACAAAAAAATCCACGCGGACCAGGCAGTCCCGTCCGCTGCCTGGTCCGCGTGGATTTTTTTCTAGTAAACTTTTCGTTAGATTTAAACATCTAGCAGTTAAATGCTTAAAAAATAAATAAAAACATAAATATGTGACACTCTATAATAAGCTTTTTTTTAAATAGAAATAACTTTTATTGCTTAAAGACTGTGTACAATTTTGCTCTTGGAATTGCAATAATTAAAAAAAAGTAAACAGTGTGCCCACAACGGGCATGCAATGGTAAAATTTATAACTTAAAACTATCTTCAATTAAAAATTACATTTTAGAGTCTAAATTATATATAGTTTTACAAATGTAATATTCATCAAGACTGTAGAAGACATTAAAATCTAATGTCTTTAAATTAATAAGCTGGTTACTACTTAAGTAGTAACCAGCTTATTAATTTAAATTTAAACAACGGCATATGAGTGCTTTAATTTCTGCAGGCAAATGATTGAAGATCTTTATGTTAGTACTGAAAATGAAAATGAAGAAACTGCTTTCATAATAAGTTGGAAAAGCCTCAATGGCTTTTTTTTGGCTTCGAGCATAAGTATAATAGGAGGAGCTGGGGCTTATTTTACAGTCCGGAGGTTACGGGCCCGTTGAATTGGAATCTCAAATAATGTTCAATCAAAACTAACTAAAACAATGTTAAAAATTACTATATTTATAAATTAAACACTATGTCAAAAACTCGCTGTAGGTTTGTCATACAGTTTTATATAGCTCCTGTAAAATTTAATTTAATGTAACCATTCGGTTTTATTCGCTAGCTCCACATATAGTAAAGAATACAGCCTTTGCTGAGTTTCTTGCCGGTTGTTCTCAGTACAAGGTCTCCCGCCGTAGATTTACGAGCCGATGGCGTAGCTTCTAGACTTTCATGAGTGCTTGTAACAGCCTAGACTGAATAAATGTTTTTGTTTAAATTTAAAGAAAAGTTTATTAGAAAAAAATCCACGCGGACCAGGCAGCGGACGGGACTCGAACCCGCATCCTTCGCAATCCGGGCGAATGCACTGACCATTATGCTACCGCGGCCCTATTCGCCGCGTCGAAATATTCCTAGCCTTAAGCTGCAAGGCAGCGCCATCTCTTCGCATTGTAGGTAACCCACAATGTCAAATGAATATTTTTTCAAGTATTAAACATTTGAAAGAAGAAATAGCAATTATAGTTAAGATTTTATTTATTTTTAAGCATTTAACTGCTAGATGTTTTTCGATGATGATGATGATGCTAGGTGATTTTCTAGTAAACTTTTCTTTAGATTTAAACATCTAGCAGTTAAATGCTTAAAAATAAATAAAATCTTAAATGTTTTCGATTATAATTTTGGTGTTCCCACAGCATCCTATTGGACCTGGAGAGGCGGCACCCCCTGAAGTTGCCGCCGGTGTGTCTGTACCGTTTCGCGGTGCCCGACTCGCCGCAGAACATCGTGCTGGAGGAGAGGAGTCCGCAGAGTAACGCGCCGCCGCTCATTAAGGTCATTATAATATACTAAATACATTTAACATTGCATAAATAAAGCACTTTTCCAATAATAGAAAGAAAGAGAAATAGTTCGTTAAAATATCATCATCATCGTCATCAGCCTATTATTGTTCCCACTGCTGGGGCACAGGCCCTCCCTATGGATGGAATAGGGAGTGCGGGCCATGACCCACCAGGCGGGCCCAGTGCGGATTGGTGGGTGCTAACGACTGCAGATGCAGCCGGGACCGACGGCTTAACGTGCCTTCCGAAGCACGAAGAAACTCAAGATAGTAAATTTTTGGTCACCCATCCAATGACCGACCACTGCGAAAGTTGCTTGACTTCAACGATCGCAGCTGGTCGCGCTAACCACGTGCGCCATCGAGCTCCTCCAGGATATTCTGTGAAATATATTTTTACTAGGAAGCTGATACGACTGACTCCTACCACAGTAGAATACAAAGTGAACGAACTGAATGCGTGAATGATCGAATGAGTGGGGGTTGAACGAACGAATGAAGTGTTTGAGTTAAGACTGAACGAACAATTATACTTTGGCATTACCTAGTCTTGTTACTTTCCTTTTATTACTAAAGGAATACAAATTATAATATATATAGATTAATTTTTGCCAATTTAAATTCAACAAAAATATCATCATCATCAGCCTATTAATGTCCCCACTGCTGGAGCACAGGCCTTCGCTATGGATGGAATAGGGAGATTGGGAAGTGACTAACCACGCAGTCCCAGTGCGGATAAGTTGGCGCTATCGACTGCAGATGCAGCCGGGACCAACGGCTTAACGTGCCTTCCGATAGCGCCCCCCAATCCGCACTGGGCCCGCGTGGTTTGTCACGTCCCAATCTCCTTATTCCATCCATAGGGAAACCTGTACCCCAGCAGTGGGGACATTAATAGGCTGATGATCAATATTATCTTTATAATTGAGGCTGTCAGCGCAAAAGTTGGCTAACCCTTTCATCATCTTCATTCATCTTCTACAATTAAATAAAAAGGTGTTAAAATTTAATTCAAAATCGGCCTATCTCTTGTTTCACCAGGCGTCAATAGATGGCGTTGCAAAAGTTCTTTTTGCAGTGATTTCTCTCAACGTAAACTCCATAAGTGGCCTTAGCCGCTTAATCAGAATATGAATAATTAAGGTACAAGCCACTTTTGCGATGACAGCCTTAATTAACACGTAAATTTTGTCTCAAACAGGGCGCAACCCTCCTTAAACTGGTGGAACGCCTCACATACCACATATACGCGGACCTCTCCCTCGTGCGCACGTTCCTGACCACGTATCGCTCGTTCTGCTCCCCCGCGGAGCTGCTCCAATTGCTCATAGAGAGGTTCCGTATACCGGAGCCCAGCGAGGTCTACGACGCGCCTAGGACAGGTCACATGAATTATATACACGTAACGCTACACTATATGCATGGTACTACACTGAAACATCATAAAAAAAAATAGTAATAAGTCTAAAATCATGACCTATGATTTTATTTATTTTATAAGCATTTAACTGCTAGATGTTTAAATCTAAAAAAAAGTTTACTAGAAAAAAATCCACGTGGACCAGGCAGCGGACGGGACTCGAACCCGCATCCTTCGCTATCCGGGCGAATGCACTGACCATTATGCTACCACGGCCCTGTTAGCCGCGTCGAAATTTTCCTAGCCTTAAGCTGCAAGGCAGCGCCATCTCTTCGCATTGTAGGTAACCCACAATGTCAAATGAATACTTTTTCAAGTATTAAACATTTGAAAGAAGAAATAGCAATTATAGTTATGATTTTATTTTTCTAGTAAACTTTTCTTAAGTCTAAAATTATGACCTAAATTTAAAAATAGTAGCCAAATATTGAACCTAGACAATGGTGCCAATTCTGGCGTGATTCTCTAAACTTAACACTCAATTTAACATCAGTCTCACCTTTTCATTCTTTATAGAGAATGACAAGGATATACTGCTGTAAAATTTTAGTTTAGGTATAGAGAATCATGCTAGAATCGACACCAATAATCACCTAAACTTGATTCTACCGATTTTGATTTTGTGGTTTAAACTAACTAAAACTACACGCAAAACACTACAAAAAATACGTTATTCCAAAACACAATGACATCTACATTATGACGATAGGGTATTTGACAAGTTTTAGAAAACGATCTCACGTTATTAACTAATGTTTATGGAGTCCGTAAAAAGTGGATAATCATCATTCTGTTGTGTATTTCAGTAAAAATAACCAAACCGAAAACTCAATTTTCAAGTTGCCGCGATAGTTTCTCTGGACAATATGGCGTCTGACTAGTGTGTGACGAAAAAATTGATTCTTAACTATTTAATAATAACTTCTCACATTATTAACACGCCACACACTTCGCTAGACATTATTTCAATTAAGTATTTCATTATGTTAACATGTTTATTATATTTAATTAATGTTAACGTTTTGTGCACGCTAACCTCAGTGCCGCGGATAAAACCGCCCAAAAAGGACATTATTACCATCACATTGGAAATGGACATCGGTAAAGTATTTAGGATCATCATTATATAGCTACATATAACTATTGTTTTATTGACTCTGCATGTTCTTACCGGTTGACTGGTACAGAATGCCTTGCTGGCATTAGGTACGCCATACGCAAAGTAAAGGCAATAAAGATTAAATAAATAAAATAAATGAACTATCCCGTCAAATGTGTAAGCAAAATAGCGCTCTTCACAGTGGGTGTATTCCGAAATGTACATCAGTATACTGGCCAGTGGTAATGACGTCACGAATCCGACGCCATATTGCTATCATATTTTTACCGGGAAAACGAATATGACGTATGACCGAGTGTGCGTGAGATGCATTCGAATTTTATTTCTTTTTTATTTAAAGAACAATAACTGCATCCGGACAAAAAGAATTTCTTTTTTAACTGATGATGTGAATAAAAAATCTTCTTTATTCGCACTATTTTTAATATTTCGTCGATTTATGACGTCAGTGCACTGGCCAATATATTTCGGAACAATTCACCAGTATAGCGTCGACTCATGACGTCATTAGCACTGGCCAGTATACTGGTATATATTACGGAATACAGCCCCTGTCTGTGTTAACCCGCCGTTTTGGTTTTCACGGCCGGAAAATAAAAGAAAAGACCCGTCCGATTTTCCTCTTATAATTCGAGTTTTACTGTATTATACTTCATTTGTGTAAATCAATCCTGAATAGTCTCTCTACAAGCTTATGTATATATTAGATGTGTAAATTTAAATCCATTACTAAATATGATAAAACGCAAAATATGAAAAATTAAAATTATTTTCACAACGCGTGGCAGTAATCTACTATCTCCAATGATAGAGATTTTTTGTCGTTGGCAGAAATCTGCCATTTACACAGACCAGGGGATAAATAATATAAAATAGATTACCAAAACGGTGAAAAGGACAGTACTTTAGAAGAAATTAAAAATTAATTCAGATGAAACTGTCTATGTAATATTTTTATATTTTGATTTGAACCCACCATAATAAAGAGTGAAGGGAACACAAATAACAAGATAAATAATTAGAAACACGACAGCCGTTAAAAAATTGTATTGTTTCATTAACAGCGGAGAGTATAGAATGCACTCCCAGCAGCGACGCGGAGAAATTAAGCAAAAATACGGCGAGAGAAGACTGGAAGAGATACCGGAAAGAGTTTCAGCAACCTGTCAAGTTCCGGTGAGTTATTCAGATAATCACACTTATATTAAAAAGATGAAAGTTTTTGAGTGTGTATGTTTGTTTCTTAGGTTTTCACGCACATCACTCATTAAATAAAACTAGTTTTTACGGGTTAATGCACGAAACTTTATTTATTTATTGACGTTTCGCAGCCTTTTCAGGTCTGCATCGTCAGAATGATATGTGTATGTTTGTTAGTAATTCACGTCTAAATATTATAATATTCTGCATTTATTTTACTGCGGGAAAATATTCCTAATAAACCGCGTGTGACACCGCGGGGCACAGCTAGTTGACACATAAGTGTAAGAGAGATGAAACGATCGTGCGTACAATAGTTTGCATTTTCAATATATTTCTGATAATAATTAGGTTTTTTCTTTATCTTAAAATGACGAAATGTTTCAACATGTTATATAAAAAAAAACAAAACACATTTCACACGTCTAATTTGACACAAAAATCTAATCTGCATTTATTTTACAACTAATTCACGACTGCCGGCTTTATTTGACATAAAAATCGTAAAATCTAATCTGCGTTTACTTCACAATTCACGACAGCCGGCCTAATTTGACAGAAAAAGCGTAAAATATCTAATCTGCGTTTATTTCACAATTCACGACAGCCGGCCTAATTTGACAGAAAAAGCGTAAAATATCTAATCTGCGTTTATTTCACAATTCACGACAGCCGGCCTAATTTGACAGAAAAATCGTAAAATGTCTAATCTGCGTTTACTTTACAATTCACGACGGCCGGCCTAATTTGACAGAAAAATCGTAAAATATCTAATCTGCATTTATTTCACAATTCACGACAGCTGGCCTAATTTGACAGAAAATTCGAAAATAATTAATCTGCATTTATTTCACGATTCACGACAGCCGGCCTAATTTGTATTAGGTGTAGGAATTAGGTGATTCGGGCCTTATTGACAACAGCAGTCTTTCCTTTTCATTTGGTAAATAGCATTACGAGGAGCTCGATGGCGCAGGTGGTTAGCGCATTCGGCTGCGATCGTTGTATTTAAGAAACTTTCGCAGTGGTTGGTCATTGGATGGGTGACCAAAAATCTTCTATCTCGAGTTCCTTCGTGCTTCAGAAGGCAAGTTAAGCCGTTTGTCCCGGCTGCATCTGCAGTCGTTAGCACCCACCAATCCGCACTGGACCCGCGTGGTGAGTCATGGCCCAATCTCCCTATTCCATCCATAGGGAAGGCCTGTACCTCAGCAGTGGGGACATCAATAGGCTGATGATGATGATTACGAGGAAACACTGGGCAAATTTAATTTTAGGTTCAGAGAATCTTGCCTGAATCAATTCCTATATTTCTATCATGTATCTAAAACATCTGGCTTTTGTACAAATTCTGCGTTAAAGTTACAATATCACAGGATTTTGCATATTTTCTACCTATTCGTATTTTCTCCCCATTAGTACCAATAATAAAAAAAATCTCAATTGTTTCCTTCTTTCAGTGTTATAAATGTCCTACGCCACTGGGTGGATCAGCATTTTTACGATTTTGAACGCGAGCCCGCCCTACTCGACAAACTGAGGGAATTCCTAGAGTCTGTGGACGGAAAACCTATGAAGAAATGGGTGCAGAGTGTGCTGAAGACTGTGCAGAGAAAGGTGAGTCGTATAAATGTTAGGAAATAAGGTGCAATATTCAGTGGAATTGATGGAGAAAGATTTTAATGAAGACATCGTGTTTGCTGGAAAATAGGACAATTTTCAGTTGAATATTATAGCCTTATTATATCACATCGCCGTAGGTTTCAATGTTGATAAAAAACTAAAAAAGCTGTAACGCATCTGAAATGTCACGGAGCCTGTTAATGGTAAAAAGCGCTCTTTAAACTCGTATCAACATTGTTTTATCAATATCAGTATTAGGTTTGTGGCGGCGACATCTATATATCCCAGATATAACTAACATGGTGGAAATAATCACTTGCCTCCTCAAAAGATGGCGCTACCTACGCTGCGATCACAATAGTATAGCTATATATAGTAGCCTACATCGCGCAAGTGAAATTCGGAGGCTAACATTCTATATATACAAAGCCTGACCATCATCAGTTTACCATCACCCAACTCGGAGGATGATCTTCCTCGTCGGCTTTCCTACAGGTTTACAAAATCATGTCATAGCTGTACCCAATTTTTGTCACTTGTTTTGAATTGAATTACCTCTATTGTTTAAATGTAAAGAAAATTTTACTAGTCAAAAATTCACGCGGTTTTTTTACTAGTAAAACGCGCGCTATCCGGGCGGAGGCACTGACCCATTGTGCTACCGCGGCCCTAATTGTCCATGTCGAATTTTCTGTAGTATTTCTTATGCCGCAAGGCAGCGCCATCCCTCCGCATTGTATCATCATATGGGAACCCCCAATGTTGAAACCTTTTCAAGATATTAAACATTTGAAAGAAGAAATAACAATAATAGTTATATGTTTTATTTTTAAGTGTTGACTGCTAGATGTTTAAATCTAAAGAAGATTTCTCGTCTGCAGCCTGGGCTGTGTGAAATTTTTTCTAGTAAAATTTTCTTTAGATATAAAGATCTAGCAGGTAAATGTTTAAACATAAAAAATATATCTATATTGACAATGTCAAGCTTATTTTGACAGACCAGTATTAACTATATTTTTTTTTTAACCCACCAATTAGTCTGGCCCCAAGTTAAGCACTATAAGGCTTGTGTTATGGGATACTAGGGTAACGGATAGAATACATAATAATATACTGTACATATATAAATATATTTCTATAAAAAATACATATTAAACATCCGTGACTGGAGTACAAATGCTCGTATTTATCACACAAAGATCTGCCCCCACCGGGATTTGAATCCGGGACCTCTCGAGTCGGCGACACCATGAGACTCGGCGTACAAACCACTCGGCCACGGAGGTCGTCATACATCCAGCATGGAGCACCACGCAATTAAATCCTTTGTTTTCCGTGGTCCACCTCGTAGTCCACTCAAGTGGACCATGGGGATTATTTATTTCCCGTGGTTCACCAGGTGGACCACGGGTATTTTTTTCCCCCCAGTAGTTCACCTGGTTGAACCACGGGAAATAATTTTTATCCGTGGTCCACCTGAATCTTCCTCAATTTATTACGGCTCTTGGGTGTCTTGAGAACAATAAGAATTGCAAAATCAAAAAGACGCAAATTAATTGAAAACAATGATTATATAAAAGATATTCAGTTAATTAACAACAACATTTCGCATCGCTTTAGAAAAACTACTATAGTTAAATGATTTTAAAATATACGCGATTTTAAAAATTGTAAATGTTTTTGACGTGACAACGTCTTAAATTAGGTTGCGGCTGGGAGTCACTTATGAAAAAGTGTAACGCTCGGTAACGTTACGATGAGTCTCTCGTGTTAAGTTTAAGTTTACATGTACAATGTTTTAGTAAACAAAATATATTTCTATAGTTAAAATTTGTGCAATTCTTATTTTCATTCAATTCCTTGTTCCTATTGTGCAATTTAATTATATTCATATCAATAAATATTCTACCGAGAAAAAGACGTTGTCACGTAAAATCTTCGCCCGTAAAACCGACTTTACAGGCAACCATTTTTTTTGTTTATAAGAACATTTATAATTTATAGTAATATAAGTTATTTTCGGAATTGTTACCATGCACCTTGTTTTTAGTGAGTTTCCGATATTTTGCACTGTTGCAAGCGCCATGATCACGGAGTAACTGAAGTAATGAGGGCTACCGTTTTCTGCCTCACCAGATGGCGCCACTGTTGAGTGAGGTCCTAAATTGTAACTTTTAAAGTTTATTAATACGCACATGAAATCAAAGGTTACATTTAGATCGTATTTTAACACAAAAGAACCATATCCTAAACTTAATAGGCCATGCCACAGTGACGCGCAATTCCGTTTTATTCGGAAAAAATGGGAACATAATCTTTTTCTAAGCTCAAATTTTTAATAACTGACATTCATTGCCACATAACTCATATTTGCCATAATTGAGCCGAATTGTTATCAATTATTCACAACATTATTTTAATTAGAAATAAACCCGCGTAGTCAACCAACAAGCAATAACATTTGACATTTCGGAGACCTCACGCTACACTAGCGCCTCTAGCGGCGGATTCATACGCGATAGTCCTCATTGCGGGTAGGCTGTTATCGGCAGACATATCGGTCTACCCTCCGACGAAGTCTTTCATTGCGTTCGATACCCGTAGCACTGTTCACATTCTCACTATTCACTCGAAACCGTAACTAAACTATAATGAACTTATATTACTATAATGTTCGTGATCATGAAAGTTTAAAACGATATATTCATAATTTACCGTTAGAAACTTGGCTATGCGGGTGTAGACCACGGGAAAAAAATAATCCTCGCGGTCCACCTGGGTGGACTGCGGGGTGGATCACGGGAAACGAATCGTTGAATGCTTAGGAAAATATATGTGTATTGGAGTTTACTCCTTAAGAATCGATTTACATATATCAGGGGCCCGGTATGAGAAAAATGTGAGGAGTGAAATCTATCGATGAATGACCTCGTTACCTTTTTACTGTCTACGCTGTAGCAGCCGTAGTGCTACACCGTAGCACAGTATCGTAGCGTACCTTTATTTATGCACATTGTAAAAAGTTTAATGTAAAATATTTCGTATAAACGTATATGAAATTAATAAATTTATATTTATATATGTATATTATTATTATTAATTTGTTAATTTACCCTTTCGTACAGTATCAATCTTTTTTATTATATTTCTACTGTTAATAAGATCAATCGAGTAAGTTATATCGTTAAACAAACGGAATCAGATGACATTTATGCATAATTTGAGATTTAAGCGGTTCAATACAAATCAGGTTCCTTATATACATAACCGTTTATTAATTAGATGCTTTTGTAATTTTTATCTTTAACCGTACTATATATTGCGATACCCTGACAGGGTTCACGTTAGGTACTATAAGCATTTCGTAACCATCGATGTAACCGCATGAGTGCAATAAATTGAATCGAATCGAATAAGTTAAATAAACTGTTCTCTCAACTCGTCAGGAGCTGACACACACAATTATTTGTTGTCGATAGAGCGGGCAGGGCAACACGGGCGTGATGGGGACGGACCTGGAGGCGGGCACGGCGCTGTGTGGGTCGGTGTCCCACGTGTTCGACCGCCTGCCCCCCGCCGTGCTGAGGCACGTGGGGTCTCCGGACCGACACCGCTGGTGCCCGCTGGCGCTGCACCCGCTCGAGTTCGCCAGGCAACTCACGCTGCTCGAGTTCCAGCTCTATCGACAGGTCGGTCAAACTCTGCTTCCATACTATTTTTTTTTGAAGTTATACTTCTTTAGGCGCGTTATGAAAAAACGATGAGAGTGAAATTTTAAGATGCGCGCGCATCACTGTGTTTACCGCACATTAAGAAAATCTACCAACAAAATAGAAATATAATCTCTATTTAGTGGGTGCTAACGACTGCATTGTGAAGGCCTATCAAAAGTATTTATTAATCTGGAACAACGGAACCGAAGCGCGATTCAGGAGACTACAGCGCCATCTCTTGACCATTGGTGTAGTAGAACCAAAAACCACATCTTTATTTTTTGTAATAAAGTAACAGTTATAGGTATTCATATTTATAATATTTATCCACATGTTTCTAGTTTGTATATTCGGAATACGTGTTTGAGTTTCATACAAGTGCAAATCACATATGTTCTAATAAATTATATTCAGTAGCGATTTTAATTGAATATTTTGATTATTTATTTATTTTTTCAAATTAAAGCTGAACTTTATTGACTGTGTCCTTTTCCAGACTTTTTATTAATTTATTGTAATTAATTATTTGCATGCAATTAAAACTAATTTTAAACGATGCCAAAGAAGGATAACTTCTCACGCGCATAAGTACACGCACCCATTTTTTTAATTTTATGACCGTTACTTTTTCCCTTTCGGCCATTCATCAATTAATTTCATCAGTTTATATATCTTCGAAGGTGTTCGTTGCATATTCAAATAATATAGGATATGTATTAGTGTTTTGTATGATAGATGGCAATCGGCCGATTATTCTGCAGTTGTCATTATTGTATGTCTCTCCTAGCTGGCCCAGCGAACTACGTATCGCCATAAAAATATGGGTCGTGAAAGGGTGAAAATTTAAAGTTGTATGTATTTTTGTATGATGTATCATAAAAAAATAAAAACAAAAAAAATCCAAAAAATTAAAAAAAATGTTAAGAGTGGATCATCTTTAACACATCCATCTTCGAATGGTTTCTTGTGTTTTGCCGATATATGAGATATTTTAAATGACGCGATCGTAGCAGTTGTTGATTGTTTGGCTGGTCAAGCAGCAAGAATAAAGAACGCAGCTTTTCTTTGACATACTGCGTGTTCCTTTTATAAAACCGTCTTTTGCCGCTAGCTTCTGCTAAAATTTATTACGTAATAAAATAACACTTGTTATTTTATTACGTAATAAATTTTTGAAGATTAGTTCAGTACCTACTTATAAAAAAAAATCTCAAGATCTACTCGAAAATCACTCGCTATCGATCGTTTGAGCACCCCTGCTTTAAATGCTCAATTTCATAGAAATTTATTTAAGTTTAATTTATCATTTGTTAAAAGAAAAGTTTATTTAAATAAAACTAGTTTTTCACGGGTTAATGCACGAAACTTTATTTATTTATAGACGTTTCGCAGCCTTTACAGGCTGCTTCGTCGGAATCAATTTTTTAATTAATTTTGCGAGCTGCGAAACATCAATAAATAAATAAAGTTTCGTGCATTAACCCGTGAAAAACTAGTTTTATTTAATGAGTGATGTGTGTGAAAACCTAAGAGACAATTTAGTAGTTTATTTAATAATTTGTTAGATTTTATTTTGTCAATAAGTAATTGTTACAAAAAATAGTGTTTTTTCCATTACAAAAAGCTTAGCTACAACTTTCGGAATAAACCACACTTGTTTAGTAATTAGTTAACCTTGATGTTTAATAAAATGTTATTTTTTTTGCATATTAACAGTAATTTAAACATTCGGTAATTATTGGGCAAATCAACAGAATATTCGACCGAATTAGAACTTCAAAACATGACCGAACATTCGACGCATCTCTTGAATGAATTAATAATTGCAGAATTATTTTCAAAGTTTGTTGAATTTTTCAACTTTATACTTTTCGATCATCAGAAATCAATATATAATGTAACAACATTTACAAATCATTATGTTGTTACAACGTCAATACAATATAATTTATTTAATATAGAAAACCTGTTGGAATGATTGGAACAGTTCTAACCCAAGCATTTTTGTCTGTAATATAATCAGACACTTTGTAATAAGCTTTTTTATTAAGTGCTTTTTTTTATACTATCTTTAAATTTAAATTTATTACATCTGATTAAAAGTCATATTCCACAGATGTTTTCTTACAAAACGCTTTTTCTAATTTATAAAGGTGAAGCCTTCAGAACTAGTGGGAGCGGTGTGGACGAAGAAAGACAAGGAGAAGACCAGTCCCAACCTGCTGAGGATAATCAAACACACCACCAACGTAAGTAAACAATACTATGATTTATAATTAAATACACACTCATTCCCCCTTATTAATAAACGCTGAATAAGGTTCAATTAATAATAATAATAAATTATTAAGCTACTAGTGGCCCGCCCTCGCTTCGCTTCGGTGTAGAGCTGTAGTGTAAACTATGGTTTTTGTTCTCAGGCTTGTGCTATAAACTATGACTTTATTTATATAATTACACGTGTTATTGTGAGTCAACCATAAAAGATAGACATATGCTGTTGCGAGATATTTTTTAAGATAATTTTATGTAGAATATTTCGGTCATACATGATTTCTATGTAACTTTAACCATTAAGGCTGCACACGCGACGGTAGCTTAAAAAATGGAGTAACTTCTCCCGTTTTCCCAACATTTCCCTTCACTACTCTGCTGCTATTGATTGTAGCGTGATGAAAAGTATACTTTAACCTGCCCAGGAGTATGAAGAATAATTGTACCAAGTTTCGTTAAAATCTGTCGAGTAGTTTTTGTTTCTATAAGGAACATACACACAGACAGACAGACAAAAATTTTACTAATTGCATTTTTGGCATCAGTATCGATCACTAATCACCCCCTGATAGTTATTTTGAAAATATATTTCATGTACAGAATTGACCTCTCTACAGATTTATTATAAGTATAGATTGCATAGATTTTATCGCGAGCTTTGAGCGCGGCCACCGAATCAAGAAATTTAGTAACGAAAATAACCTGACAGGAGTGCATATGAACACAATTTTCGCCTTTCCAGTATCAATCGAAACGGCGCAGTATATTAAATTTTTGTCACGGGACCAACGTTGGACGCATCACCGCGGTCGTCGGTACAAATCCCGCACTCGTAGTTTTTACTGTATTTTTTTTCGGTCGCGATAGAAGTCGAGTAATGCGGCTCATTCTAAAATGAGCCTTATGCAGTGCGGCGTAAGGGAGAAAGTGCAACGACATCTGCACTTGTTTACAAGTTATGCGCGTTACCTGCGTAGGTATAAGTAGGTACTACACACTCGTGGGTGCTAGCTAACTCTCAATTTAACAGGTGTATTCTAGAATGCGTCTATTGGCGTATATAAGTAGGATCGGCGCCGCGCAGAGACAGTTCAGTTGAGTTTGAGCATTTGAGTGACATGAACATCTCTTATCTATTAGACAAGTCCGTCCGTCTGTCTGTGGTGCTGTTTCAGCGGCCAAACCGTAAGAGATAGATAAAGAGAATATTTAAGTTAAGGTAAAGGTTTTCGAGAAATCACGAATTTCAAACGAAACCACACAAAATCTCCGAAGTTCTCAATTAATTAAATACATTTTTTTTTTAAATCAGACTTTGGTGAACATTTGGTTCACTGGTTTGCTAGTTGTATATAAGGGGGAATGAGTAGTAACTATGTACAAATGTTGTCTTACAAATTATTAATTACGATTTACCCACCTGTAAGTTTAATGAGTGGAAAATAAATTTTGATTTTTATGATCAACTAAGATAGGCTACTTTTTAAGCAAGAACATAACTAACTTAAACTTAAATCTATATACATACTAGCAAACCCGGCGAACTCCGTTTCGCCACCAGATGGCTTCGTTTTATGTAACATTTCGTTTGGTGATTAAAAGTTTTTTTTTTAATTTTTCCTGAATTTTCTTTGCTATAAACCTCACGGAGCCCGAGACCTTTCCAACGAATGCAAAACCGTGGAAATCGGTTCGTGCGTTCTGGAGTTATAGCGTCAGGAAGGAAAACCCGACTTATTTTTATATAGTAGATAAGACGCAACATGATCATCAGCAAGATTAAGAAAGATGTTCTGAAAATTAAAAAAAAACATATGTGCCAGTGTAGTTGATTTTAGTATTTTTGTATTTTTTTTATCGGCCCGGATAAGGTCTGTGGGGTCCGTTAGTTACATTTAAAGGTTAATAATACCAATCTATTTTTATTAATGTAAATAAATTACATTTACATTAAAAAAAAATAGATTGGGCTTTGTAAATCGAGTAATTTTTGACTTATTGTGTTTATCTATATCTAGTTGACCCGCTGGATGGAAAAATGGATTGTGGAAAGCGAGAACCTAGAAGAAAGGGTGGGGGTTGTGTGCCGCGTCATAGAGATAGGCATCGCACTCAGAGACCTCAACAACTTTAACGGAGTGTTAGCCGTCGTGGCGGCCTGCGGCAGCGCCTCCGTACATCGGTTGAGGTGCACTTTTCAGGTTAGTATTGATGTTTTATTAAAGATACTTATTTAAACTGCATGGATAAAAATTATGTTCTTTTGAAGTGATAATAGGGTATTTGACATGTTTTAGAAAACGATCTCACGTTATAAACTAATGTTTATGGAGTCCGTAAAAAGTGGATATTAATACGATACATTGTAATGTCACTTTAACCGGAAGTTTACTTGCGTGTGACGTCATTTTAGGCTCCGCCAATCCTAAACGCTAACTTTCGGTTAAAGTGACATTACATTGTATCGTTTGACGTTTTAATAACAGTCGTGTGACGTCACACACTAGTAAGACGCCATATTGTCCAGTGAAACGTTTTTTATAATTGAAAATGGAGTTTATAGCACAGTGTGACCTAACCCCGCACTTTACGCACGCTTTTCCGTGACCTAAGTTGCCTATTTCGGCACAGTGTGTAAATGAATTGACCAACTTCACTCATGTAGAATTAGTACATTACGATACGCGTAACTTAACTTTACTATGCCAATCAAGGAATAAACGCCGCGTCCGGGCCGGTTTATGTCACACTTGCTATAAAATAGTATACGATACTTGTGGCCTAAGTTGTCTATTACTGCACGGCGTTTAGCACGCGCGCTAACTTCACGCCGTGCAGTAATAGGCAACTTAGGTCACGCGTATCGTAATGTACTATTTTGATTTGGTTATTTTTACTGAAATACACACAAGAATGATGAATATCCACTTTTTACGGACTCGATAAACATTAGTCAATAACGTGAGATCGTTTCCTGAAACTTGTCAAATACCCTATTAAGCAATTTTTGCATCAATGTTTCTTTATGACGTTATCACGTAAAACTATCATCCGTGTTACGAATACAAGACTCGTCTACGTCACTCATACGTCACTGTGGTTGCTTTCCAATTACAGCATTATAGCGCATTATGCGGCATAATGCTTAACGTTGAGTGTTCCAACTACAGCAACGCTTCGCACAATCGAGCACTCTCAAAAGTGATGCTTTCGTGTGATGCGTGCAATCGTACCAACTTAGAGACAGAAAATTAACAAGTGTTTTTTCTTTAAGTTGGCATTGATCGAAATGATTTATTTATATGTTATCGTTAGTGATATTATTTATTGTTGAAAAATTATTAAAGCTTTCGTTTCATTAAATAGTTTTTTTTTAAATAATCAAAAATCATTCATACTGTTAAAAACTAAATATAAGTATGGATGAAGGTACAAACATTGACTTTTTTTTTCAACACTGAACTTAGCGCACTCTGCTGGTGCATTTGAAAACTAATTCACGTTCCAATTAAGCATCAGCATAATTGGGCATTGTGCGGCACTGAGTCGCATTATGCTCTGTAATTGGAAAGCATACTGTGTTTCCCAAGCGCGGGTGGCTCGATTGAGCAGTCGTGTTGAAAAGTGCTTATTAGACAGATTTAGTTCATGTTAAGCCTTCGAACACTTTTGGGAGTCGCTTGAGCTTCAATCGTGGAAGCATCTTGACGTATAGTTTGTAAGACCGGATCATCGGGATCAATCAATATAAGTAATTTTGTAAAACACTTAAATAAATATAAGACAATATCTATTAATGGAAATTGTAAAAGTAATTAAACCAATGTGTTGCTCTGAAAACAAAGATTTTATTTAAGTATGTATGTAGGTTAAAATATTTATTATTCACTACACTTTTTACTATATACTATAAATCATACTAACTTACCTGAAAACAAAGAAACGACATTTAAAGTCTTTTACTTAATACAACAATTCCTTCCTTTACAATAATATTTTAAAATAATCAAATAAAACTATCACGGCTCGTTCTGTCAAAGCGACACCATCTATCAAGTGACAGTTTTATTATCATGGTCGCCCGAGAGCTACACAGACTACTTAAGAAATAACAAATCAAAGAACTGACTGTAAAGAGGTTCTTCACATAAATAAAGTTATAATTAAAAGTTTAGTTTTTAAATAACCTACCTGACGGCTCAATTCCGTAATTTCCGTAAACCGAGTTTACAGACTAGCAATTTGTTTTTATGAAATTAAACATTATTATTGATGTGTAAGATCTTTCCTTTCATTTCATTCATTCATAAAATCCCAACCCCGAGCACACACTGCAAGACCATCAGATACTATTAGTTCTTTTTGTTTGCATAATTTAACATAAGAAGGAGATAGAAAGCCTCTCTTGAGTTTGTTTCGCCGGTTCTGCTCAGGAAGGTCCCCCAATTTTGGAACCGGTGGTAGTTTACGGTAGTTAGGGTCAAATAAATAAACTCAAAATTACAAACAAGAATTTTAAATAAAATACTTTATTAAGTAAATTAAATAATAAATTCATACGTAGACAATAGAACTTAAAAATCGAACAATGAAATCACAAACGCTCAATAAAAATCTTTCGAAGGTAGCTCGACAAATTAAATAAAAGTTTTATTCTGACGACGTAGCCTGTACAGGCTACGAAACGTCAATAAATAAAAGTTTTCGTGCATTAACCCGTAGAAACTAGTTTTATTTAATGAGTGATGTGCGTGAAAACCTAAGAAACAAATATCTTTCCTTTCGTTTTCGTGCAATTTGTGGGTGTGATTTCGTCAAGGAGGACGGAAGTGTGTAACAGGAAGTTTGGGAAGCGCGCGCTATTTGATTTGATTTTAGAACATAATGTTCAAACGGTTCATTCCTTTTGTAGGAGGTTTTGTTTCTTTTTTTTAATTGATAGGGGAAACCACCCAATCACTGGCACTCGTCCTATTATTGACACTTTTGAGTTTAATTCGAAAAAAACAAAGAGACAATAGATTATTCAAGGTCGTTACGTATAAAAAAAATATGTGTGCGTGTACTAGTGTACACAGGTAAGAAGTGAAACTTCTTTATGGCCTTATTTTTTTCGAAAAATGATCTACATGCAACTTTCCAGAAATATATATATAGGCGTGCGCTAAGATTTTTCAAAAACTCACCCACTAAAGGGGTATAACTACACCTTACCTTACCTTATATATATATATGTATATATATATATTCACAAATATACTACTTATATAAATAATGAAAAACATATATAGTATCAAAGTTAAAATAAATAATACTTACCAACAGTGTAAAACGAGTTAAATATATGAAGACCACAGGTTTTGCTGTATCAAATCGCAGCGTACCAAACCTGCAAAACGAAATCACACACATAATTATATACCTTACCTTACCTTGTGTGAAACACGAATATTTGCTGTCGATACTTTTTTTTTTAAAGTTGACAGAAGAAGCAATTGTTCGAATGAGGTAAATAGTGCTCTTTTAAAAAAAAGATGGCGCGTAACCAAAAAACGTGACGCGTAACGTCCGAAAAAATGTGACGGTAAATTTTTTTCCAACGCCGATAAAGAAGTTTCACTTCAATAAAAAAACTAGTATGGTTTCATAATTTGAAAATTGGCGGCATTATTCCTACAGTATATTGTTTCCTGGTTTTTTCGAACTAAACTCAAAAGTGCCAATAATAGGAAGAGTGCCAATGATCGGGTAGTTTCCTCTATAAGGTGAGGTTTCCGAACAATTTGTTTTTATAAACAGATGGTCCCGCCCCGGCTGGTGCGCGCGCTGGAGGAGTTCCGGGAACTGAACTCGGACCACTTCCGGCGATACCAGGAGAGGCTGCGGTCCATCAACCCCCCCTGCGTGCCCTTCCTGGGGATGTACCTCACCAACATCCTGCATATAGAGGAGGGCAACTTGGGTGAGTCGCCAGCATACTCACATCATCATACACTCGGACCACTTCCGGCGATACCAGGAGAGGCTGCGGTCCATCAACCCCCCCTGCGTGCCCTTCCTGGGGATGTACCTCACCAACATCCTGCATATAGAGGAGGGCAACTTGGGTGAGTCGCCAGCATACTCACATCATCATACACTCGGACCACTTCCGGCGATACCAGGAGAGGCTGCGGTCCATCAACCCCCCCTGCGTGCCCTTCCTGGGGATGTACCTCACCAACATCCTGCATATAGAGGAGGGCAACTTGGGTGAGTCGCCAGCATACTCACATCATCATACACTCGGACCACTTCCGGCGATACCAGGAGAGGCTGCGGTCCATCAACCCCCCCTGCGTGCCCTTCCTGGGGATGTACCTCACCAACATCCTGCATATAGAGGAGGGCAACTTGGGTGAGTCGCCAGCATACTCACATCATCATACACTCGGACCACTTCCGGCGATACCAGGAGAGGCTGCGGTCCATCAACCCCCCCTGCGTGCCCTTCCTGGGGATGTACCTCACCAACATCCTGCATATAGAGGAGGGCAACTTGGGTGAGTCGCCAGCATACTCACATCATCATACACTCGGACCACTTCCGGCGATACCAGGAGAGGCTGCGGTCCATCAACCCCCCCTGCGTGCCCTTCCTGGGGATGTACCTCACCAACATCCTGCATATAGAGGAGGGCAACTTGGGTGAGTCGCCAGCATACTCACATCATCATACACTCGGACCACTTCCGGCGATACCAGGAGAGGCTGCGGTCCATCAACCCCCCCTGCGTGCCCTTCCTGGGGATGTACCTCACCAACATCCTGCATATAGAGGAGGGCAACTTGGGTGAGTCGCCAGCATACTCACATCATCATACACTCGGACCACTTCCGGCGATACCAGGAGAGGCTGCGGTCCATCAACCCCCCCTGCGTGCCCTTCCTGGGGATGTACCTCACCAACATCCTGCATATAGAGGAGGGCAACTTGGGTGAGTCGCCAGCATACTCACATCATCATACACTCGGACCACTTCCGGCGATACCAGGAGAGGCTGCGGTCCATCAACCCCCCCTGCGTGCCCTTCCTGGGGATGTACCTCACCAACATCCTGCATATAGAGGAGGGCAACTTGGGTGAGTCGCCAGCATACTCACATCTTCATACAATGTAATAACTAAAACTAAAAAACCTTAAAATATATAATAACTAAAGTACATTATTAAAAGGAGTCCCTTTAGGCAACTTTCCAAAGATACTGGCAGCGTTCCCAGAATTATACAACATATTCTATTTTAGTCCTTATACTCACATCATCATAAATTATACAGTAACATCACATCATAATATAATAGAATTTCGGTTACTGTACCCCGTCATCACCCCCATTGTAAATTATGTTTCTATGTCCATTATGGTGAAAACTAACCAAATATACTCTACCCTTAGTACGAGTTTAAGCTCACGAAAACTAGCATAGTTTTCGTAATAGGGATGATGACTACTTTTTTTTCTTCGTTTATCAGGTAGATTATCAAAAAGTATTAGACACGTATTTTTTCTTTTTTCTCATAATATAAACATTGCAGTAATATATTGATTTGAAAAGTCGCATGACGTCACGTTTTGGTACATTTTTCACAAAAAGTGACGTCACGAGCCTCACGTCCCAAACTTTAATGCGCTATAACTTTGTCATTTTTTGGTTGATTGCCCAAAGAAAAAATACGTGTCCATTATTTTTTAATCATCTAACTGACGGACTAAATAGAATTTCGTTTACTGTACCCCGTCATCACCCCTATTGTTAATTATGTTTCTATGTCCATTATGGTGAAAAATAAACAAATATACTTAAAACTGGCGGCCCGCCCTCGCTTCGCTTCGGTGTAGAGCTGAAGTGTAAACCACAGTTTTTGTTCTCAGGCTTGTGTTATACACAATGTCATTTATCTATGCTTCTTCTTATACCTGCATGCAAAGTTTCAGACCGATCGGTTTAAAATTGACAAAGTTTCATACAAACGTTCATTGTCTATTTTATCCCCTTGGGGGTAGAATTGATCAAAATCCTTTCTTAGCGGATGCCTACGTCATAACATCTACCTGCATGCCAAATTTCAGCCCGATCCGTCCACTGGTTTGGGCTGTGCGTTGATAGATCATGGTATGTCAGTCAATCAGTCACAACTTTGAGTTTTATATATATAGATTTACGAAGACGCAAATGATTTAATGATAGAATTTAAACACTGTTTATTTGTATTGAAACGGAAACAATAAAATCATTACCCTTAGTACGAGTGCGAGCTCACGATAACTATCATAGTATTCGTAATTGTAAAACTCGTACTAAGGGCACTGAACTCGGACCACTTCCGGCGCTGACGGCTTAACATGCATCCAATGACTGACCACAACAAAAGTTGCTGAACTTTAAGTCATTTATTGATATCCATAATGATACAACAGGTGTTCAAAATATTTACAGTTTCAATTATAAACCTTCCGTGTTCGAGTGGTTTATACGCCGGGTTTCAAGGTGTCGCCGACTCGAGAGGTCCCGGGTTCGAATCCCGGTGGGGGCAGATGTTTGTGTGATGAATACGAGCATTTGTACTCCAGTCATGGTTGTTAAATATGTATTTCAATATAAATATACTTATATATGTACAGTATATGTATTCTATCCGTTACCCTAGCATCCCATAACATAAGCCTACAGTGCCCATTTTGGGGCTAGACTAATCGGTGTGTGTTGGGAATATTTATTATTTATTTATTCATCTATTATTTTTGTTCAGATTATCTCCCCAATTCGGAGTTGATAAACTTCTCGAAACGCCGCAAGGTTGCAGAGATCACCGGGGAGATACAACAGTACCAGAACCAACCCTACTGCCTCACCCAAGACCCCAAGACTCGGGTAAATATTTGTGAAACAAGGAGTTTGATAACAGCGGTTATATACTTGAGTAATGTGTATATACTTTAGATTAAAACAAAAAGGGAAGATACGGTACGCTCATAAGCATTGTATGATACTGATCAAATAAAATATGATCCGACTACATAAGCGACGACCTCCGTGGCCGAATGGTTTGTACGCCGGGTTACATGGTGTCGCCGACTCGAGAGGTCCCGGGTTCGAATCCCGGTGGGGGCAGATGTTTGTGTGATGAATACGAGCATTTTGTACTCCAGTCATGGATGTTTAAAATGTTATTCTATATAAATATACTTATATATGTACAGTATATGTAATACAAGCCTTATCGTGCTTACTTTGGGGCTAGGCTAATTGGTGTGTGTGTTGGATATATTTATAAAAAAAAAAAAACACACGCACGCACACTTCTGTAAATAAACATTCAATCGAGCGAGCGAGACAGAACTGTACGCTTCAACGCAGCGCGAGCGAAACGGCGAGTCCGCTTCCGAGTCCGTACGGCTGAGCTGTATTGTTGTCCTTTTCTTGATAACAAAATGGCGATTACGTTAGTAACATTCACAATAAACCGTGATTTTTGAGAAAAAATAAATGTTTTTACAGTTTTACGAATGCTAAGTGTTGCCGAGGCATTTGTTATTTGATTTTGAACTATTTGTGTTCTTCATAAAAGCATCCAAGGTATTGTTTTATCTTTATAACACAGAATATACGCAATATTAGTATATTGAGTGCACATGCAGCGTGTTTGAATGTCCAATAGGGATGATGACTAATTTTTTTTTCTTCGTTTATCAGGTAGATTGTCAAAAAGTATTGGACACGTATTTTGTCTTTTTTTCACATAATATAGACATTGCAGAGATATATTGATTTGAAAAGTCGCATGACGGCACGTTTGAGTACACTTATAAGTGAAAATTCACTCAAAAGTGACGTCACGAGCCCCTACTCCCAAAATTTGACGCGCTATAACTTTGTCATTTTTTGGTTGATTGCCCAAAGAAAAAATACGTGTCCATTATTTTTTGATCATCTAACTGACGGACTAAATAGATTTTCGTTTACTGTACCCCGTCATCACCCCTATTGTGACTAAAGCGAATTGTGGTCATGCACCACAATTTAAGAAAGAAAGAAAGAAATTTTATTTGTAACAACATGTGTAAGTAAGATTGTCAGTGATAATTAGCTAAGTACATAACATGTTGTGCCAATATCGGCATACAAATTAATTATTATTTATATTCATTATTATCATTCTAAGATTCAAATAAGCGGATCACTTTTGAGCAACGAGTGCCGAATTCTTCCCTTTTTGTTTTAATCTAAGATATATACTAATAAACAGAATTAATAACTACAGAATTTTTATTTCTTTTGTGTGTGTTGGATAGTCCAATTATTAAGTACTTGTAGTTATATACCAAAGCATCAAAGAATTATACTGCGAAAACGAGGTAAAATATTCCTTTGGCGAGCTTTCATTGTGTGCTCTGCTTATACGATTAAAATCATGACAGAATGGTTCCGCATTAAAAGTGCTGTATATATACTTCCAAACACATCTATCGACCCACCAAGAATTTTGATATTTGACGGTCCCTAGCTAGAAATGAATGTTACATTGAGCAAAAAGTTAATACCTACGCAATTTTGAAGCTGATTTAACATCCAACTTTTCGTGTGTTTTTAAAATTATTGCTCAACCATAAACATATATTTTTGGTACAGACCGTTGAAACATATAACACTAAGTGGGCCTATATATGTGTCCGGAAGTATTTAATAGTTAGTGAAAGATGTCTAGCATTTAAGCTATTACATCTTTCAAATGTTTAAAACTTGAAAAAGTATTCATTTGACATTGTGGGTTACCTACAACGCGAAGAGATGGCGCTGCCTTGCAGCTTAAGGCTAGGAAAATTTCGACGTGGCCATCAGGGCCGTGGTAGCATAATTGGTCAGTGCATTCGCCCGGAATGCGAAGGGTGCGGGTTCGAGTCCCGTCCGCTGCCTGGTCCGCCTGGATTTTTTTTCTAGTAAAACTTTTCTTAAGTATTATTATGTTGATTATATTATAACCCTTAGTGTATTAAATATAGTTTATATTCGATATGGTTATGTTTGTATCTCAGGCGTTCCTGGAAAGCCTGGATCCGTTTCCGGGTTGGGACGACAATGAAATAACAAATCATTTGTACGCCAAGAGTCTGGAGATCGAACCCAGACCGCCCAACAAGCAGATGCCCAAGTTTGTGAGTATTTTTTGGTATACCAAATCGCTAATTTTGAAGTGAAAACTTCTTTAGCGGCGTTGTACACTTTTTTGTATGGGTAAAAAATGTTAAACTCGCGGCAGCTTAAACACGTGGGCTGATCGCACCATGACACACAATAAAATTGGAAAGGTGTTGACTTTCTATATATTGGACGAAACATAGTAATATTTAATTTTATCGCATTATAATAATAAGTCTCTATCTAGGACGTCCACGTTGCAGCTTTATTGCGAAGAAAATGCATTTTTTTACAATAGATGTCGCTAGGTGCGCTTGAATGTGATTTATGTAAGTTGATTTTTCTGAGAGATAACTTTTTTAATGTTATTTATATAAATTGTCATGTTTGTGTACGATAGCGCAATAAATAAATATTGTATTCTACCACAAAAATGATAGTACATACTTTTGAACTGATAATTAAAGCAATTCGTGCAAAATTATTCCCTAACCATTCCAAAATATCAAAAATGCACAACGTTAATATTCAAGTTTTCACTTCTGCCGGCACTCCTGGAGTGCAACCTGTCGTTCTTTTATTTACATTTCAGGTAAATACCCTCTAAATCAGTTTCATATTAGGTTAAATGACTATATTTCAGATAAAGTTTAGACAAATAAGTGTTTTATGAATATCTTCAGTAACATTTGAATAACGATAGCAAAACTAGACGTATTGCTTTCGTGCGCCAATCTGACTATAACAGCCTAATTTTTGAAGTGAAACTTCTTTAGGCACGTTTGACTTGGGGGTAAATTAGCGAATACATGTGTGACAATAGGCTAGTTGACCCTTTTTGGAAAAAGGTTTTAAATAGTTAATAAATGTTCTATTAGATCGAAAAAAAATGTATTGTATTTTTTTGAGACCTAAATAGATTTTTCATGGACATACAAAAACGCTGTCAGCCATTTTAGTCAGTAAGATAAATTTAGTCAGACGAAAGAATCCACCCACAATAACACGCGAATAACATTCAGTTGTTTACCATAAGAGACGTCACAATCATGGCGGATGTGGCGAACAGCGTTTTTAGTGTTAAAAAAATATAGACTAAAAAATATTTTTTTAAATTAAATTTCTACAGCAATCTTCTGCTTTTATGAATTCACTTCATTCAATCATTCATAATTCATCCAATCGATATATTTAGGTTCCTTAGACCAAATACTTTAAGAAATAAACATTTATTTAATACAATTCGACGTGAGTCAACTAGCCTATTTTCGCGTTACGATTAGTGTCATCGGTGCCTCATCGGTAAACAATGAACAATACCCGTCACAAAATACATGAATCTAGTGCTTGGTGGGTGATAATGGACCCAGCGCGGATTGGTAGTGTTTGCTATCAACAAATCTTCAGGTTAAGTTTATGATTTTCAGATCATTGGAGCTAAAGAAGTTTCACTTCAGTCGTGTGGTTATAAGCATACTCACTTTTTTAATTTTTTTGTTTTAAACAATCAGTCGTATTAATATCTACTATCAATGCAATGTGTGTCACTTGTATGTTTACAATGGCGTCGATACCAGCATGATTAGCCTTGTCATTGTCTAAACAGGATTAAAACGAAAGACTGCTGTTAAATCTAGTTTTAAGTTTAGGTAATCATGCCAGAATCGACACCCATAACTCATTTATCCCGCTGTCCCATTGTTTTGTAAACAGTGTAGTGCATATATACAGAAACCATGTAATCTGATATAAAATTCGATTATCAATCATATTATGAAAACTTTTATTTAGTCCAATCAGTGTAGAATAATGATGTACATGAAAACTTAAAGAAAAAACATTTCGTATCACACAAATGTCCAAGGGTCACCACTAGTGGTCCTTCGAGCCAGATCTGATAAAAAATCGAGTATCAATCATATGAAAACTATTAAGTCCGATCAGTGTGGAATAATGATATGCATAAAAATTTTAAAAAACATTCAAATTATTCAAGTGTCACTATTAGTGGTCCTTCGAGCCGGATCTTATGCATTTAAATATACTTACAAATTGTTACTTGACATATATTGTATGATGTTGACTAACAGCCCCGTCGATACCCGGAGTTGTCGTTGAAGCAAGTGAAAGTGTCGCGAAGACATCACGACACTCCGGCAGCTAGCAACGCCAACGACGACAACCTCAGTGAGTTTACTACACTACCACTACACTACACTACATTGTAAACGGAACTAATATATTTATTCAACCGATCTAAATGGTATAGGAAAACATATTGTGCCGACCTCAAATCAATAGGGATGATGACTAATTTTTTTTTTCTTCGTTTATCAGGTAGATTACCAAAAAGTATTGGACACGTATTTTTTCATTTTTTACTTAAAAGTGACGTCACAAGCCCCTACTCCCAAACTTTGACGCGATATAATTTTGTTTTTTGGTTGATTGCCCAAACAAAAAATACGTGTCCATTATTTTTTGATCATCTAACTGACGGACTAAATAAAATTTCGTTTACTATACCCCGTCATCGCCCCTATTGAGAATCACGATATCATTATTTAGTATAATCATTATTTACATTGGATGACTTGGAATCAGATCGTAAGTGTACTTTATTTTCGTAACTTTAGGAACTGACACTGCCTGTCAGTATAATATTGTTCGTTGTACTACTACAGGCTGTTTAGTATGAAAAGAAATGCACTTAAGAAGCCCAATGACGTTTGAGAAGATAAGTGAGAAATCACAAACGTTTCCACTGCTGGGGTACTGGTCATTCCTATGGATGGAATAGGGAGATTGGGCCATGACCAGTGGGTCATGGCCCAATTCCCGCGTAGTGACGCGGGCCCAGTGTGGATTGGCGGGTGCTAACGACTGCAGATGCAGCCGGGACCAACGACTTAACGTGCCTTTCGAAGGTCGGAGGAGCTCGAAATAGTACATTTTTGGTCACCCATCCAATGACCGACCACTGCGAAAGTTGCTTAACTTCAACGATCGCAGCCGAACGCGCTAACCATCCGCGCCATCGAGCTCCGATAAGAAGTACACATGTTTATTTACATCAACTGAGTTTTGAGTTTCTCACCAATCTTTTGGTAGAAATACGTGTGATATGTGTTAAACAACTTTGTTTTTTAATACTTTTACCCGTTTTTATGTATATACAGGGTATAAAAAAAACCTATGACAAAGACTCAAACTACGCATTCTGTACACCCAAACAAGTAATATTACATAATATTAGACGTGGGAAAAAAATGTATTTTTAAGATGTATAGTGCGGCACGCTGCTGTGGCGCTACGCAAAGAATGTGCCTGTGTGTGTAAGTGCGTAGATAAAAAAATGGGTGCGTGTACTTATGTAGGCGCGTGAGAAGTTATCCTTCTTTGGCATCGTTTAAAATTAGTTTTTAATTGCATGCAAATAATTAATTACAATAAATTAATAAAAAGTCTGGAAAAGGACACAGTCAATAAAGTTCAGTTTTAATTTGAAAAAATAAATAAATAATCAAAATATTCAATTAAAATCGCTACTGAATATAATTTATAAGAACATATGTGATTTGCACTTGTATGAAACTCAAACACCTATTCCGAATATACAAACTAGAAACATGTGGATAAATATTATAAATATGAATACCTATAACTGTTACTTTATTACAAAAAATAAAGATGTGGTTTTTGGTTCTACTACACCAATGGTCAAGAGATGGCGCTGTAGTCTCCTGAATCGCGCTTTGGTTCCGTTGTTCCAGATTAATAAATACTTTTGATATTATAAATATGAATACCTATAACTGTTACTTTATTACAAAAAATAAAGATGTGGTTTTTGGTTCTACTACACCAATGGTCAAGAGATGGCGCTGTAGTCTCCTGAATCGCGCTTTGGTTCCGTTGTTTCAGATTAATAAATACTTTTGATAGGCCTTCACAATGCAGCCGTTAGCACCCACTAAATAGAGATTCTATTTCTATTTTGTTGGTAGATTTTCTTAATGTGCGGTAAACACAAAAGTAACGCATGAAGTTGGTCGCTAAAACGACCAACTTCATGCTGTTAAAATTTTGTGTTACAGTGATGCGCGCGCATCTTAAAATTTCACTCTCATCATTTTTTCATAACGCGCCTAAAGAAGTATAACTTCAAAAAGTTTCTAAATAGCATTTTAGAAATCTAATATATAAAATTCTCGTGTCGCGGTGTTTGTGGTTAAACTCCTCCGAAACGGCTCGACCGATTTTCGTGAAATTTTATATGCATATTCAGTAGGTCTGAGAATCGGATGTAATCTATTTTTCATCCCCCTAAATGTTAAGGGTAATCTACCCCTAATTTTTTGTTTTTTAATTTTAGATATATATTTCTTTTTAATTTTTGAAGTTATACTTCTTTAGGCGCATTACGAAAAAATGATGAGAGTGAAATTTTAAGATGCGCGCGCATCACTGTAACACAAAATTTTAACATAATGAAGTTGGTCGCTTTAGCGACCAACTTCATGCTGTTACTTTTGTGTTTACCGCACATTAAGAAAATCTACCAACAAAATAGAAATAGAATCTGTATTTAGTGGGTGCTAACGACTGCATTGTGAAGGCCTATCAAAAGTATTTATTAATCTGGAACAACGGAACCAAAGCGCGATTCAGGAGACTACAGCGCCATCTCTTGACCATTGGTGTAGTAGAACCAAAAACCACATCTTTATTTTTTGTAATAAAGTAACAGTTATAGGTATTCATATTTATAATATCAAAAGTATTTATTAATCTGGAACAACGGAACCAAAGCGCGATTCAGGAGACTACAGCGCCATCTCTTGACCATTGGTGTAGTAGAACCAAAAATCACATCTTTTTTTTTTTGTAATAAAGTAACAGTTATAGGTATTCATATTTATAATATTTATCCACATGTTTCTAGTTTGTATATTCGGAATACGTGTTTGAGTTTCATACAAGTGCAAATCACATATGTTCTAATAAATTATATTCAGTAGCGATTTTAATTGAATATTTTGATTATTTATTTATTTTTTCAAATTAAAACTGAACTTTATTGACTGTGTCCTTTTCCAGACTTTTTATTTATTAATTGTAATTAATTATTTGCATGCAATTAAAAACTAATTTTAAACGATGCCAAAGAAGGATAACTTCTCACGCGCCTACATAAGTACACGCACCCATTTTTTTATGATACATCATACACAAATACATACATCCCTAAATTTTCACCCTTCTACCACCAACCCCAATTTTTTTTATGGCGGTACGAAGTTCGCTGGGACAGCTAGTATTAATGTAAAAATTTTGACTTTGACCTTCATTCATTTTCCATAACCATAAATTTCCCAGTTATGGTTCAGTATAAAAAAATGATCGTCATAATGTGGAAAATACATGGCCTTCGACTTCGTTAAAGGTTTTTTACACCCTGTATACATGAGTTTTGGTAAATAAATTGAGCTGTTATCTATGTATTCATCTTCATAGGTGTATCACAACTGTCACCAACGAGCGGCAGCACTTGGGACGGGACTTCGGTGGCGTCACTACAGCTTCACGACGACAGAAGTGAGTTCACTACACTACACTTCACTACACTTTAAAAGTTGTTGCTGTAACAATAGCGTGTTTAACATAAACAAACATTTCAAAAATAATTGGAAATAAATAGATGTATAGTTATTTCAAAAAATGGTTAATCATGTTACGGCGTAAACATTTTTGTTAAAAATTGAAAATATACTTTTAATAAAACTAGTTTCGCAGCCTTATGAAATATGCGAACGCTCATTAAAAGTCTTTCGAAGGTAGCTCGACAAAGTAGATAAAAAATCATTATTCTGACGATGCAGACCTGAGAAGGCTGCGAAACGTCAATAAATAAATAAATTTCGTGCATTAACCCGTTAAAACTAGTTTTATTGAATGAGTGATGTGCGTGAAAACCTAAGAAACAAATAATATACGTTTAAGTATCAATATGTCAATGCTAAAACTGACGTTTGAAATAAACAAAGTCAAAGTTTCTCCTTTGAACGCTTTACTATGTTCAAATTTGGTTTAAATATTACAAATGTTCCCAAAAGTCAATTGAAACGTAAATACAAATCTTATTCAATTTTGAAGAAAAGTAGAATAGAATCTGTTCACTCACACGCGTTTGAGTGTGCTTTGATTAGAGGTATAAATTATTGTTCACAAGAATGCAAAAGATCAACTGCTGTCAAGGTTTTATTTTAAGTTGAGAGAATTATAGCTATAATTTTTATTTTTTTAATCATGTAACTGCTTGATGTTTTAATCTCAAGAAAATATAACTAGAAAAAATTCCACGCGGACCAGGCAGCAGACGGGACTCAAAGGCGAAGGGTGCGGGTTCAAGTCCCGTCTGCTGCCTGGTCCGCGTGGTTTTTTTTCTAGTTATATTTTCTTGAGAGAATTATGTTTATATTGTACCTTAACCTAATATATACTTAATATTTCAAAGAGGAAAGATTTGTATGTTCTCCAAGAATAAACTCAATAATCACTGGATGGATTTCGAAATATCTTTCATTATTAGAAAGGTACATTAACCGTTTCTAACAAAGGCTATATTTCCATTAAAATTGTATTTTAATGTTAATACAGGTAGCAAATGCGACGAGCGTAGTCTGGCGAGTCCACGGTTAGAAAGAGCCGGCAGTAGTTCGTTCGGACAACTCTCTCTACTCGATAAAGGATTGGCTTTATTCGACAAGGGGAAGAGCACTGTGTCACTAAATACCAAGTGAGTACAATTACATTACACTTAACCATATATTAACACTACACTACAATACACTACACTGTAAACACCAGTTGTCTACTCGATAAAGGACTCGCTTTATTCGACAAGGGGAAGAGCACTGTGTCACTAAATTCCAAGTGAGTACAATTAAATTACACTTACCATGTTTTAACACTACACTACACTTATACACTAACACTACAATACACTGTAAACACCAGTCGTCTACTCGATAAAAGACTCGCTTTATTCGACAAGGGGTAGAGAGCTGTGTCACTAAATACCAAGTGAGTACAATTACATTACACTTACTAATATTAACACTACACTACACTTATACACTAACACTACAATACACTACCCTGCACACAATTACAATTATTGCCACTTTCAATAATAATCAATCTCCATAAAATTAAAGAATATAATTTGCTTCGTTTTTTTTTATTTAATATTAGCAATTATTATTTTAATCTAAATAATGGATATATCAAGAGCACTCGACCTCAAATTGGCTTATCTCTTACAGGAGTTTAATTATTGTAACTGGTTATAATAAGTACAGATTCCAATATTATATTGTCATTGATAAAATAAATAAATAGATTCATTATATCTTTGTCTTTTCACGATAAACTAGACAAGTATTCTTTCTTTGATATATCGTTATGCAAGGGAAAATATCAATATTTAACAACTCATTTATAATTGTTTAAAATCGAAATAAGTAAACTGTTTTACTAAACTTATAAACCTTAAAATATTCTGGTATCCTGACTTAGATTCATCATCAGTCTATTAATGTCCCCACTGCTGGGGCACAGGCCTTCCCTATGGATGGAATAGGAGATTGGGCCATGACTCACCACGCGGGCCCAGTGCGGATTGGTGGGTGCTAACGACTGCAGATGCAGCCGGGACTAACGGCTCATCTTGCCTTCCAAAGCACGGAGGAGCTCGAGATAGTAAATTTTTGGTCACCCATCCAATGACCGTCCATTGCGAAAGTTGCTTAACTTCAACGATCGCAGCTGAACGCGCTAACCACTTGCGCCATCGAGCTCCTCGACTTAGATTAAGCAGTAAATATTTATCAATGCCTATTTTGCATTCTATTCACTTCATGATTTCACAATAAATTTCTCGATTAATCATGCAGCTGTTAATATGAAATGTGGACCTTATCCCGTTGGCTTAAAGTCGTAAATAATCCACATTTGTTTGTAACAGAGGGCTCGGTCGAGACGAACCACCTTCACCTAGAGACAGGCATTCGCCGAGGCATGACAGGTAAGTTATTTAATTTTTAAGTATTTCCTTTAGGGTATTTGACAAGTTTTGGAAAACGATCTCACGTTACTTACTAATAAATATGGAGTCCATAAAAAGTTAATATTCATCATTCTTTTGTGTATTTCAGTAAAAATAACTAAATCAAAAACTCAATTTTCAAGTTGCTCACTCGGTTGTGACGTCACACGACTGTCATTAAATCGTCAAGCGATACAATGTAATGTCACTTTGACCGGAAGTTTAGTAGTGTGTGACGTCATTTTAGGCTCCGCCAATCCCAGGCGTTTTCAATCACGTGACAATAGATATGAAACCTACATATTATCTTTTTCGTAGGGTTTTTAGTTAAATTATGATTATTTTCTATGAGCACTTTAATACTGTCAAATACCCTATTATCCTACTATTCGTAAGCGGAATTCTTTGCCCGCGCACGTGTTCCCTCCTTCCTATAATCTGGCGTCCTTTAAGAGAGGCGTGAAGAAGCATTCTTGCAGGCCGGCAAGGTGAGAATGGTTGGTGTGGCAGTTTATAACTGCTGTACCAGACATCTTCGCGTCTGGACTTTAGCACCACTTGACATCAGGTGGGGTAGAGTCATTTATGATGTCTCTAAGCGCAAGCATTGACTCTTGCTCTTTGCCCACCATTGGGGCGAGGACAATAGGAACGAAGACAGTGGATATATAAATTATTCCTTCTTCCTCTAATTTCTTTAGAATATAACTTAGCCATATGTCCCAAAAAAGTTTACTTTAAAACATTACTAAATCTTTAATTTTGATATTAGGATGGGGACAGTAGATGCATAAACGTATTACTCTCGCAAAAGTTTCATTGGAATATTACTAAGCCATTTTTGATGTGAAACATCTTTTGGCGCACGTATAACTGATTTGTGTCGTGGCGACGCGGCCCGTAAAATGCAATATATACCAGTGCTCAACTACTCGTCGATCAATCGATGTCATTTTTTACCGCAAGCATCCCGAGCAATTCTTCGAGTGTATTTTATCGTAACCGTCTTAGGCTCGTATTACAGAATGACAACTAAGAGTTGATGTTTACTTGAGTATAGTTAGAAAGGGATGGCGCTATGTGCTGTATATAGCGACATCCCTTTCTAACTATGCTCAAGACTAGATCAATCACTGAGAATCTATATATATAAAACTCAAAGGTGACTGACTGACATAGTGATCTATCAACGCACAGCCCAAACCACTGGACGGATTGGACTGAAATTTGGAATGCAGGTAGATGTTATGACGTAGGCATCCGCTAAGAAAGGATTTTGATCAATTCTACCCGCAAGGGGATAAAATAGGGAATGAAAGTTTGTATGAAACTTTGTCAATTTTAAACCGATCGGGCTGAGACTTTGCATGCAGGTATAAGAAGGATCATAGATGAATGTCATTGTGTATAATACAAGCCTGAGAACAAAAACTGTAGTCTACACTTCAGCTCTACACCGAAGCGAAGCGAGGGCGGGCCGCTAGTCTTTCTATAATACGGAACTTAGTGTTTCACTTGTTTGTGTGTGCCAGGCGTCCCGTGACAGCTCACATTTGTTTCTTCTTAAAAACTGAGTTTACAATATCATAAAATTGATATTTTTTTTTAACCAGGACGGGTTCTTTAAGCGTGGGCATCGGCTCCGGCCCTCTATCTACCATTGGGGCGGGGACAGTGGGCTCCGGGTCGGGGACAATAGGACCGGGGTCTGTGGGAACGGAGAGGAAGCCGCAGGCTTTGTCCCCCAGGGGGGCTATCGTCGATGCTGAGCTGTTCTACTCGAGGAGTAACAGGAAACCGGAACAGGTAACACGTGATAACATTTTTTTTTCTATAGAGATTTTTTTTTTTGCAGTTTTCATAAATATCTCTTATTTATTAGACAAGTCCGTCTGTCTGTGGTGCTGTTTCAGCGGCCAAACCGTAAGAGATAGATAAAGAGAATATTTAAGTTATAAGTTAAGAATAGTCTGATAAGACTACAAACCGGATTTGAGTAACGTAGCACTTCCGGTTTTCGAGAAATCAGGTTTTGTGAACATTTGGTTCACTGGTTTGCTAGTATATTTTATTATAGCTATTAATGGGATTGTTACCATGTACCTTGTTTTTTATGAGTCTCCGTTATTTCGGCACTGTTGCAAGCGCCATGATTACGGAGTAACCGTGTGTAAGTTACAAACAATGCAAAAATAACTTTTGCAACGCCATCTATTGACGCCTGTATTGAATGACGATTTTGAATTAAATTTTAACACATTTTTATTTCCTTGTAGAGGATGAATCAGAATATGAATAATTGAGGGTTAGGCCACTTTTGCGCTGGCAACCTCAATAGGGTATTTTCCAAGTTTATGAGAACTGCTTATATTTAAAGATAGGGACTTACGGTTTAACAGAAAAATAAATATAAATTCTATAAATATAAATAAATATAACATTGTGGGTTACCTACAATGCGAAGAGATGGCGCTGCCTTGCAGCTTAAGACTAGGAAAATTTCAACGCGGCTAATAGGGCCGTGGTAGCATAATGGTCAGTGCATTCGCCCGGATAGCGAAGGATGCGGGTTCGAGTCCCGTCCGCTGCCTGGTCCGCGTGGATTTTTTTTTTCTAGTAAACTTTTCTTTAGATTTAAATATAAATTCATTAATGTCTATTTTTCTCCATTAAACCAATTAAAGATGAATTTATTTTTATTGGCTTTGAATTTACCGCTAAAACGCTCGGTTCGATGACGTTTACTTTGTGTATGCTATGTAATCAATTGAAGGTTAAATTATTAACTTTTTTATGTTCGGGATAAAATAGTATAATACTTACACAAAATATTTTAAAAGAAAGAAATCGTCAAATAATTATTCTGTAATCACAGATCGTCCTCAGACTACATTTCTTTACACAAAGTTGGCGTCACACAGTAGACGTCATCGAACCGAACGTTTCGGCGGTAAATTTAAAACCATTAAAAATAAATTCACCTTATATTGATTTAATGATGATCAAAATGAGTTATACATATGTCGAGGGGGCGAGCTGGATAATATAAAATAAAACTGTAGTCTAATAAGCAAGCTAATCTTTAATATAAATCTTTAAATCACTTTACAAAATATGATATGATTACAAGGGTACAAATGGATTGGTTTGTGAAGCGCGGAGAGTTCTCTGCTAACGTCCGTTCACTATCGCGGCTCACGTCTGAATGCTGTATGCCCCTTCCAATGAAGGGCCCTTTAAATACTACCCTTAGCATAGACCATTCCCAAGTGATGACAACTGTCACTGTCATTACTTGACGTTTCACAAGGCAATGGTACACTGACTGATGACATTTGTTGTAGGTTTAACGTTTCGAAGAAGCGAGTGAGACGCCATCCGCCGACACATATAATTTATTCAGTTTCTTTTCTGCGTACATCTGTTTATGTTTCGTAAAGATTTGAGTACTTTTATGGCGCTTAAGCAACATTTTTTTTTGAGTGGCGTTTAAGCAACTATTAAATGGATTTATTTAGCTACTTAAACATGCGCATGTGTCATATCTTTCGATTACCAGGATAATTTTTTTCGATGTCATAATATAAAAAGCTAATTTTTTATCAAATCTTTCGTTTCATATTAATTTCGTTGTTGGCGGAGCTGGGTGTTTTTTGCGCCTTGTCCTTCAGCTTAATGAAAAATTATAATTTTAGTACTTATGATTGAATTGTCTCTCTCCCCCCACCCGCACCACCCGCACCACCCGTAGCCCTTGGAGCGCGTGCCCCCCCTCCTGCCGCGCACCTCCCCGGGGGCGCCGCCTCCCCCGCCCCGCCCCACCTCGCCGCGGATGCACCACCCCGTGCCCCACCCCGTGCCCCACGCGCACGGCCTCGCGCATTCTGTGCAGCACGCGCACGCGCATACGCTGCCCAGTGCGCATCACCAGGGATCGCACAATGGTGAGTCAATTGTACACTTTGACAATGCTTGTTATTTTTGCAAAACATACTAAGTTCAAAGTTAAAGTAGAAATATGCTCATCGAAAGAGTCTAAAGTCTGACATGCAAAGGACAACTTATGTGACTGAAAATGTTTTAATTTTTAGTACATAGCTCATTCTGTTCGCACAACGAAATAACGCATATCGGCCTAAAATGACGGGCGTTAAATTCTTAATTAGCGACAAATTACTAATCAGTAAAAAACATGAAAACTTATTTTTATGGCATATTTAAAATATTTTTAGCATTTTAACTGCAATAATAAGTAACTACACGACGAGTGCATCACTCTAAGGCCAATAATAATTTGAAAAAATGCAAATTAAGAAAAATATAATTTTGACAAAAAATCAAATCCTTAGCCGCTATTGCCGAATTTGAGTTTGAATTTGAATTTGAACCATGCGGAAATGAAATTATAAAGACGGCAATGCGAACATTACACCAAAGATTGCAACAAATTGAAGATTGCCATAAAAATAAGTTATACAATACAAACCGCTTTATTGTACACCACAGAAAACATTACACTTAGTACAAAACCAATTAAATATAGTGTATCAATGAGCGGCCTTATCGCTAAGGGCGATCTCTTCCAGGCAACCTTTAGATGAAAAGGACTAGAAGGAAGTCATTATGGTTTTTACTGACATTTTCGGACGATATGCTTTATTTTGTAGTGAAAACAGAATGAGCTACTAAAAATTAAATGCTTTCAGTCACATAAGTTGTCCTTTTCGTGTAAGAGAGACTCTTTATTGTATTTAAACTTTTACTGGTATCAATTCCGATTCTCTAAACTTAAAACTAAGTTTAACGTCAGTCTCTCCTTTTCATTCTGTATAGAGAATGACAAGGATGCACTGTTGTCAAATTTAAGTTTAGTTTTAGAAAATCATGCCACATTTTAGTAGACTTTAATATGAGGCCATGAGAGTTAGTGGCCTAACTCATTTTTTAACCATAGTTGCCTATCTTACTGAGGCCAGTATGACGCCTCAAATTTAGATCACAGACTAAAAACCGTAACAGTGATTTTGCTGCCATCTACTTAATATTCGTTGTATCACTTTTAGATCACTCTGGTTCTATCAAAATGATGAATTTGAACTGGAAAAAATCATAATCTTGAGATTATATTTATTTACAATATTGATATTGTAAATAAATGAGTTAGGCCACTATGGTTCTCATGGCCTCATATCATATCGTACATCAAGTAGGTCAAGAATGACTTTGTACTTATTTAAAGACACAAAGCGAAAGCTCTCACAATATATCTGTCTTGTTAAAGTTGTTTAGCGTTCATTAAAGATGATCATTGATTGATTGATTGTAGCCAATGCGACGTGGTCACCGCCCAGCGAACCGTTACCAAGTCCGAAACTACAAGAACTGAGCCGGTAAGTCGAAATAAAAGCAGTTTTAACAAAAAAAACTCAGTGAAGTTTATTAAAGTTTCCAAATTTAGTAAGTTAAGTTTATAAAGGTTAGTGTCACGGACAGACCTCCGTCACATACACACTTTTCGTACATATGTATTTCTCTATGAATCTGTGAGCTAACTGTTTAGTCAATTAATGTCAAGTATTCAGCTATTTTTATTGCACTCCTTTTTTATTTAGTTTCGGTGTTACATTTTATAGTCTAAATTCCAAAATATACCTGTTTTCCCATCCCATCCGCGTTTTCCTTTGCTGTCCACGACAGTTAGAACAGCCGACAGTAGCTTCCCTATCTGATAAAATAAAAAAAAAATCATAATCGACTGTAGCGCCATCTATCGGATAAAGTTTTAGGTTAAGATTTCTTCAATTTCTAACTTATCTGTCTCAATTTATTATTCCGTAAAAATCTTTCTACTCATTGTTATAATTACAACTATTGTGGTGCTAACATTATATGTACAAGTCTCATTTCACGTAAAAAACTTTGGAATCATTATTTGACGCCTTCTTTGAGATTACATTTTATGCCTGTAACTGAAAGCTTTACTCTTCAATAGTCATTATTTTATATAAATCATTAAATATTTGTAACAATTATCGTTGAAAATGAGATATACTCCCCCTAGATATAAGAATGGCCACCAGCAAAATTTAGTTCAAAACCAAGCTACGAAGCTTTTTACAAGAACAAGCAGTCTAGCTTAAACGATAGTCGTCATTATTATGTATTTATTTAATATGTATGCTTATATATGTATGTATGTATATGTATATGTGTGAATATACATATATGTATAGTTATTTATATGTAGGTACTTATTTATGTATGTGTAATTATATATATGACTACTACATATTTAAATCTGTCGTCTTTCTGTAGTTTCCATCTAAGTTGTGCATCCTACCACTATTTATTCACAACACCCTATGGTTAACTGGTAGAGAATACCTACGGCATTAAGTCCACCTTTGTAACCTTGTGCATTAAGTATTAATAAATAAATACATACTTTAATAAACCCATCAGAACTAACGAAGATAATAAATCAAACATAAGTCACGCACAAATAATTAACTACGTAAAGTTATGCAACTGGTTTTAGGTGAATATCTTCATCATCAGCCTATTAATGTCCCCACTGCTGGGGCATTGGCCTTCCCTATGGATGGAATAGGGAGATTGGGCCATGACCCACGGGTGCTAACGACTGCAGATGCAGCCGGGACCAACGGCTTAAGGTGCCTTCCGAAGCATGGAGAAGCTCGTGATAGTAAATTTTTGGTCACCCATCCAATGACCGACCATTACGAAAGTTGCTTAACTTCAACGATCGCATCCGAACGCGCTAACCACTTGCACCATCGAGCTCCAGGTGAATGTGATGAGTAAATAATTTGTACTTTAACTAGTCATGTGACTAATTTATCAATAAAAAATGTGTTTCAAATATCAAGTCACATATTAATCTAGTTACGTGATAAAACCCCAGATGGGATGGAATAATTTGCCATGCCTACTGTATAAAAATACCGGCGTATTAATTACATAATATGTGTGTTGTTTTAAATTTCATAATAAATGTAAAAAATAGAGAACAGATGCCGTATTGTAGCGATTACATTATCTTGTCAACACATGACTATTTCGATAATATGTATTGTATATCCGAACCAAACTTGTAATTTCTGTCTGTCTGGCCGTGAAATTGGAACGAAATACACGCTCTGTTATATCTGGTATTTATCAATGGAGTTTATATTAAAATCTATTAAAAATATTACCGAATTTTATATATTTCAAGGGGTTCTTTAAAGTAAAACTTATTTATAATTTTTATTTTTTTAAAGCCTGTAACTGCTTGATGTTTAAATTTAATACTTGTAAAAGTATTCATTTGACATTGTGGGTTACCTAGAATGCGAAGCGATGGCGCTGCCTTGCAGCTTAAGAATGCCTAGAGGAATTTCGACGCGGTCCGTAAGGGCCGCGGTAGCATAATTGGTCAGTGCATTCGCCCGGATTGCGAAGGGTGCGGGTTCGAGTCCCGTCTGCTGCCTGGTCTGCGTTGAATTTTTTCTAGTTATATTTTCTTTAGATTAAAACTTATTTTTTAAACTTTTTAAGCATTCAAGTCCTTGCCGTCTTATCACAAAACGTTGACTAAAGTTAAACCTGGTTTTATACTAATGTTGTCACTTTTATTTGCTAAAAATAAGTCAAAGTCAAAAGTCGCGTTAGGTTTAAACCAAGTTTAGTACGCGTTTTGGAATAAGGCAGTACTAATTTAATTTGAATTGTTTTTGAAGTTATACTTCTTTAGGCGCGTTATGAAAAAATGATGAGAGTGAAATTTTAAGATGCGCGCGCATCATGTAACACAAAATTTTAACATAACATACTTTTGTGTTTACCGCACATTAAGAAAATCTACCAACAAAATAGAAATAGAATCTCTATTTTGTGGGTGCTAACGACTGCATTGTGAAGGCCTATCAAAAGTATTTATTAATCTGGAACAACGGAACCAAAGCGCGATTCAGGAGACTACAGCGCCATCTCTTGACCATTGGTGTAGTAGAACCAAAAACCACATCTTTATTTTTTGTAATAAAGTAACAGTTATAGGTATTCATATTTATAATATTTATCCACATGTTTCTAGTTTGTATATTCGGAATACGTGTTTGAGTTTCATACAAGTGCAAATCACATATGTTCTAATAAATTATATTCAGTAGCGATTTTAATTGAATATTTTGATTATTTATTTATTTTTTCAAATTAAAACTGAACTTTATTGACTGTGTCCTTTTCCAGACTTTTTATTAATTTATTGTAATTAATTATTTGCATGCAATTAAAAACTAATTTTAAACGATGCCAAAGAAGGATAACTTCTCACGCGCCTACATAAGTACACGCACCCATTTTTTATTTTATGTAGAAATCAACCATCCTTATTGATAAGTTTTTATTATCCCTGCATAAAGTTTTCTTTATATGTACCTACATATTTTAACGTTGATCTGATAAATAGAATATATTTATTTGTGGTCCATCGTATAGATTGCCAGGCATGTCGCCGAAGAGATCTCCCGCGCCGCAGCCTCCCGTCAGCCCTCTACACAACGACAGGTGAGTCTCTGTACAAATTATAACATCATTTGTAATGTTTTTAATTTTTAAGCATTTAACTGCTAGATGTTTAATTGTAAAGAAAAGTTTACTAGAAAAAAAAACAAATCAAAGGATTTTTTAAATTGAACTTTTATTCGTATGTGTAAAAAATGTTAAACTCGCGTCAGGTTAAACACGTGGGCTGATCGCATCATGACACACAATAATATCGGAATATATTGGACGAAACATAGTAATATTTTATTTTACCGTATTATAATAATAAGTATCTATCTAGGACGTCCACGTGGCAGCTTTATTGCGAAGAAAATGCATTTTTTTACAATAGATGTCGCTAAGTGCGCTTAAACGTGATTCCTGTAAGTTGATTTTTCTGAGAGATAAACTTTTGTAATGTAATATAAATTTTCATGTTTGTGTACGATAGCGCAATAAATAAATATTGTATTCGACCACATACATGATAGTATTTTTATACTGATAATCAAAGCAATTCGTGCAAAATTATTCCCTTATCATTCCAAAATATCAAAAATGCACAACGTTAATATTCAAGTTTTCATTTCTGCCGGCACTCCCGGAGTGCAACCCGTCGTTTTTTTTTCTAGTAAACCTTTATTTAGATTTAAACATTAATTTGATTTAATTTGGGACATATTTGTAGTGGGGTAGGTGAGGAGAGTACATACATGTTAAAGAAGTAAGAATTACAGGAGCAGTTGAAAATTAATTGTCATCTCGACTTTGTAGCGCAATTTTTATCTGGAGATTTTCCACGTGCAATATGTGAGTTACTAACAAAAAAAAATGGAAATGTGGCCCAAATTAAAACATTTATTTTAATACCTTCTAATATCTTTAAAAAATTAGGTTTTTTTTTTATTATATTTGAGTTACACAGTACACACAATCCACATTATGTAACGATATAGAAAGAACAAGACTCCAAACCTCTTCCCAGCATATGGCTTAATATTTGTTAAAAGTCTCGTCCAAAACAAGAAATGTTTTTGACAGAATAATGTGGTTTTAAATAATATGTATTCAGAGTTGCGATAAACTTACAATTTTTCTTCCAATATTTATGGCTTGGATGCAAATTTGATTTGATGATCTGTATTTTTGTATCAAAATTCAAGAAGAAAGACTCGAAATTCGCCTAAACACATCCTAACTCCAATCTATTAACATGTGTTATTGAAGTCCAAAAAAAAATAACAATTTTTTGCAGAAAAAAAAATTAATATCACGCTTATTATTTTTATATTTTTCAAGTGATAACTTCTTATCTGAATGTAAACCGCTTCGTTACGTAACGCGTTATGGCGAAAAGAGAACGACGCCACAGCTCGCCCAGCTACCAGGACCAACCCCACTCTCTCACCCATCAATCCCCACTATCACCGACCAATCCCTTACTATCACCCACCAATTCCCTTATTAACATCGAATCCCTTTCAACCTCGAATCCCCTTTGCAACCTCCAATCCCCTTTTCACCAACCAATCTTCTGTGCTCAAAAAGGATAGTTTTAGTTATCACTTCTGTCCCCCTAGCATGAGTACCGTGATATGATGTGGCTACAATTCCAACGCGTACAAAGAAATTTGGTGAGAAATTTCTTTGTCGCACTATCCGTAAATGGAATGCTCTGCCCGCTCACGTGTTCCCTCCCTCTTACAACCTGGGATCCTTTAAAAGAGGCGTGAAGAAGCAACATGCAGGCCGGCAGGGTGAGGATGGCTGGTGTGGCAGGTAGAACTGCTGTATCAGCTATCTTCGCGTCTGGACTTCACCGTCACTTAACATCAGGTGGAGTGAAGTCATTTGTCGGGCCTATCTATAAAAAAAATGATATATAACGCGTTATATCACGCTCAACTGTCAAATTACTGTGGAGTTAGACAGTTAGACGCGATAAAAATTGTGGTACAATGTAAATTGTGGTGCTCATCCTACCGGGACTGTCGTGCGTCCCGAGAGTCCCTTTTTTTCTAAGACTCAAAATAACTTATATCCAGGAGCAGTGCGTTCAAATTCCCGTCGCCGTCGCCGGCGCCGCCGCCCCCGCCCCCGCCGCCGCCCCTAACGCCGCACCGTGAGTATACACGCGTCTCGCTCGCACACTATGTACCTATCACTCGCACAACGTCTTACACTGTTTTCTTTACTATAGGACAAAGCACCTGAGATGTCACTGAAACCTTGTAAAATAGGGACATTTTCAACTTTTTTTTAAATTAAATTAAAGCTTACCATTATTATGACTACCACTCGACTTCCGTTCGCCTCGCCCGAACACTTTTCGTAACGCTTAACGCATTCGCCAGCTCACTCTCCAAGTCGAGAGTGCGTAAAGAAATTTCATTTCAAAAAAAAATAGAAGGAATGAAGGGCAGTGTATAATGGTTGGTTGTGATAACAGCGGCGTGGTGTGGCACCCCCCCGCCCCTGCCGCCCCGCCGGCGCCGGGACTCCACCGCGCCCCACACTCCCGCGCCCGGCCCCGCCCCCGGGGACCATGTGAGTATACCGAGCACGAGGAATGTACACACACGCGCACACAAACACATACTCACAGCTAAATATCTCTTATCTATTAGACAAGTCCGTCCGTCCGTGGTGCTGTTTCAGCGGCCAAACCGTAAGAGATAGATAAAGAGAATGTTTAAGGTATAAGTTAAGAATAGTCTGATAAGACTACAAACCGGATGTGAGTAACGTAGCACTTCCGGTTTTCGAGAAATCATGAATTTCAAACGAAACCACACAAAATCTCCGAAGTTCTCAATTAATTAATTTTTTTTTTTTTTTAGATTTTGGTGAACATTTGGTTCACTGATTTGCTAGTTTATGTTAAATCATTAGTAAGAGTCGGAGAGGCTGGTTATCTGTCATACAGCTTCTACTAGCGTAGAAGCCAGTCTCTAACTTAGCGTTATAAATATAATGCGATTCAACTAAGAATAGGACCGACTGGGCGCCATATTTTGACGTCATAGCTGTCGATTCAAACCAAATAGGTAGGGTGAGCAAAAAAAAGTTTCTGTTTAATAAAACTTATTTACTTAGATTGAGTGAGAAAAAACATCAGAGTTTTTAATAAAATTAATTTACTAAGATTGAGAGAAAAAAAGTAACGATTTTTAATAATATTTCTTTACTAAGACTGTGTGAGAAAAAACATTGATCAGAATCTAGCTCTTCGATTGCGCTCATCTCTGCATTACCGCCGGAGTAGTTATGAATAATCATGCAGGTCACATACGAACATGCATCCTATATGTAAACGAAAGTATTAAATCGAGTTTCTGAACGCAACATAAAGTGACATTTGGTTGACGATTTAGGTTATCGACCATTCATAGCCAAAGCTAAATAAATGGAAAAAAATATTCAACAAATATTAATTATCAATATTTGTTATTGTTTGTTTAAAAATGTTTGATTTTTATTGTAGAATTAGCTGAGTGCTAAAAAAGTGTTCCGAGATTTTTTTGCAAACTGTACTTTTCAAGCGACATTTGACAGATGGAGGTCTTTGGCATTCCTATTCTTAATTGAATCGCATTTTAGGTACTTATATTGTGAATTTGCTGTACACCTTATAGACAGCAGGCCCGTGGCAAAAATTTATGGGTCATTTGAACCACCAGAAGACCTATTTAGCAAGATGTAAGGACTAATAATTATCTTCATTTCATTATATACTTAATTTATAAAGCTGTAAAGTCATTTGATCATGTACGGCAACTTTTTTTTAACAATGTTGCTAAAAACATTTTTTATAATATTAGTAAATATCGTGAAAGTAGTGTCACATTATTAAGTATCCTATTAATAAATAGAATGGTTTGAATGAGAAGAAATCCATAATTATGAGAATATATGTATTATAGAAACTATTCGATAGGCTCGCACTCTGAACTCGTTTAGGGATCAAGTTCGGAGTTATTTCCTATCCCAACTATTATGCTAAATTTTTTAACGTCATCATCTCTCTTCTCTTCCTTAGATATATCTGTTTTTCTATAACACACCTCCTCTTCTTCATATTTATTTGTCTTTCTATAATGGGTTTGCCTGGAAGAGATTGCTGCCTAGCAATAAGGCCGCCTATATTGTGTACGTTCTGTCTATCATGTTTTAATTTACTTGTGTCTTGAATGGTGTATTGCAATAAAGAATATTATTATTAATTCTTATTAACAGACATTTATACCAAAAAGTGTCATGGCGGTGTACTTTTATTGCTGTAGTATTTATATGCGTATGATCGTTAATCCCGAATGAACTTATTAATTATAAATTAATGTTGCGACTACATGTTTGAAATGTTTGCGAATTGTGGTACAATATTTTCTTTATAACTTCCAAACAAAACAGGAAATGACAATTTAAATCAGTTATTTTTCTAATTGATTATTATTATTTAAATTCTTGGATTGAGAAATGATTTTACATTGATACAATGGTATCGATTCTGGCATGATTCTCCAAACTTAAAAATAACATCAGTCTCTCCTTCTCTTTCTATATAGAGCATGACAAGGATATACTATTGTCAAATTGAAGTTAAGGAGTTAAGAAGAAGTTCTCACAAGAGAATCATGTCAGAATCGACACCAGTGTAGACAAATCGTCTTTCGATCTCGTCCTTGGTAAATTGCTAAAATGATTTATTTGTAAGTCTCATCAGCAACGATATTAAATACCTTATTAGATACACCACGAGCGCTCAAAATATGTCCCAATCAAGAATTGCTTGAACTCCATTTAAGCACTTCTTGGTTCACAGTCACGCGTGGACCGTTACAAAGTCAAGATGCCACAGAGCTCCGCGAAAAAATGCGAAAAAAATACTTATAGTAGGAAAAGTGTCGTTTTTTTCGACAGGTATCTAATCAATGTTTGTTAATATAACGCATTTGAAGCAAAATTTATTGTAATACTTCTTCTATAAACTGATTTAATATAAAATATTTGTGATATTTAAATGCATGGTCGGTTATACGTCGCCGTATAGCCGTCTCTTTTCCTTGCGGTCCGGAACTGCTATATTGCTAACAGCGCATTCAGAATTTCGCCTTAAGTCAAAATAATAAGGTCTGTATTCTTCCGCATATAGCAGTAAGTCGTAAAATTTTACGAGCTTGCATTTCGAACGGTCAGAAACTCTTTGACGCATGCCCTTTAATCAAGATCTTATGCAGTATGTATCAAAGGTGACTTTCAATGTTTAAATAATGCCTTATAACGCGATCTTTATACGGAGCTCCGTGGATCGTCCAATGTACCTTTTGGACAGGTTTCGGGCACGATTTTGTTCGTGCTGTTGGATGTAGGGTATTGAATATCGTTTGCTCATCGGTTAGTATTGATAGTGACACACAGTATATGGTCCCCGCAGAGAGCGTGTCCCCCCCCTCACGGCAGCAGCGGCGGCACCCCTCCCCCGCTGCCCCCCCGGCCGGCCCCCCCGGCCCACCCCGCGCCCCCCGTCTCCCCTCAGGCCCCGCCCCCACACATTCCCTCCCACCACCATCACCCGCCGGCGCCGGAGCTGCTGAGGCCGGCGCATTCCACGATACTGCAGAGGAGACATCATTCGAGGTAAGATGGTTTAAATTTTCCGGACCCATCTAAAGGCCCACCTAGCATTTTAAGTTTTGACACGGTCCCTAGATAAAGAAACGACGGGTGCACTCCGGGAGTGCCGGCAGAAGTGAAAACTTGAATATTAACGTTGTCCATTTTTCGATATTTTGGAATGGTTAGAGAATAATTTTGCACGAATTGCTTTAATTGTCAGTATAAAAGTACTATCATGTATGTGGTAAAATACAATATTTATTTATTGCGCTATCGAACACAAACATGTCAATTTATATTACATTAAAAAAGTTTATCTCTCAGAAAAATCAAATTACATGAATCACGTTTAAGCGCACTTAGCGACATCTATTGTAAAGAAATATACTTACATGAATCACATTTAAGCGCACCTAGCGACATCTATTGTAAAAAAATGCTTTTCTTCGCAATAAAGCTGCCACGTGGACGTCCTAGATAGGGACTTATTATTATAATACGGTAAAATAAAATATTACTATGTTTCATCCAATATATTTTTCAATTTTATTGTGTGATATGATGCGATCAGCCCACGCGTTTAACCTGACGCGAGTATAAGCGAAAGCTGAAACGCTACGAGCGTCACGCGCGACAATATATGAATGATGCGTACGCTGCTGCTCCATACCCCTATGCCTTATGCACTGCCTAATGTTTCACTTCAGATGTATTGTGTGTGGTCGGTGCACACTAATTTATTTATTTGTCTTGTAGCATGGCGCCGCGCCTGCCCCCAAAGCCGCCGACCAGCAACGTCCCCAGCGTAGCAACCAGCGTAGCACGCGGCACGTAGCGAGGCCGCTGCGTGCTACGCGCCTCGACCCCAGAGCCGCGCACGCTACGCATCGACTACACCACCGATACTCTGTAATGTAGCGGCTATCATACTATAGCCGCTCTAAACATACGGAGAGTCCTTGTCAATACAAAGTTCTACAAAAGAATCAACTCTTTTACGAAGACGGAAGTTCTAAAATAAGAAGTTTCAAGAAATGGTGTCAGTGATATCTGTTAAATACTTAAATTACCGCTAGGTTTCATACGACTGCCGCAATGATAACGCAAAGATTCGAGAATTAATGACGACAGTTAGCAATGAAATAATAATGCAGCGACTTGCTTTCGTTCAACTTTCACATATTTTTGATACTTGCAAAGAAGTGAAAACCGCATGCCGCCTTTAGTCTAAAACACGGACTAAAGTTAGTCTTGGTTTAAACCTTATGTTGTTCTGCCTTCTTTTTAGCAAAAAAAAGTGACAGCATCAGTTTTAGTTCAGGTTTAACTTTAGTCTAGGTTTTGTAATAAGACGGTATAGGTTACTCGTGTTAACCTAAGAAATTTGGCAATAAGCAGTATGTAGTACAAATAAAAAATATATATCTGAGATCCCTTCCCATACTAAAATCCAACAATTAGTGTCTGTAAAGTAATATTTGGTATAACTTAAGAAACGATAATACGGTTTTGTACAACTACCGCGTTTAACATACGGAGGTACGAGAAACAGTGACAGTATTGTCACTTAAAATAACGAAAATTCTAAAATTAGTGTCACTATTGGCGCCAAGAATACGAAACTACAAAATTGGGTGTTAGTGTTGGCACTCATAATAAATAATGTTTATCAGTGAAACAATGACTGTGAAGTGATTTTAAGTAAATATAGTGACAGTGGACAGTGTGAAAAAGGGCTGGTGATAACGTGATTCGTGATGCGGTGAGTCGCTTGAAACTTTCTAAAATGACACAGTTGTCGATATAGACTGAGGGTTTTTGCAAATGCCGATGGACAGATATTGTGTGTAGACACTGTTGTTATTGTATATTGTATCGTCGGCGGTGTAATCTTAATGTAAGTGTATATGGAATTCAGTTGCGATAAACTCGGTTGGGTGCACTCGGCAGTTTGAAACGGTGCGTTTGCCGAAATTGACTTACAGTTTGTTTATATCGATGATATTTTTTTTGACTGAACAAATATCATTGGGCATTAAAAAGTGGTTGTAAACTCTTGTGGAATAATTAGAAACAAGGTTTTTGATTATACTTTATTTGATTGAGTTCTCCTAATCGAATTTACAGCAACATAGGAAATATATTCGATTAAACTAAAAGAAAATAAAAGCAATAGTTTTCGAAAGAGATGCCTATTATACAGTTTAAATAAATGTTAAATTCCAATATACTAGTTTGGAGCATGCTTTATAAATTTAAAAGCAGCATATTAGGTGTTCCATCCGAATTCGTATCTTATTTTTCGCATTTCGCTTTCATTTATATGTATATTAAATTTTATCAGAAGTGTCACAATACGATATAGATAATTTTTATCCAAAATGAATAATAAACTTATTTGTAAACTTAACAGTTTCAACAATGGTGATATATCGTTTTTTTATATTGATATCATCATAAAAATACGTGTAGTATTTGATTTTGTTAAGTTATACAACAGAATCGTGTCAAATACCTTCTGATATTTAGTTTTTCATAATCATTGGAGCTGTGTATAATTTATATTAATTATGTCCAACATTCCAAATGTATTGTGTGAAATTTGTAAATGAATTGAATACTGATATTACTTCGAATTTATCAAAAGTTTGCATTTAAGTGACTAATACTAGATACACGATCAACGCTTGTCTATGATTGAATCTATTTTGTCTCTGCCTCCTCTTTTTGAGGTTGACAATAATCTTCGCACTTTTATTTCAATTTGAACTCTTGCATTCTTTTGATTGCTTCTCTGTTATCTTTATATCTCACTATTCATCATACTATGCAAGCTCTGCAAGGGAGGGAGGGTTGATTTAGAAAATATTTTACCCCTAGTGTCACTATATGAGATTGAGTAGCCATAACTAAGTATACTGTAATTTAAATATCCTTTTCTTTAATGACTATAAGGTCTAAAAGGAAGACAAGTGACGGAAGGTAAAAATTTATGGAAATAACACGAATCTTTAGTAGATACAACATGACGTAAACGCCTTTATTAAAGTGCAATATGGTTGAAATTCACACTACAATGCCTATGTAATTGTGTATCTTTAAACAAAGCTTAGCCTAAACAACTCGACTCTCGCCTCATTTGTTATTCTTACGTTCGCGTTCGATAGATGGAGCTGTTCCTAAAATACGGACAAAGCGTTGATCGAATATAACGTGCTATTATTTTAACACAAATGGTTTCTCGTGACGTCGTATTTTAATAAAAAAACTTATGGGATCTTTTTATTCAATTCCCTAACAAGCAAAACTTGTGCTATGGTTGAAAAATTAGTAATTATATAATGTTATTAAAGATAGGAATCGAGAATGCGGACGCAAGACATTCTGTCCCTTTCACACGTTACGTAGCATAGCATGAGCGATTTTCTATTCTTGATTCCTTTAATCCTACGAGTTATATAATACATATACGTTCAACTATAGAATACCTCGCAAGAAATATATGGCGTAAAAGTACATATACATATTAATGACTGTATTCACCAATCACATAGAACTCACGTAGAACCATACACCAATCGTAATCCTGTGCAGTGCCAATCAACCAATAGTTTTATAGATGTAAGAGAGACAGAAGTATGTTTATAGCCTAGCTTACGGTACATATTATATTGTAACGAAAAAATGCATTTATGTAAATAGTTAGGTTTAGTCGAGGGGCCAGTATACAGAAGTTGTGTTGTTCTGACAGAACAAGACGTTGTAGTACAAAAATTATACTAGAATTGATCTTACTCTGAACTGAAGTATTGTTCTGTTTGTTTTTTTATTAATGAGTGTTTATTCATAAACACTATACCTTCGTTACATAAACTATATTTGGCAAATTTCAACACTAATTTTCTATGCGTAAGTTATAAATTATTTGCCTAATAACTAGTTATGGTAGATATTTTCTAATTCGCTGCTAATTGAAAAGTGCCCATAGTAGTTTGAGGTTTTTTCTTCACTAGTATACATTTTTTTTATGGGTTTTAATTCATTGTATATAACAAATTATAACACAATGAGAAATAATGAATAAGACGTCCTCTTCTCTTCCAATTACGATACCCTACATGCACTTTTTATCTGGTAAAATTACCACCTTTGTATCTCCATTATGGTCTGCAATAAATGAATTGAATTGAAAAATGACATCAAGAAAAATTTTGAGAGACTTCAAAAAACGAGGTATTTGTCTGTACATTGGCTCCTTGACATTTAATAATAACAATTACTTCTCACAAATACTGCAACGCTTAAGATTTATGGGACCATGCATTATGAACGATTTCGGAATGTGTTACATTGCAATACGTTGTATTTGAAACCCCCTTCCCCTACTTGTAGTGATTACGCTTGCTGGGTAGTGTTTGTGAGAGGTAGCCCCCGCCCCAACGAATTAGAAATAATAAAATATGGAAGCATTACTCTCTAGAAGCTTGATGGCGCGATCGGTTAGCGCGTTCGGCTGCGATCGTTAAAGTGAAGAAACTTGCAGTGGTCGGTCATTGGATGGGTGACCGAAAATCTTCTATCTCGAGTTCCTCCGTGCTTCGGAAGGCACGTTAAGCCCTTGCTCCCGGCTGCATCTGCAGTCGTTAGCACCCGCCAATCTGTTCTGGGCCCGCGTAGTGGGTCATGACCCAATCTCCCTATTCCATCCATAGGGAAGGCCTGCGCCCCAGCAGTGGGGACATTAATAGGCTGATGATGATGATTACTCGTAACGCGACACGCATGCACAGAGACAAAACAAAATACTTTGACAAATCAAATATCTGCACCCATTTCATTGGGTAAGATAATGTTAAACGGAAATCTCGACCAATCCCATGATCGGCGTGTTGATCGCAGTTCTTTCGCCCCGCCCACTTGATCGCAGTTTGCGTGGTTCCATATTTTATTTCTAATTCGTTGCCCCGTGTAAATATATATTGTAAATAACGAAAATGTTTATGTACAATGGAAGGAGTCGGCCATTAGCCATTTATCGCTATGATCTCTGACTACAAAAATGTACAGTGTATACTTTAAATTGAGTTTTTGCTTTAATGGCACCTACTTCTCAGGTTGCACGGCAGTGTTTTAAGTCTATCGCAAACCTGAAAACTGTCCTTAAGGTTCATTATTCTGGGTTTGTTTTTGAAGTCGAAACTTTTATTACAAATATTAGCATTAAATTCTTTATTGTTATAAAAAATATTGAAACCTCATCAACAAGCATCGGTGGTTCAGTGGTAGAAAGCTCGCCTGCCACTCAGGCTGCCGGGGTTCAATACCCAGCCGAGTTAGGACTTGTTTTTATTAAAAATTTAAAAAGTTTCAAATCATAAAACCATTGCATTTTTTTTATAGTTAACATTGATGGCAGTGGTTATTATAATATGTTAATTTGATTCACTGCTTGATTACATTATACAGAGTGAAAGAGATATTGGTGTCTCACTTTAATGATCCTTTAATTATGTTTATCTTTCGTTAAAATGACATTTATGTGGATGGAAGTAAACATTTTCTGGTTTTTTTTCATGTATATCATACTTTCTTTGAGATATCAATAATAGATCTTATATGAAAAGCCATAAGGATAGTTTTCGCGTTTGAGATAAAATTAATATAGTAAGTGACATCCTGGCGCTAGGCCAGTCCATATTAGATTATTTTGAACCTTATTTTCAACGCAACATAGACCAATGTTCAACGTACGATGTTCCTCAATAATAATCCCATAATTTATACGCAACTAGGTGTAATAAAATAGAGGTGCTTGTATTCGTTATGGTTTACGATTCTGTCTCTTTCATTCGTTCAAAGTGCGAGGGAGGCGGCCTACCTAATGAGAACGAGTCAAGTTATTCTCACGTACATGACTCACACAACCCTGTACTTCGCGTTCATAAGGAAATGCATTTGTTGTCATGTATTAATTAAAGGACTGCCAAATTTATAATTGTAAGTTGGGGGTCGGTTTGCACATAAACTCGTTCAACTTTCAGCACTTTATTTCACAAAAACTCAGCACTGACTGCCCTCTCCGGTGCAAGTTCGTGCTTTTATAGAATATTGAGGTAGTATCGTTTCAACACTTTTCATCGACACCGAAACTGACAGTCAGTCATAACAAAGATATATTTATTTAATACATCTTATAATTAACAATATAAAAACAAACAAATTGTTAAATTCTAATAAATTTTACATGAATGCGATTTTAATAATTATTAATAAAAATAAAGCAATAGAAATTTAACACTTCATTGTAATATAGTGACACGTACAAATGTGTGGTCAAATCAGCAATCTAGTAAGGTGAAAATTATAAATTCTTACATAATGAATCTAGACCAGGGTGATCATGGCAAGGCAAAAAACGCATCTTCTTTAGCCCCTCTTCCATAGTGATATCTATGAATTGGCTACAAAATTTGCAGATACATTTCAATTGGACCACTTTTAAAAATGACTGCGCGTTAAGATAAATCAGTAGTTACCAAAGCATCGTTCACTTTTGTATTTGCCCTCTTAATAAAATATCAAAATACTACATAATTGTGTATTGAACTGTGCTGTTTCATTTAAGTTTTCAAAAAGTATGTAATTGGTAGATCGCACAGGGTCTCGACAGAAAACAGTAGACCTTGGGTCTAATCAAATCGGCCACCCCATATCTAGACCTACATTTTGGCAAAATTAAAATTGCAGACATACACAACATGAAATGATTCTTCAATATTATTATAATTTCTACGAATGAATTTTACAAATATGAATGAAGTACTCATAAGAATAAAGTTAGTTTTGTCAGTAAATCAACTGGAATAAAAATAGACACAAGAGTGAAGCGTACCACAGCGAGTGAAAGAGACAGAAACACTCGTCGCGCTGATAGAAGAAACCCGGAACGTACAAAGAGATCTTCCATACGTAAGATATTATTTTTATTTCGTTAAATTTGTAGGCATTTAATAGATTTGACAGAAATTGAGTATTATAATATATTATATTCAATTAATAAATAAATTAGCATTTCGTGCTGGAAATATTAAACAGGTACTAAAATCTGGTCGTATTGATTTAATAGTTCAATAGTATTGCCATTAAAAATGCTGATCTTAACATATTTTTCAGATGCCAGACAAATAGCTTATTCCAACATAGCTATCTGCTAATCAGGGCAAGGTACAGTCGATGAAAGTGGTGGTTAAACACACAACAGATTAAAGTACGAATCAATTGAAATTTAAAAAAATAACTGGGCAGCGACTGCATTGTTTGGATTTGGTAAAAAGTGCAGCTGCAGCTGTGTTGTAGGCCTAAAGGCTGCAATTTTACTAGCATGAATAAAAAATGTACAATCACATACCGCCTACTTCCTTAACTGTACCTTTCACACTGACGATTTCAAGAAAGATAAATCTTTTTACATGTAGCAAATATTCAGTCAGATACAATAATGTTTAGTGACAGAACGTGTCTTATAGGTTTTTTAAATAACACTAGAGTGAAGTTGCGAAATATTTCAATATCAACTACAGATCTCACTTTAGTTAAATTCAGATATAAGCATTTCTATTAGTTTATTCGGTGTTAGCCATATATCATATACAAAGAGAGTGGACTGAGTCACATTTACATTTGTTTGTCGCACTATCCGTAAATGGAATGCTCTGCCTGCTCACGTGTTCCCTCCCTCTCACAACCTGGGATCCTTTAAAAGAGGCGTGAAGAAGCAACATGCAGGCCGGCAGGGTGAGGATGGCTGGTGTGGCAGGTAGAACTGCTGTATCAGCTATCTTCACGTCAGGACTTCACCATCACTTAACATCACGTGGGGTAGAGTCATTTGTCGGACCTATCTATATAATAAAATAAATAAATATGATGATGACTAACTTATTTTGAATTCATATATCTATCAGGTAAATCATCAAATAGTATTGGACATGTATTTTGTGATTTTTTTCACACAATCAAAACATTACAGAGATATATTGATTTTAAATGTCGCCGACATCACGTCTTGGTACAGTTTTCATTTAGAAGTGTCGTCAGGAGCCACCACTCCCAAACTGTGAAACAAGTTAATATCTTTAAAGCTCTGTTTTTAAATCATTTTTAATCTATTTTAAGTACAATTATTGATTTTAGACGGACATTTCGGATTTTGTTTAAAATATGGATATTCTATTTCACACTCTAAAAGTATGAATTATGGGTACATGACATGAAACTTTACATTTATAGTGCTCAAAATTAACTAGTGACTTCATTCCAGTTTTGACGTGCAGAAAGCAGTAATGTTTGCTCGATGTTATATCTTTCCAGGGGGGGGGGGGGGGGGGAGGCTGCAACTCCTACCCCCATTGGTGACGCCATTGCCATTGGAATTACGGGTTACCCGAATAATCTACAAAATAATCGCGTATTCTCTCTAACATTGAACTTGGTAAGACTTTGTCCATTCTCTATATGTATGGTGATAATATAGAAGTTGTATATTTATAATTTACATGCAAAAGGACCAAATGTTCATCGATAGAACTGTATAGACTGACATATGACGGTTTGAGTTTACCCGACTCTGGATAATATGAGAGTGGAATAATAATATGGAAATTATATTTTATACATACAGACAAATAATGCTTTTATGCGCACGCGCAGAATATAATATCCTTTTGTCATTGTTGCTATTATAATAGAATAATTGTAAGCTATTATTTTCGGACAGTGTCACACAACGTTCGAAATGCAATTTTGTAAATAGCAATTTGAAAATTACTTTAATGTATGTGTATAAAAATATATTATTATTGTATATTGATAGAGATTGATGTTCTAAAAAAAACAAGTATTGTATTAGATTTTATAGTATATATGTTGATATACATAAAAATATATGTTTTACGTTGGAAAACTGAATATTATACATAGTCTCTCTATATATGTAATTGACAATGTATAATTATCGTAAAAGTGAATCCGTATGCTATATGTTCGTTATTCAAAATAAATATGTACTTATAGATGCTTTCCTATATCGAGTTAATCAAATGAATAGCGCTCCAATGAGATTATATATGTTATTATGTGATAACGATTTGTACAGGATCGGAACGGACTAAAAAGTCGTCAAGATAGTTGACGTGATATAGTTGATGACTAAGACAGATTACCTATGTATCTGTATATTGTAAGTTTTGAAGTTTCGGAAACTAAATGACATATATAAAATGTAAATATATGTAATTTTTCGGAGTTTTTGTACTCGTATCGGCTGCCCATGGCCAATGACAAGTATTTGGTGAAAACCCTATGCTGGGTTGGTGATATATCTACATAGTGATATGTTAATGCAATTATTGTTAATCACTATATATATTTAAATGCAGGATACTTAGTATTTCGGTAAGAAAGCCCGATCTCTAAATGTAAATAACACACGTTATGTATGATTTTAATGTACACAATTCGTTTTATTGAATGTTTTTTTTTATGTCAATATGTTTTTAAATGAAATGAAGTTGAAGAGATATTTCCAAGAGATCTTGCATTTGAGTTATATTTTGTTGTTATCTTGTTTGTTTATTGAAGCATTACACTTAGGAAATCGTTTTTCTGAAACGTTACCGACATTTTGTGAATAAAGGGATTGTTGAAGCGAATTTTAACACCTAATGTTAGATCGGCCTAAGAAACTTGTGGTGATCTATCAGAATGAAATAAAATTAAGAAATTGTTAATATTAATTAATGTAATGGGAACATTGTTCAAATCATTTTTTTTAACGACTGTTCGTGATTATGAAATATAATGTAGGTTGCCATGGTGATTTGTCACATAACTGATGAGTTTATATCAAATTCGATAAAATTTTGTTTTGAAAATATTAGCGAGCGTCCATAACAATCAAGTCTTTTCTAACAATCATGACATGTAAATGAAATGAATTTATTTAAATTGTTAAACAGATGCTATGGAGCGTACCCCATGAAATGTATAAATTAATACTTTAAGACATTGTAAATATGTAGAGATACGACTGGATGAGTTCACTTCGACAGAGGCCGCGTAACATTGTGTGTCTCTTTCTTTTTGCCTAGAAAACGTAAGAGACGAACGTTGTAAATATTTAGATGGGACTTGTATGCTATTGGGTCAAAGTGCTGTTAGGGTATTTGGCTTTTGCAAAATCTATCTCTCCAATGTTTAAAAGTTTAAACTGCAAATATTAATTTGTCAAAATTTATACAGACGAATTTGTAATATAGATTACATGTGTTGTATGTGTGATTAAAGGTTATTTTGCACTGGAGAATACCCTATTGAGTGACATTGTAATTATGAAAGAATCGAAGTGAACTATCCAGTGTTGCCAGCGTAAACACGGATATGGGCAAGAGTTGCCTGTGTCCGGACTTACGGTAGTTTTAAGAAAAGACCAGCCTGTATAAAAGTAACATGTAAATATGTGTAAGAATGACAACATAGCGACATTCATATTATATACAGTTATCTGCTGTTTTATTTTCAAACCCCAATTCTAATATTAAGTACTTATTAAAGAGATGTCGGGCAAAGGAAATTTTCCGCGCGAATTGGAACGGCCGTCTGGGGAAGTCTTCAACTTACAAAGGACCTCGGTAAATTTACCTTTTGGCGGTGTTGTTTCTGTCGGTAAGGTTCCATGACTCCTCACTTCTCACGGCGTAGGTGATTGGGTCAGGATAGGGACCCCCCTCAGATCAAATACAAAGTCCCTAGTTCCTGTTAAATCACCATAGGGGTCCCATTATCCTAATATGCCCAAGGCCTCCAATAGGTCAAAGGCGGCACTGGACCAGAGAATTTTTTTGTATCGCCGGCCGGTTTTGTATAGTGACCGCTTACCGTCAGGCCATATGCTTGTATACCACCCTTTTAACATAAATAACAACTTGTTCCAGTCGAGAAAATGTGTGTGATCCTCGTAGCAGGACCACCACAATTTACATTAAATCACTTTTTTTAGCGCGTCTAGCTGTCAAACTCCATAGTGATTAGACAATTTTATTGAGCGTGATCATGCTGGACGGAGGGGGGGGGGGGGGGGGAAGTTCGAGACGAGATTCTATGTAGCGGAGCCAAGCGAGCTAGACTTTAAATAGTAGTGGTCAGTGTCGTCTTTGACCTATTGGAGGCCCTGGGCATATTAGGATAATGGGGCCCCTATGACTTCCGTTTGGTGATTTAACAGATACTAGGGACTTTTTATTTGATCTGCGGGGCCACCCTATCGTTCGCGGGGCCCTGGGCACTTGCCCAAAGTGCCAACTGGGAAAGACGGGTCTGGTAGTGGTAATGCTCTACTTATTCATGTACCTCATGAATTTATTAACAAGGTTCAATGTACCTCATCCGTTTTGATAAAAAAATACGCAAAATCGCCTCATCAATCCAGCAAAAAATATATCAGTATCAATTGGGACTAGTGTAACAATCATCCCACCTGTCCCATCATGGGTCAGGATCAATGTGACTAGTGGCCACCAATCTTTACTGGGCTCGCGTGGAAGGTCCTAGTCACCCTATTCCATCCATAGGGAAGGCCTGTGCCTGAAGTAGGTAAGATAAAAGGTATATTTCAAACAACTTTTACTTGAAATTATCAAATTTAATAAGATACAACGTATATTATTACATAATATTAACAATAATTGGCTAAAACAATACATTTACAACGTTTCCATACAGAATAATGTTACATAACTCTGCGATTCCGAAATGCCAAAACTGTATAAATCCAAAGCAAATTTTATTAGAAAAAATTCCACGCGGACCAGGCAGCAGACGGGACTCGAACCCGCACCCTTCGCCATCCGGGCGAATGCACTGGCCATTATAGTACCGCGGCCCTGAAGGCCGTGTCAAAATTTCTCTAAACTTTCTTAGCGGTTTTGGCTGCGATCGTTAAGGTTAAGCAACTTTTGCAGTGGTCGGTCATTGGATGCGTGACAAAAAAATTTACTATCTCGAGCTGCTCCGTGCTTCGGAAAGCACATTAAGCCGTTGGTCCCGGCTGCATCTGCAGTCGTTAGCACCCACCAATCCGCACTGGGCCCGCCTGGTGGGTCATGGCCCAAACTTCCTATTCCATCCATAGGGAAGGCCTGTACTCCAGCAATGGGGACATTAACAGGCTGATGATGATATATATATATATTTATTTATGTCATACATGTATATCAAAAACATACACTGAAAAAATCCGACACAACTGAATTTATCTGAAACATTTCAAGTGCCGTTAAATCAGTATTTAAGGTAACTATTATGTCTCCCTAATACTATTTTTGCATATATCTATTTTTTTACTAAAGTAATGTAAGTAATTCATTTTCCTATAATAACCTACGCAATATTATAACATACTACAATACAAATGTTGCTTAAATGTAACTTACAAGTCACTTGGAATCATTTTTAAACACATTTTTGGTTAAACTTATAGTCCAGTCAAATTACGGAAAAAAAAGGGCTAAAAAAACATGAGCGAGCACAGTTTGGGGATTTTGAGGATCGATAGGGGGGTGCATCCTGAGCTTAAGTTCCAATTTGAGGGGCTGTACTGAGGTCAGCTCAAGGTCATTTCAATGCAAACGCGTTTAATTCGATATCTCGAGAAATATCAGTGTTAGCCAAAAAATTATAGAGACCTTTTTTCTTCTAAATGAAATTTAATAACTTTTTTATTTAAAACTTTTTTTTGTAACATCAATATTTTTTAAGTTATTACTCCCGCAAGGCAAAAATTTCATTTTTTCCTCTATTTTTCGTCGTTTTCTCCCCAAACATTCAATTTTATTGAATTTTACCGATCATCAACGTGTATATCTTTTAATTATGCACAATTTTGTTCTTGAACTTTTTTCTGTAACTTCAATACCTTCGGAGTTATTCGACCTCGGGTGCTTAATTTTCCGAATTTTATAACCTATTTTTTGTATCAATAAATGTGTGAAACAGTTTTAATTGTTAATTTACTTGTTACCCAAACAAACCCATAAAAAATTTACCCAAATTAAATACCCAATTTTTAAATAGTTTAATCGATTTACCCTTTTATATTGCGACAGTGGCGTGGATTTCGCTCGGTAAAATAATATATAACTCCGAAGGTATTGAAGTTACAGAAAAAAGTTTAAGAACAAAATTGTGCATAATTAAAAGATATACACGTTGATGATCGGTAAAATTCAATAAAATTGAATGTTTGGGGAGAAAACGACGAAAAATAGAGAAAAAAATGAAATTTTTGCCTTGCGGGAGTAATAACTTAAAAAATATTGATGTTACAAAAAAAAGTTTTAAATAAAAAAGTTAATAAATTTCATTTAGAAGAAAAAAGGTCTCTATATTTTTTTGGCTAACACTGATATTTCTCGAGATATCGAATTAAACGCGTTTGCATCGAAATGACCTTGAGCTGACCTCAGTACAGCCCCTCAAATTGGAACTTAAGCTCAGGATGCACCCCCCTAACGATCCTCAAAATCCCCAAACTGTGTTCGCTCATGTTTATTTGATTCCGTAATTTGACTGGACTATAATTTGAATTTGATGATAAGATTCCAGTTAACATAGTTTTCCTTTGATATGATACAAGTAAAGCAAACATATTATATTTGGCGGCAAATCTTTCAAAATGAAACTAAAAACCTAACCACAGAATCTAGAAAAAAATATCTAGTAACATGTCAAATTCTTAAATACCTTCTATTTTTATCTTCCTCAAAAAATGAGATGTTTTTAACATTTAACTCGATACAAGTTTTAACAGCCGTACTCAGATAAATAAATTCTTAAGTTTAGCTAAATACTCTTTAAATTGTTAAAACAGAAAAGGACATATGAGTAAGTGATAACTTATTGAAGCACAGCTGTACGTTAAAAATAATAGTTCTATTAAAAAGTTACTCATTTTATCCGCAGTTTTTTCTTGAAGAACGGATTGATCGGTGATGGTGTAGACACTTTAAGGTTAGTTTTAGATGGTTGTTTGCTGCTATCAAATGGGATATTTGGACTTTGTCTCACACTTTTATAATAATCTACGGGTCCTTGCATACAATTGTTCTTAAGCACAAACTTAACTTTCTTGGGAGTTTCAAACTTTTTCTGCTGTGTCACTTTGTCGTTTGTTCGCTTTTGATAATTCTTCACTTTGTTGACTAACAAAGATGGCGTCTTCTTCTCTTGCTTTTTGCTTTCTGGCGACTTCTGCTGTCTCTGGTCCTGTTTTTTAACATCGCTATTAATTTTATTGCTCTTTCCCAGTACTTTGTCGTTTTTTGTCTGGTTTTTCTGCGGTGTCTGAATTTTTTCTAAGTTTTTGTCGGTTTTCTTCTCCGATGTTTCTGCTTTAATATTCTTATTTTTGTTTTGTTTATTAATGAGTTTGGCTTTAGTGTCTTCTTTACTCGCGTTTAGTTTCGAAATTAAATTTACATCTTGAACACTGTTAGGTAATATTTGTTTTTTATTTTTATTCTTGCGCGATTTAGTCTTTTTCTCGTAAGATTTCTTTGCTGTCTCTTCTTTAGTTTCTTCTGTCTGCTTCTCTTTTTCCTCTTGATGTGCAGATTTATGCTTTTTGTTGTTTGCGTCAGTTTTCGCGTCTGCGTGTTTTCGTTTCTTAGATTTCTTGTCTTTGTTTACGTTTTCCTTGTTGGAAGAGTTGTTTTTGGATTTCTTAGCCGGTACTGTCGATTCCACGTCCCAGTTGCCGTTCTGTAAAACAATTTTATTCATTATACATAAGAAAACTCTATTTTAGGTATATGTCGTGATAATTATTACAATTTAGTAAAATTAAAACATAATTAAATTATAAGTAGAACCTTGGCTTTAAGCCAATTTAATTTCTATGAATATGGCAAGAATGAATCAATTTGCTAGAATGTTTTTAATACATTGGCAGTGAAGCAAAACAGACCGCAAGTTAAATCGCTGAAAACATAATGGATGAATTTCGACATGGAGATAAAATTGAAAAAATTTGAAGCTACAATTTAAATTTTCTACATAAAATCAATTACTTTATTTTTACTTATTTCCAGCGGTTTATTTATAATAGTTATTTAATGATGTAAAGTATACTTCATACTCACAGTAGAAGAGTCACAAGTGCCTTTCACCGCTTCTACATCTTCAACGATGCTGAGACCGGCTCGAGATTTGGCCAAAAGTCTCTTCCGATGTCTACGACTTAAACCTATGTATCATAATATTATTGATATCAATCAAGTTGAATTATCTATAGCAAAGACAAAAAAAATAATAGTAAAAAGTATCAGAAACAGAAGTAGTAATTTTTTTTTTGTAAAAATAATATAATCAACTATCAATGTTCCAACCAGTGCCAACATTTGGCGCTTTATTTTAAAAATACTGTCAAATGCCCTATAGTACATAAATAGGCCGTTGATGCATATCCGGCTCGAAGGACCAAGGGGTTTTTCGCTGTTTGCAGTAATATCAAACAGTACTGATAAGTCGTTTCGAAAAAGAAATCTAGCTGTGCCCCGCGGTCTTACCCGCGGTTTATTAGGGATATTTTCCCGCAGTAAAACGTTGTCTATGTGTTAATCCAGGGTGTCAGCTAACTCCATGCCAAATTTGATTAAAATCGCTCCAGCCGCTTCGACGTGAAGCAGTAACAAACATACACACTCACAAACTTTCGCCTATTAATAATATCACTAGCGGCCCGCCCTCGCTTCGCTTCGGTGTAGAGCTGAAGTGTAGACTACAGTTTTTGTTCTCAGGCTTGTATTATACACAATGACATTCATCTATGATTCTTCTTATACCTGCATGCAGTGTCTCAGCCCGATCGGTTTCAAATTGACAAAGTTTCATACAAACTTTCATTCCCTATTTTATCCCCTTGGGGGTAGAATTGATCAAAATCCTTTCTTAGCGGCTGCCTACGTCATAACATCTACCTGCATTCCAAATTTCAGCCCGATCCGTCCAGTGGTTTGGGCTGTGCGTTGATAGATCACTATGTCAGTCAGTCACCTTTGAGTTTTATATATATATAGATTGTGATTTATAGATTTAACAAATGGTATTGTATTACTGACCTCTAAGTGCCAATTCATCGGCACTTTGCACCAGATCTCTCTCCATGGTATGCAGATCTGTGGCTGCGTGGATAGTTCTAGGTTTCGGAGTTCCATCCTCATCGGTCAATATGTCAGGAACTACCAGGGGATATTCGTCCCGGGATAACTGTTCGAACCTGTTGAATTATCGTCAATTTATTTTTATTTCGACGACCTCCGTGGCCGAGTGGTTTGTACGCCGAGTTTCGTGGTGTCGCCGACTCGAGAGGTCCCGGGTTCGAGTCCCGGTGGGGGCAGATGTTTGTGTGATGAATACGAGCATTTGTACTCCAGTCACGGATGTTTAATATGTATTTCTATATAAATATACTTATATATTATGTACTGTATATGTATTCTATCCGTTACCCTAGTATCCCATAACACAAGCCTTACAGTGCTTACTTTGGGGCTAGGCTAATTGGTGTGACTGTTGGATATATTTATTTATTTATTTGTTGGAAGATTAATAGACAAATAATATCAATTATGACTATTCAAACTGAATCAAAAAAATCATTTATAAATATCCTAACTGAGCTATTTAGTTATGCCGCGATTACATTTATTCGGGTGCATGAATAATATTACTCGAATTCGGGCACCTTTTACCAAACTTTAATACAGTTATAATTTCGGCCAGGTGGTTAGCGCGTTCGGCTGCGATCGTTGAAGTTAAGCAACTTTTGCAGTGGTCGGTCATTGGATGGGTGACCGAAAATATTCTATCTCGTATGGCTCCGTACTTCAGAAAGCACGTTAAGCCGTTGGTCCCGGCTGCATCTGCAGTCTTTAGCATCCACCAATCCGCACTGGGCCCGCGTGGTGGGTCATGGCCCGCACTCCCTATGCCATCCATAGGGAAGGCCTGTGCCCCAGCAGTACGGGTATTCATAGGCCGATGATGATGATGACTATCATAATGCTTTAATATAGTTACAATACTGACCTCTGCAAACATATCTTGGTCCTTTTATGCGCCTTCGAGCTGGCAGTGGATAGTAGTTCCCTCAACATTTGGGCTATTTCCGAGGCGGGGACTGGCAGGGGTGTCAGCACCACGTCTACGCGGCCCGCGCGGGGGTCTAGGGCGACAGCCCTGGGGGAAATAAAAATTGATAAATTGTGTGACAACCTTGATGTTTTTTAAAAAAGAAAAAACATGGTTTGACAACCCTGAAATTGTGTAAGAAAATTAAGATGAAAAAGGTGTGACAGCTCTGACGTTATTTAAAAAAAATGAAAATAATACAATGATAACAAAAAAAAATTAAAATGGGGAAAATTTTAAATAGTAAAAAGTTAGATTAGCATTTTTTTTATTTTGTAAATCATTTTCTATTATTTATTTTTTTGCTTTTCGTTTTCTAGTTTTGATGATCAATTAAACATAATCCAAAAAAAAAATTAGGATAAAATTTTTATATATATTTTAATTTTACATATATTTATTAAAAAAAATGGGTGCGTGTACTTATGTAGGCGCGTGAGAAGTTATCCTTCTTTGGCATTGTTTAAAATTAGTTTTTATTTGCATGCAAATAATTAATTACAATAAATTAATAAAAAGTCTGGAAAAGGACACAGTCAATAAAGTTCAGTTTTAATTAGAAAAAATAAATAAATAATCAAAATATTCAATTAAAATCGCTACTGAATATAATTTATTAGAACATATGTGATTTGCACTTGTATGAAACTCAAACACGTATTCCGAATATACAAACTAGAAACATGTGGATAAATATTATTAATATGAATACCTATAACTGTTACTTTATTACAAAAAATAAAGATGTGGTTTTTGGTTCTACTACACCAATGGTCAAGAGATGGCGCTATAGTCTCCTGAATCGCGCTTTGGTTCCGTTGTTCCAGATTAATAAATACTTTTGATAGGCCTTCACAATGCAGTCGTTAGCACCCACTAAATAGAGATTCTATTTCTATTTTGTTGGTAGATTTTCTTAATGTGCGGTAAACACAAAAGTAACAGTTAATTTTTTGTGTTACAGTGATGCGCGCGCATCTTAAAATTTCACTCTCATCATTTTTTCATAACGCGCCTAAAGAAGTATAACTTCAAAAAAATATCGATTTGCTTCAATATTAAATACCTAGCATTTCCTAAAATTATACTTAACTGTATATTGTATACTTAATTCAGTTACCATAAGTTAATAGTATAGAGAAAAAAAAATGCATTAAGGCATAAAATCCACCATTACTTGTATATCTATAAGAAGTCAATAAAAAACAAATATTGACGATTTAAAATACAACATTTCAGCGCAATGTTAATGAATTGCATTAAATTTAAGACATTTTTATTAAAAATAGTCAACTCACTTGTCGTTATCTTCTTCATTGTCATCGTCAGGCTGTTGTTCGTCACCACCTTCCTCATCAGACTCCAGTTCTAAGGCGTCTGGACCTCCTTGAGGACATCCCATCTGTAACCAACATCGATATATCAATATCTTTATATATATAATTCTTCTGTGAGTGTGTATGTCACTGAACTTCTCTTAAACGACTGGACCGATTTTGATGAAATTTTTTGTGTGTTCAAGGGGATCTGAGAATGGTTTAGATTCACAATTTTGTCCGCTGGACAACCCCTATTTTTTTAGGGCGGTACGAAGTTCGCTGGATCAGCTAGTATATTATAAAACATCAGGTAATAGTCACGGCTAAACCGCTGAACCAAATTGAATGAATTTTTATATTAACGACGCGAAATAATTGACACAACAAAAGCTTTTAAGGGTTTAGTAACCAGAGGGTAAAAACGGAAGGCTATCGCTGTGACTCTGTCGTCTGTCTGTCGATCTGTCCGTATGTCACGGGTCTCCAGATCGTAAACGGAATGAGTTACAGAACTGAAATTTAGGAATTTCATGTCTGGAGCTCGTTGAGTAGGATATATATTTATTTGACGTGATAAAGTCTTATGAATCGATGAGCACCAGCTGCACGTATGAATAAGTGCGATGTCATGTCACGTTATGTGACGTCATGTCACGAGTCACGTTATGTGACACTTCTCCCCCTGACTGATATTCAGGTTTTAGTATTTTTTGTTATATAAGCAACAGAAATACATCATCTGTGAAAATTTCAACTGTTCAGCTATCACCAGACAGACAGACGGACAAGGGAGTCTTAGTAATAGGGTCCCGTTTTTAGGCTTTGAGTGCGAAATCCAAAAATTGAAGCCATTAAAAAATTAAATAGTATGCCAGCCTTGATAAAATCCAAAAAATATGAAATCACAAAGCAGGCAGCTATTTCCCAAATTAAATTTACTTACACTTCCCTCTATCTATATTATGGAATGTTGTATATTTGTTAAGACACATCCTTATAATATTCAATTTAAAAACACAGATACCTGCAGATTAGAGAGACACCGTGGTAGACTGATGTTGCCCAATATGTATACTCAATATTACAACAAACACTGCTATACGAATTGTATAAAAATCTATAATAAGTTACCACGCTTGTCAACGGAGCTCAGTTTGCCTATATTTAAAAGAAAACTTAAAATGTGGCTAATAACAAAACGTTTCTACTCAGAGAATATTAAGAAACGAAAATTGACTTAGAATAGAATAAATAAAATGACATAAGTACCTAAATTTTACAATTAAATGCCTGGTCGTTGGCAAAATGGACGAATAAATAAATGAAGATCACCACCGAAGAATGACAAAAATATCACATCGCTACCAATTTATCTCACTCACCCGTTCCCAAGCTTTAGTCTTCTCCTGGTACATGAGGCCGTGTTCAGATTGCCTCAATAGAGCTGTGAGCACTCTCCGTGCGCTCACGCATACCGGTGTGCTCTCACCCTTACACATGTACAGGCAGAAGGGACGCAGTAATGTCACTAGACTTAGGCCTGGAATGTTGCCAGATGACACCTGGTGCATGGATAAATAGATAAACAATATAATTAACACGTGAAGGAAAAACTTTAGTACCTAAAGATAATATTTCCTAAAAAAAGGCAAGTAAACCCAAAAAATTCAGCAAAAATTAAACTAACAAAAAAACCAAATAACAGACGCTTGAAAATGTATGTGTTCCATTTTCGAATTATTATTATTATAACTACGAGTTCAAAAAGAAATATTGTATACATACTACAGTTCATTATTTTATTATTTTTATCACTTAATAAGATATTCCTTTCATTTAAAATGCTATGTTATTCAGCAAAAAATAATCCTTATGATTAACCCTTTCGATGGTTATCATAAAACTAGTTTTTTTTTTTAAATTCCATGAGTTTGATTCACCGTTGTAGCAGGCGACTCTAAAAAAATCTGTGTATGCAGTTCTTGTTATTATTAAAACTAAAATGATGTCTTCTTTCAGTAAAATATCCTATCTTCAATATTTAATATACTTTCCCTCCGTGTGAGGTAGCCGTGGAACACCCTGTATACTTATACAGTCCAGTAATGTCACAGACCTTTGCAGGAGACCTTGTACTGAGAAGCACCGGCAAGAAACTCAGAAAAGGTTGCTTTTTTCTCCCTGTTTTATAATCAATGTTGTCATTATTGTAAGATGACACTAAATTTAGTAGTACACTATTACTAACGAGATGCTGCTACAGTACCTCTAATTAATCTTTTCATTCCATAATATAATCCGTAGTATAAAACGATTGCACCCTATTATTAATTTTAGTTTGGAACAAATAAATTCTATTTTTATCAATGAAAGTATATAATTAAGATTAAGACGAGTGTTCAAAAAAAAACAAAAAGAAATTTCTAATGACCTTAGATAATTCCTCAAGGAAACAATCCACAAAATGCAGCAACATCGAGCCGGCGTTACGAGCGTATAACGGAGTCTTCACGGCCAGCAGACCTAATAGGATAAAAAAATATCTTTATAATACCTATAATATTATAATAAGAAATAATATAAAAGTGGTTCCCCGCAAACTGCGATCAAGTGGGCGGGGCGAAAAACTGCGATCAACACGCCGATCGTAGTATTGGTTGGGATTTCCGTTAAACATTATCTTACCCAATGAAAGGATAGCCGAATTCATTTGCAGTAATTTGATTTGTCGAAGTATTTTGTTTTGATCTAAAGAAAATATAACTAGAAAAAATTCCACGCGGACCAGGCAGCAGACGGGACTCGAACCCGCACCCTTCGCAATCCGGGCGAATGCACTAAGCAATTATGCTACTGTGGCCCTCACGGACCGCGTTTCGCCCGCGTGGAATTTTTTCTAGTTATATTTTCTTTACATTTAAACATCAAGCAGTTATGTAACTGCTAACGAGGCACACACACACACAGAGACAATACAAAATAGTTATAATTTCTATTGTATTAAAGCACATGCTTTAATACAATAGAAATTATAACTATTTTGTATTGTCTGTGTGTCTCTGTGTCTGTGTGTATTAAAGCACATGCTTTAATACAATAGAAATTATAACTATTTTGTATTGTCTGTGTGTGTGTGTGCCTCGTTAGTATTGAAGTTAAGTTGTAACCATATTTCGAGACATGTTTTAACAGCTTTGTTAGTGATAAATGCTTCTATAAAATTTGCTTACAACTATACAAACCTTGATGTGAAAATAATTATAAAGAGAAAAATAATTATACAATCTGCTGTAGTCTTTCAAACTATATGTGCATAATACAGTTCTCTCGATGCATTGTTTTTTATATAGAAAAAGAAGATTAATCAAAGAAATGTTACACACATACTCATATGCGAATGAGACATCCACACACCACTATGCTTTGACAGAAGTTATGACAGAAGGCACTACAGCATTAACTTTAGTTTTTTCAGAATACCAAGAGACCAAAAGAGATAAAACTTATCCTATGTCCCAACCCAGGTCATAAATGATATGCATACCAAATTTCATCCAAATCTGTTTAGTAGTTTTGCGTGATTGTGTAATAAACATACTTACTTTCAAATTTATAAACATCATCATCATATTAATGTCCCCACTGCTGGGGCACAGGCCTTCAGTGCGGATTGGTGGGTGCTAACGACTGCAGATGCAGCCGGGACCAACGGCTTAACGTGCCTTCCGAAGCACGAAGAAACTGGAGATAGTAAATTTTTGGTCACCTATCCAATGACCGACCACTGCGCAAGTTGCATAACTTCAACGATCGTAGCCGAACGCGCTAACCACCTGCGCCATCGATCTCCTCACTCACACAAATTTATAATATAGTAAGTTACATAACTCTTTGACATAATAATTCAACTATTAGTAAATTTAAACTCACCATCAGCACTAGACAGCATGTCCGCATACATCTGGCAACTCTTCAAGCTCCACTCAGCACGCTGCAAGCACCGCAGACTGCCTCGGAGGTAGCGACGGACCAACTTAACAAAATAATACCAGTCTAATGAGATCAAGTTTTTAAGAAATTATTTTCATATTGTAGAAGGATTTCAAAAGATTTGGGCGCTCTATGCAATCTGTGAAAATGTTAGTGAAAACTTCTTTAGCACTGTTGTGATTTGAGATTCAATGAAACGGAAGTAAAGTATTTGATCCGTAATTTTAACGTCCACCTTAAAAGACGGATAGCCCAACGGTTACTGTCTTGGGGTCGTCACCAAATAATAGGTGGTTCCATCCTGAGCTCAGTAATTTTATTAATTGAAATTTTTTTATTAAGCTATTATTTATTTTTCTAAACAATTTAGCAGTATAGGGCGATTCAAATAAGTATAGGCAAGTCAATCTGTCCATCCACTTTTGCCATCTGTCAAATGTCGCTTGAAAAGTATGGTTTGCAAAAAAATCTAGTAACCCTTTTTTGGCACAGCTAATTCTAGAATAAAAACCAAACATTTGTAAAGAAACAATAACTAACATAAAGACATGGTTGAGATTTTTTTCATTTATTCAGCTTTGGCTATGAATGTTTAATAATGTAAATCGTCAACCAAATGTCACTTTAAGTTGCGTTCAGAAACTTGATTTAAAACTTACGGTTGCATAAAGGATGCATGTTCGTATGTGACCTAGTAAAAGTGCATGATTATATATAACTGCTCCGGCGGTAATGCAGAAATGAGCTGAATTGAAGAGTTACATTCTGATTAATGTTTTTTCTCAAACAGTCTGAATAAATAAATATTATTAAAAATCGTCTGTTTTTGTTTCTCAATCTTAGTAAATAAGTTTTATTAAATATAAACTTTTTTTGCTCACTCTACCTATTTGGTTTGAGTTGACAGCTATGACGTCACAATATGGCGCCCATTCGGTCCTATTCTTAGTTGAATCACCTTATATAATATATTTAGTTTGACATAAAGTTGTTTTTTTTTGCCTAGTCATGAAGGACTTTTACAATTTTTTCACACACATCATCCAAGAATATAAATTTTAATCAATATATTGAGAGGTGATCTATTTCCAATAAGAAATTGTCTAAAATCATCATGGTCATGGTGGTCTGGAATGAGAGCAGATAGTATCTGAAGATCAGCATTATTAGTTTTCCTACTGCTGGAACACAGGCTACAGGCCCTGAATCACTTCTTCCTTCCGAAGCAAGGAACTTATGATTATAAATTTTTGGTCACCCATCCCATAACTGGCAATTGCAAAAGTTGTTTAACTTCAACAACCATAGCCAAACATGCTAACTACTTGTACCATAGTGTTCTTCATAATGGGCATGCAAAACTATGAGTTACTAAATGAAAATAAAACAGCACATACCATAAGAAATTTGTCCATTCTATGCTGGTCAATACCATACCACTCCGTAGCGAGCACCTTAAACCCGGCCTTTGTCATCATAAGAGCGCACTTTATCTGTTCGTTCGGGAATAGGTCCAGTATTCCTGCAATTGTCTCACATAACTCTTCCTGCAACAATATTCAGTGTTGATTTACTTTTAATACAACCTATTATAAATAACTCTATTTGTATTCAATTTATACTGTGTGACACAACAATCAAAATGCAGATGAACAATTAATATATAATTTCATTTCATGGAGAAAAAACAGCCCTCGCTGAGTTTCTTGCTGGTTCTTCTCAATACAAGATCTCCCTCCGTAGATTTACGAAACGATGACATAGCTTCTAGACATTCATATGTGCTTGTAACAGCCTAAACTGAATAAATGATTTTGATTATGATTAATATGATTACACAAAACAGTTAAACGTAACCAATAATCATATTATAAAAACAATTGCACAACTAGGAGATATATTTAAATTTAAACATCAACCTGTCCCCGTAGCATGACCACCACAAGTTACATTATAACACGTTTTTTTATTGTGTCTAATAGGGAAGATGCAATATTTTTATTTTTGTTTTCATTTTAAAGAATTCCATGTAGAATAAACCACAGATATATTAAAAAATTAAAACATTGTGATTTATCAGAAAAAATGCGGTTTTAAATTGACAATTTAAATTTTCGCGCTAAAACGAACCTATGGTTGCGATGACGTCACTCCTGTCAGTCACTGGTCGTAATTGTTCGTTGCTGGCTTTAAAATTTCATACTTTTGCATATTTTTTCGACCTTTGAAATATTTTTTTGAAAAATTTAAAATCTACTATCCATCAACATCATGTGATCATAACAATACCACTAATATTCCGAAAAAAAGCCGTGTTGACTCATGTTTTGTGCCAATCTACTTCAACAAAGTTCCCAAATAAATTGTTTTTGACTGGAACTTCTGACCCAAAACTGAAAAAAAAGTGGTTTCAAGCTGCGAAGAGATATGATAATTATTCTCCAAAGACCATTATTCGATGCTGAGAAGATCACTTTAACGTATGTCGGCGAATATACTTGTTATATGCTTAATTTATCTGCTTGTACGTGAAAACGCATTAGTAACCTACCTAATACTTACAAAACCTGTCTATAACATATTTTTAATTTTACAGTTGGAGAATGACGTCGAAAATTAGATAAAGTTTAAAATGTGTAGCACAATCTTCACATTGGCAGGACTGAACCAAGCTTTGCGTTTCATTTAAAATAACTGTAACACGATAACCTTCTTTACGTACTTTATGCTCCGGAGAACTCGACCTTTTACTGTACATAATTTTCCATCTCTTTTAATTTGGACATAGCCGATTGCATTATCGCCGTAAGATTTGTAGAAGCCGCTGAATAAAATACGAAGTTTAACAACTACGATTTTTACATACCGTAGTAATTTAGTCCCTTTCATTTCTACACTTAAAAACTCTGCACTTTTGACAAAAAAAGTTATAACCATGACAACGCTAACTCTTGGTAAATTCCTGGAGTCTGCTTTGATAAACGCAACTTCCATTTTTATTAAATGTAAAAAAACGCAATAAATATTCCCATAAAATAATATTAACTTTAACAACCATAACCTCGAAGAAGTTGTCATAACAGGAGTGACGTCACTAAACGCTGATTGGTGTTTTAATATACGTTCCATTTCAAGTATTTTTAATTCGTAATAATTGTTCAAAAACACCATTATGTAAAATAAAAACGTTGCAGTGGCATTTCTTTTATATTTTTTTAACATTTTAATCATAAAATTTTCATAAATATCATAAATGCATCTTCCCTATTGTCAAACTCCATAGTAATTTGACAATTGGGCGTGATAATAACGAGCAATATGTCATATCGCTGTGCACATGCTAGGGGAACTGGTATCATCAAAATTAGTTCCTTATTTACAAACCTGCACAAGAGGTTTATCCGACATCCAAACTGCATAAAAGAGACCCTTCCATACTCTAGTGAAATCATCTTCTTTGAACTCTGAAACACATGACAGAAATATGTAGAACTGACAAATTAATGTAATTATTACATACAGCAGGACTTCTATAATCTGAACACCTCTGTAATCTGCACGTCCCAAACCTGCCACATTCCTTCGCCAGTAAACATGCTTTTATGCAATTCGCAAGGTAAGGCTTTTTATTTGTCAATAAATACCTCCTGACATACTAAAATATTGGATTTCTTTACTACTAAACTTTAATAGTTTTATTTCATAAAAAATACCCTATAAATTCTCGGTACTATAAACCAAACACTTCACAAATCTGAACAGGGGTTCACAGTTCAGGTAAAGAGGTCCTGCTGTTTAGAGCCTATTTCATCTATTGTGACATAAATTTATTGGTTTTTGCCAAAACCAGGTCTGCACAGATATCTTAAGAACTTTAACATTAAATATCAATTTAATCAGCCTGTGTACCAAATTATTAATTATGTCTAAATCTGGTGAGTGGTATACAAAACTTCTAGAAAGATTTGATACTTTTGACAGTGATGTCTAACAGTATTTTACTACAATAACCGTACACAAAGTGTTCGAGATACAAACAATGGATGCAATGCATAATGTTCTATCAAAAACTGCAAGTTATTCACGAATTATAAAAACATGACATATTTTGGGGTTATGTTTCACGTCTAAATATTTTCCTTTATGGTAGTGGAAAACAATAAAGCCATGGTTATTGGAAGGCATCGTAATCAAATATCATACCGTAGCCCTTATCAAAACAATTCAAAAGCCACTTTTTGAATGTTTTCAACACGCGATCCCGTGTTTTTTTCTCGTTGCCAGACAGGAGCCTAGCGAATTTTATTTCTTGTGCCACAATCAACACTTTCTCTTTTCTGGGTTTGATCTTCGGCTTCTTTATAGCTTTGTGCTTTTTCTCCTTTATCTTAGTTACAGTTTTCATTTTAAAGCGTTTTTTAAATGTCGTAGTAACTAAAAAACGTGCGATATAATTTTTGCAAACGCTTTTCTTTGTAATGTCAAATTGACATAACTTGACATACGCATTGGCATATATGCTATTAGGTCAAAAATGATCTTTGTCCACATTATGATAAAGTTTTTTTTCCCATTACTATAATATTATTGTTTTTAATATCTTCCAGTATGAAGAATAATAATACAAACTTTCTAAAGCCTAGACTATTTATTTATAGATTTTTCACCATATAACTTGGACATAGACATCCAGTAATGTGACCTCAACTGTTTTACAGTTAAATAATAAATTCAACAGTGGAATATGACCTACAGCAGATTTAAAACACAATACTATTGATCTAGACATATATACGATGCAAATATATGAGTATTTTTACTTTAATAGTGGCCACAATTGATGAAGTAAAATTATTACGAAAATAGATTTATTTCTATATAATTTTAATATATTTTTTATTATATAAATCTATGATAAATATGATGTAAATACTATGTCTATGACCGTTGCGCGGCCAGTGCCAGCCGACATAATTATGTTGGCTTGGCTTGGTATCTAATTTTTCCGGTGGCGAGTGGTACAAGCAATTTTTTTTTTGAACGCAAAGTCAGTGATACAAAAAAGGGAAATTTATTCGTTCTTTATGAATTCTCCATGAAAGATTCTAAGCCGTTGGCCAAGCTCGACGGTACTGCAGTTGTTAGCACATTTCAATCAGCACTGGCACGGTAATATTATTGTGACTCGGCCCTGTCCTTGAAATAACTGCATACGGCCGAGCGGGGCGTATCCACGCGGTAGGGCTGCCCGCCTACAGTATTTTAATTTCATCTACGTGATTGAGTTTATTTCTAGTTTTGTGATTGTAAATATTTTATTTCAAATGTAAAAAAAATGTGAATGAATTAGGAAGTGTTACATAAAATACATGTTATTATAAGTGTAATTTTTAATAAAAAAAATATAGTTTTGAGACAGAAAAATATTTACGCCTCGACTGAGACGTACGAAAAGCTTTATTATTAAATTTAATAGTATAATAAATATGCATTCGTATAAAAAGTTTAATTATTGAAGAGTTCAAGCAACCAAAACCAGCACAATATCGACTATTGCTCTTTGTCATATTAAATTATGTAGGTATCTACTTAATTCAATCAAATATTCACAATACAAACGTTTAAGCACGGCTAGCTGCTTAAAAACAATTTACACCGTTCGGTCGTCGCTGCGGCGCATTCGCGACTGGATGCCCACCGGGTGCCGCGCGAACTCGAGTGGCGTAGGTATGACACGCTTTCCGACCGTTTGTATGAAGATAGAATACTGTATAGATAATATTATTACCGTGGCACTGGCCCCGCGTGGTGGGACACGGCCCGTTTTCCTTATTCATAGGGAAGGCCTGTATTTACCCCAGCCCAGCAGTGTGGGTAGGTACAATAGGCTCATCATATCCTAAAATTATACTAATTATTATATTTTTAGACGTTGGACATTAATGCAGTGCCGTCTTTGACCTATTGGAGGCCCTGGGCATTTTAGGATAATGGGGCCCCTATGAATTCCGTTTGGTGATTTAACAGGAACTAGGGACTTTGTATTTGATCTGAGGGGGCCCCCTATCGATCGCGGGGCCCTGGCCACTTGCCCAAAGTACCCACTGGGAAAGACGAGTCTGTCAATACCACAGATCAATACACTTTTACAAGAAGTTCAGATATTATTTTTAGATCTCCCAGTTAAGAAACTAAAGTGTAATCAATTGTAAATGATTACATGATCAACTATTTACCAAATATAAACATTATTTTAAGATATTACAGTGTTATTAAACAGAAAGAGCAGATTAAACAAGTGGTGGTAGTTATTTGGTCGGAAAAATCCGACAATGGTGTCGATTCTGACAGGATTCTCTAAACTTTAAATTTAACATCAGTCTGTCCTTTTCATTCTGTATATAGAATGACAGAGATACACTGTTGTCAAATTTAAGTTTAGCTTTAGAGAATCATGGCAGAATCGACACCATTGACGGTTAAAGGGTAAAAAAATATCAAATACTAACCGAAATATGTAATATGTACTTACATAATTGTACTGAAACATGTGTCTGAAGAAGTGACAGGCTTTGGCGGTAACATAGCCTAGTTTAGTAAGCTGGCGTTTGTAAACAATAATAAATAACAGACCATTTAATCACATAACATTTATTGAAAACTTAATCTTCAAATACGTATAAGAATATAGCTGTTTAGGCACTTTCATTTCATATTTACTTATAATGTTATAGAAAACTTAACACATTATGGTAGGTAATTAATTTCGTCACAATTTGACTCTTGATAAGAAGTTAAAGATAATTTCGGAAAAGTTTCGGATAAGGTCGAATATTTAATGCATCAGTACCCCTAGCACGAACCAATATCGAATTCGTATCGTTTGCGAGTCCGAAATGTCATTGTCAAATGTGTACTGATTTTTAGTTCTCGTTACGTACTTTGTGCCGCTGCTGTTCAAGTTTCCATACAAAATTTGACATTGATATTTCGGTTTGCAAACTATTCGAATTCGATAATGGTTCGTGCTAGGGGTACTGTTGTACTTTAAAAATTGTTTTTTTAAGTAAAGAAAAGGTTGCAGATTTGAGTCGAGTCTGATATACGAGACAAGTTGATTTTTTTCGGGTACCGTAGCTCAATCGCCGCGAACAAAACCCATATAGGATCACTCGCTTGTCTGTCTGTCGCACAGTCGCTCTACTAAACCGATCAAGTTGTCATGTATGTCCGTCTGTACGTATGCATGTCAGTGACCCAAACACGGACGAATAAAGTAAATAAATAAATTCCGAATATATTGGGGTTTTTACTTTTGGGGGATGAATTACAAAGATCATTTAATTTCTTTAAGCCACGAACATCTAACTTATGTAGTACCTTCATAACAATTTACTGTACCTATCTATATTCACAGGAAAATATTTATAATAATTATTACTACAAGAATAAGTAACTAATTTATAAAGTTACAATGTGCTAAGAAAACAAGTTGTCATAAATTTAACAGAGATAAAAATAACTCCAACATAACAAATACCTTATAAAAATTGTGTGCCTGTAGAAGAAAATGACAGTTATTAATGTATTCAACTAAAATTCAGATACATGTATTATTGAAGCAGTAACATTTGCACAAGTCTTTTTTTTTATTATTATTAAAGACACAAAATCCTTTTCCGCAGTCATGTAGACCTTGAAATGATATTAAATACCCTATATACATCATGTGCGCTCAAAATGTGTCCCAATCAAGAAGTGCTTCAACTCCACTCAAGCACTTCTTGGTTCACAGTCACGCGCGGACCGTTGAAAGACACGATGCCGCAAAGCTCCGTGAAAAAATACTTATAGTACGCAAAGTGTCGTTTTTTCGACAGGTATGTAGTAAATATTTGTTAATTTAACGTATTTGAAGCCAATTTTGTTCTAATCCCTACTAAAAAGTGATTTAATAGACAAACATTGTGGTATTCAAATGGATAGTCGGTAATATAGCAGTATTTTTCCCTGGCGGTCGGTACCTGCTATTTTGCTAACAGAGCATTCAGAAATGCGCGAAGAATCTAAGAAATTAGGTCTATATTCTTCCGCATATAGCAATAAGTCGTAATAATTTTTCGATCTTGCATTTCGAACTGTCATTACTGTTTGGCGCATGCGTTTTAATTAAGACCTTATATAGTATGCATTAAAGGTGACGTTCAATGTTTAAATAATGCCTTATATTGTTTTTGACAACGCGATCATCTTACGGAGCTCCGTGGATCGTCCAATGTACCTTTTGGACAGGTTTTAACCGCGATTTTGTTCGTGTTGTTGTATCTTGGGTATTAAATATCGTGACTTAGTAAAAAGTTGTTAATAACAAAAAATACAAAGAAACATGATATAATACTTCTTCAAGTAAATACGACAAATAAATGAAAAAAGAACAAAGAAAAAGGCTAATGACTAAACTAATTATTTATTAAATAATTACAATAATAAAGCTCTTCGCAAATTCATTCGTTTATATTTAAATACAATGGAATGTTCGGTAAATTCATAAGAACAAATTCAATATTTCGAAAATCGTATTTAAATATTTTTTCTTGTTAATTAGTATCCTACTTAATTGTTTAGGTTTTACAAACTACATAAATATTAGCTTTAATTAAAACTTCGCAAAACATAGGCACACATTATTAATTTAATTTACAAAAAAAATAACATTTACAAAATCTCTATGAAAAAGACATAAATCAAACAAAAAACTGCCTCATGATTTTAAAAAGACTAGTAGTTTTATCAGATTTTACTTATACATTTTTTAACATTTTTTTTTATAACAAAAGAGCGTTCATACAACATAAAAGCAATTTAACCTCGGTCCTATTTCACCAAGGCGACATATGTCATTGACAGATGTAAGCCGACGATTTTTTGTTAGGTGACTTTTGCTATGTTTGTTATTTAACGATTACATTAATTACATTTTCGATACTAGTTTTGCTGATTAGGATTTTTCTTTGAACGCAAAATCAGTGATACCAAATTCTTCTGTATAAGAACTCATCTTTTCAAACTTTTGAGGGGAGAGCCATTTTGTAACTAACATCGAAAACGCTACAATTGTAACGGAAATTTGACAGCCCCGATCTCATAGCAAAATTTATCGTCAATTTGTCAAATAACTGGACCTAAATAAAAATACCATCACGATCACATCGGTTACACAACAAAATTGTCATTGAAGTAAGATAAGGATAATTGCAACAAAATGGCTGTCATTTTCAAAAGCATTTCTGAAAATAATTCTCAAAATTATTGCTTATCATCTATAGTGACAGATTGTCGACAATTGTTAGTGACATGAATGTCGACTTGGTAGAATAGGGCACTGAGGGTAAGCAGGTTGAATACCCTCACTCTATCTCATACAGATGTTACTGAACACAAAACTACAAGAAAACGAGTGCTAAAAACAACAAACAAATTAATGTGCTAGTGTTCATTTATCGTTATATATTTTTTTTTTGGTTAAATTCTCCCTTTTCAGGGAAGGCAAGGGGAACAGTGCCCATACAGCCTAGTCTTAAGTTAAATTATTCTGTTTTTCTTTTTACATTAGAATGTCGGTGTGACGCATTCTAATGTTTCTTGAAGTGTTTGGCACGAAATGTATCGAGCTGGCTTTTTCGATAAGCTTCTGTGAGGTAGTCAATACTACAATAAAATTCTCACGTCCACTTGGCCGGAATAGCGTATATTTTGACGATTCTACTAATTCTTCAGTTACGCAGACAGTTGTGACACAAAATCACACCAATTTTATTTCACAATATCCACTATGAACGAATTTAAGAATAATTAAAATAAGACGCCAACCACACTCGATGAAATCCCGCCAAAAACTCCGTTATATTTTTTTTAATACTTCTAGATAAAGAAATAAACACATAAGAAAATAAAAGCGCATCTTTGTAAATATATTAAAATATTGCCTAATTAATAAATTTCATGTTCCATTTTTAATAATAAAAATAATAATGATTTATTTTCCTATATCTAGTTAAAATACAATAAATGTTTTATTAAACTACTTTCAATCATAATTCGTTGAATAGTATATATTAATATTCACATTACATAGACAAAATTCATTTATTTTTAATTTTATTCATATGTATTAATCGTCTTCACTAAGCAAAGACAATGGATCGTTGAGAACAGGTTCTGGAGTTTTGCTAACCACATCTTTAGCCGTTTGTTTTACAGGCAAAGAACTCGTAGCTGAAAAGAAATATTATAATTCAATATTTTCAAAAATCATCTAATGTTCTTTGACCACTTAGAGAATTAAAAATATACTCATCAAAAAAATCTAAACAACAAGTTGTGCGGTTTGGAACTTTTGAGCATTTTTAACTTTGTAACATAATTTATGTTAAGTGTGTTTGCTCATTGTTTGATTTTATTCTCTCTTCTTTGATTCTGACGTTTTTTAGGTCTAAAGTATGTCCTTTTCGGTTGACTGGTAGAGAATGCCATATTGGCATTAAGTCCTCCATATGCAGTGTATAGGCAAAAAAGATTAAATAAAATAAAAGTTAATATAGAAACATAACAAGTTAAAATAATGATGTTACAAGTAATTATGGTAAAAAATCTGTTTCAATCTTACCTGTATCGACTTTAGTTTTGGCACCGAACAAATCATCACCGTCATCGTCTTCATCACCGAACAACGAAGGTTTCACTACAATTTTAGATTTCACATCTGCCATCTCTTTCACACTTACTGGTTTCTCTTTCGTGACTTTCTTACCGCCGAATAGGTCGTCTTCACTATCTGAATCTAGAATACTCTTAGGTTTAACGACTTTTGTCTTAGCATTAAACAATTCATTTTCATCTTCGCTCAAATCATCGAATATCGACTTTTTCATGTTTGCATCTCTTTTTTCTTTTTCTGCAATTTTGGTTTGATTGTAAACATTTCCTAAGGTGTTTATAGCAGATTTTGGTTCAACTGTTTTACTGGAGGTAGCTAAATTTCTAAATAAATCATCATCATCGTCGTCTACTATATTTAAAACTTTATTTGGTTTTACAGCTGGTTTTTCAACTGGACTATTGAAAATGTCTTCATCATTGAGTATGTAAACTACTTTTGATTTCACAGTTTTATTTTCATCATTCTTTAGAATTTTAGTATCAGCTTCTATGTCTATTTTATTATTTAATTGCGTCTTCGATGAACTTTCTAGTCTTTCGTTTGCTTTAACTTTTTCATATAGACTTGATTTAAGTTCATCACTTTTAGAATCAATAACATTAGCTTCGTAATCAAGGCTGACTTCAGTTTCTTGTTCGATTCTAGTTATATGTTCTACTTTGGTTGGATTTTGTCTATCTTTATTTTTTTGATTATGTTCATTATTTGATTTATCGTCTTTTAAACTGGGCGCGTCATCAAATGAACTAGAATTATCAGTAGAATCTTCACCTAGAACTAAAACAGATTTTCTAGCCGCCTCTTTCCTAGCTCTTCTAGTGCTAGGTCTTCTTTTAACTTGGATTTTAGCTCTTTCTTTAGATAGTTTATTGTCTAGAATTTGGGAATCAGGTTCCCCTTCAAAACTGACAGCTTTGACTATCGTATGTTCGATATTGTCTTTTTGGTGAAAGTCTTCTTGACTTTTAGCTGACAAAATTTGTCCGTCTACTTGCTCTACGATTTTTTTCTTGGGGGAAGCACCGGGAAGTAAAGTGCTTACATCTATATTGAAATTCATGTTTTTTAATTTGCCCACTTTCTTAGATTCTGGGCTGTCTGGAGTGTCAGATGTTTGAGCTTCATATTTAGGTGGTAGAGGTTTATCTGAAGTAGGCTTTACTGCTTCAGTTCCAGGTGTTAAATTCGTTTGTTCGTGTGTCTTATCTTTTAATACTTCAGTTTTTAGGTCTGTATCTGATCTTGAGGCCGTTTCTTTTTGGATAGGATCAGTTGCTGTAACAGTATTTTGTTTTAGCGCTTTCGATGAAGATGTGTTAAAGAAATTGTCATTTGCAATAACTTTATTTGATTCGGATTGTTTACCATCAGATATAAAAGGCTTAGATGATACGTTTGTTATTGGAAAATCATCAAGACCATCATTAAAGACATCTTTAGAGTTTTCGACTGATTTCTGTGAATTTTCGGTAACTTTTTTGGAATCAGGTTTTACTTTTCCCTTTATTTGAAATAAGTCATCATCAGAATCAGAGCCTAAGAAACCTTTTTCAGCTTTTTTGTCTACATTATGAGTGAAATCAATATCAATAGCCGGTGGTTCACTGTGAAAAACACCAAACATTTGATCGCTATTACTAATGTCATCATCATCTAGTTTCTCATCATATGTAACGTCATTCTTTTTGAAGAACAAAGCTTCATCATCAGAATCATCATCGAATAATGCGTTCACATTTTTACTTTTTTTGGGTTCTTTGGTCTTTTCAAAAGCAGGCGGTTCATCCATTATGTCATTAAATATGTCATCCGAAGTGTTAAATATTGCATCTTTTACTGCATTTAGAAAACTATCACTTTCGGTGTTATCTTGAGGTATATCTATAGATATATCGTTTGAACAACTTTCAAAATCAGTCTCTGGGATTTCCGGTTTTATGCTTTCTTTGCTCACGTTTAAATTTCCATGATCTGGGCTTCCTTTTTCAATTTTGTTTTCTAATATGTTGTTATCATTATTGAGATTATTATCACTCTTTGTTTCTGATTTCAGACTTGATTTATTAACATTGGATTCACTAGGAGTACTATCTACTGGTTTAATGGAAGTATTTGATTTTATGTTGTTAGAAGATTTTTTATTATTATTGCTAAACAAAAATTCATCACTGTTGTCTGAGTCGTCCCCGAAAATTGGTGAATTCGTTTCAGTCTTTTCTTTAGTATTATTATTTTGAGCAATATTTTCCGTCTTGTCTGTTTCTTTAGATGATGTATCAAATACGTTATAACTATTAGATTTGCTATTGACTTCGTTTGAGGACTTTACTGCTTCTTCAACAGTCGATTTCGAAGGTTCGCTTGATCCAGTAAATAGATTATCATCATCTAATATTGATATTTTAGTTGTTTTAATTTCATTTTTGGCAATGACTTTTTCAATTGGATTTACCGAAGTAGACGAATTATCATGTTTTTCATGAGTAATTGTTGTATTTTTGTTGGTATTGCTAAATATATCGTCACTATCGTTATCATCGTCATCAAACATTAATCCAACTTTTTCCCTACATTTATCAGACTTATTATTGTTGTTATTTAATGTATTAATTATATCAGGTTTTCTATTTTCACTTTGAGAAATAGTATTTTTTGTGTTTTTATTGTTAGTTTCTTGAGCAGCAGAACTTATTACAGTATTTTCAAATTTGTTTTTATTTAAATTAGAAGATATATTACTATTACTATTATTGAACACAGATCTACTATCTTTAATACTATCATTTGTTTTATTAACACTTGGATAATTAACTGTTCCACTTAGTACGTTCGATTTAACATTAGATTTAACGACGTTTTCTGAAAACAGATCATCGTCACTGTCGAAAATACTTTTATTCTTGCTCTCAACCTTGACTTCACGTTTTGTCGTTTCAGAAACAGCTATATCAGCAAATAGGTCATCATCATCATCGTCAAATAGTGACTTTGGCTTTTCATTAGACTTCGAACTGACTTTAACTACATCTGAAGCGAATATATTATCGATATCATCGAATAAATTATCGCTAAACAAATCCACTTTTTTAGTTTCACCTTGTGTATTTGTTACTTTAGTGACTTCTTTCTTTTCTTTAGCTATTTTCTGTTCTCTTTCAGATTTAGCGAACAAATCGTCGAATATATCTTTTTCTGCTGCTTTCATTGTTTGTTCATGTCTCGGTTTTGGCATTTCTTCGCTCATAGTGTTGTCATCTTCGTCAGATGAGGATTTGCGACGGTTTCGCCTTAAAATTGCGGCACCTATACTTTCAGCACCTTTGTTTGAGCCGAACAGAGATATACCACCAATTGGTTTCTGAAACAATATTAAATATATAATTTGTACTGAAAACTGTTATTCAACTAATTTATCTCCTTGAAGTTATAATTTTCGTAATCAAAAGTACATTATATCCCATTACGAGGTTGCTTTATCTTAATATTACATTGCAAAACCTTTTGAACTGTTTAGACTAGAAAGCATAACTAGATGGAATTTAGATAGCTTTATTTGTAATTGTGTTGACATAATGAAGAAATAGCTATTGAATACATGTATTGTATAATTATTGGACTGCAACTGTTACTGAATTTCATTTTGATTTTTTAAATAATAATTATATTAGTATTTTGTATGCCCTTCCAAGAGCGAAACTTATGGAACTATATATTTACCAACTGTTACAAACTAGTTTTCATGCAAATAAACTTTCATTTCTATTTCATTAGAGATTTTTGTAACTTTGGCTTTAGAGGTGAATAACATTTTTAGAAATTGCTAGTATTGCCTATTAATAAGGATTTAAAAATGATTTATAAATCTAAAGGGAATTTTATACTAACTTCTTTTTAGATTTAAAAGTTTAATGCTTAAAATAACTTTTTTTTTTAAATTGTTAAATTAGTTGACAATTTTTTTTTTTTTACTTTTTAGTTTTCTTTAGACTTTCGACGTTCATACGTGGTGTGCGTGAAAACATCATCATCATCACCCTATTAATGTCCCCACTGCTGGGGCACAGGCCTGCACCTATGAATGGAATAGGGAGTGCGGGCCATGACCCACTACGCGGGCCCAGTGCGGATTGGCGGGTGCTAACGACTGCAGATGCAGCCGGGACCAACGGCATAACGTGCCTTCCGAAGCACGGAGGAACTCGTGATAGAAGATTTTTGGTCACCCATCCAATGACCGACCACTGCGAAAGTTGCTTAACTTCAACGATCGCGGCCGAACGCGAATAATAAATAAATATAACAATGTAATAAAATAATGATAACTTACTTTAACAGATTCGACGTCGGGAGGGTCGTTTCGTTGTATGACTATTGGTTTGTCAACGGGTTTGCTCGCAAACAACTCTGGTTCCGATTCGTCTTCGAATAAGGTTGATTTCTGTTTGGCAACCGGAGGCGATGGGGGCTAAGAAAATAAAAAAGGAAAAAAATTATAGTAAGTCCGAGGAATACACTATTGAATTACATTAGGTTGTATTATCAAATAAATCATTACTAACATAGTACTAGGCGTAAAAGCATCATCCTCTTTTTGGGATAATCGGTTAATAATTATGAGGACCCAAATTTGTTTTGTACTAAACTTACACATATTTTTTTTTTTTTTTTTTTTTATTTATTTATTTGTATTCAGGCATCTTATATACCTATAGTTATTCATTATGATTTAGGTACTTAAGTAATACGTAAAAAATAAGCTTTGTACCTCTTTTTGCTTAAAATGAGCAACATTAAGTTTCTATGGAGAAGGAAGTAATGCAGAAAGCTAATATTTTAATCAAATTAAATATTTCTAACACTCACACCAATATTAGCCTAGCCCCAAAGTAAGCACTGTAAGGCTTGTGTTATGGGATGCTAGGGTAACGGATAGAATACATATACTGTACATATATAAGTATATTTATATAGAAATACAGCTTAAACATCCATGACTGGAGTACAAATTCTCGTATTCATCACACAAACATCTGCCTCCACCGGGATTCGAACCCGGGACCTCTCGAGTCGGCGACACCATGAAACCCGGCGTACAAACCACTCGACCACGGAGGTCGTCATCTATCATCATCTAATATATTAAGATGACATTAAAAATACACTGAATTGATAACACATACACATACACACACATATAAAAGTTAATTATCTTTCACTTAATAAACGTATTGTAATTTTGAATAACGTAAGGTGATTTTAATTTTTTCTTGTTTATTATTTGTATTGGCTTAATTCTGTATCTAAAAATACCCCTATTTTTAGGGGGCGCTGAAGCCAAAATACAGGATGAACTTCCTAGTTTGGCTGAAGATGGCAATTAACATTTAATGTAAATATCAGCCTTAGTGTAAATACTAAATAGTCTTATAAGAGTAATACCATGTAAGTACGTGTAATTAATTGCAAATTAAAAAAAATATATATAAAATAAACATAATACACATGCACACATAATAAAAAATATAGTAATCATATTCTTAGACAAAACAACCTCAGTAAAAATCCAACCAGGGTTGTCAGGTCTACCGATTTAACAGGAGGTCTCCTGTTTTTCTGAAATTTCTCCTGTTCCACTGTTTTTCTTAGAATACGATTTTCTTTTTTTAAATTGCATTTTGAGTTGCATTTTCCGCCATTAATAATATAGATAACCCTAAGTTTTCTACTGTTTTTGAAGTGAAAACTTCTTTAGCGGCGTTGTACACTTTTTTTTGTATGGGTAAAAAATGTTAAACACGTGGGCTGATCGCATCATGAGACACAATAAAATTGGAAAGGTTGTTGACTTTCAATATATTGGACGAAACATAGTAATATTTTATTTTATCGTATTATAATAATAAGTCTCTATCTAGGACGTCCACGTGGCAGCTTTATTGCGAAGAAAATGCATTTTTTTACAATAGATGTCGCTAGGGGCGCTTAAATGTGTTTCATGTAAGTTGATTTTTCTGAGAGATAAACACTTTAATGTATTAAAAATTGTCATGTCTGTGTACGATAGCGCAATAAATAAATATTGTATTCTACCACATAATTGGTACTACGTTTATACTGATAATTAAAGCAATTCGTGCAAAATTATTCCCTAACCATTCCAAAATATCAAAAATGGACAACGTTAATATTCAAGTTTTCACTTCTGCCGGCACTCCCGGAGTGCAATCCGTCGTTTTTTTTTCTTGTAGCTCTTTCCATACATCTACTATTTTTTCCTATAACGCCTCCCGATTTTTATAGACCGAACCTGGCAACACTGATTCTAATTTAAAAATGTCTACAATTTCCGCTATGAATATGTAAAATAGCCATAAATATAACCCCTACCTTAGCTCCAACTATATCATCGAATAGATCTCCTCTATCATCCTGAAAACCACCAAACAGATCTTCCGCCACGCGACTTCGAACTTTATTGCTATCGTTATTGGGTTTATTCTTCTGTAACTCTGCGAATATGTCGTCGTCTTCATCTTGACTGTATTGCTCTCCTTCTGATTGGTAACCCTCGAATGGTGGAGGTTCATCAGAAAATATTGTACCTGATAAATAAATATAAGTACATATTATTTATTACCCAAACCCATTTTATAAACCAAATGTTCACAAAATAAAAAAAAAATGTATTTAATTAATTGAGAACTTCGGAGATTTTGTGTGGTTTCGTTTGAAATAGAAATCACGTGATTTCTCGAAAACCGGAAGTGCTACGTTACTCACATCCGGTTTGTAGTCTTATCAGACTATTCTCAACTTATAACTTAAACATTCTCTTTATCTATCTCTTACGGTTTGGCCGCTGAAACAGCACCACGGACGGACGGACGGACTTGTCTATTAGATAAGAGATCATCATCATCAGCCTATGAATGTCTCAATTGCTGGAATTCAGTTGTTTTCTTTAAAAAAAATAGTAGGGGTGATGACGGGGTACAGTAAACGAAAATCTATTTAGTCCGTCAGTTAGATGATCAAAAAATAATGGACACGTATTTTTTCTTTGGGCAATCAACCAAAAAATGACTAAGTTGTAGTCTAATGACTAAGTAGCGCGTCAAAGTTTGGGAGGAGGGGCTCGTGACGTCACTTTTAAGTGAATTTTCACTTAAAACTGTACCAAAACGTGACGTCATGTGACTTTTCAAATCAATATACCTCTGCAATGTTTATATTATGTGAAAAAAGAAAAAAATACTTTTTGATAATCTACCTGATAAACGAAAAAGAAAAAAATAGTCATCATCCCTATTATAAAATACTAGAGAAAATTGGACACGGTCATCGGTGCCGCGGTAGCATAATGGTCAGTGCATCCGCCCGGATAGCGCAGTTTCGTGTCCCGTCTGCTGCCTGGTCCGCGTGGAATTTTTTCTAGTAAACTTTTCTTTAGATTTAAACATCTAGCAGTTAAATGCTTTAAAGTGAATTATTTAATTGCACAAGTTGTTAGACCTTACCAGCAGTGGGTTGTTCCGGTTTATATATTTTCCTGGTGGTGGGTTGGCTCGGTGTGAAATCTGTGTCCACCTGAGGTAACTGTTTCAAAAAAATATTTACAATGAAATTGAATCTTGATAACATGTTTTAAATTTTTGAAAAAGAAAAACAGACATATACAAACATAATAAAATATAATACTCATAGCATATGACGTGACGACCCGTGGCCGAGTGGTTTGTACGCCGGGTTTCATGGCGTCGCCGACTCGAGAGGTCCGGGTTCGAATCCCGGTGGGGGCAGATATTTGTGTGATGAACACGAGCATTTGTACTCCAGCCATGGATGCTTAATATGTATTACACAAGCCTTACAGTGCTTACTTTGGGGCTAGGCTAATTGGTGTGAGTGTTGGAAATATATATAAAATATATATTTAGTAATTGAAATATTATAAATTCCGTTACTTGGTTTTTTAATTATATTATTATAAGTAATCATTTAATTTAATATGATATATTTCGGATTGAATATTACATTGATTTAATAATATAAAAGTATTTGCAATTTTTTAAACAGGAAGTGCGACTTTATCGTTTCCCCAATAAAAAAAACACACACAAAATAAATTACTATGAACTGTACCCTTAATTTTTAATAATTATTGTTTATTATTAGTGATAATTATTACTATCTTACATTATTGCTACTGTGGGTCGATTAAAAAAATAAGGCTCTGATCTATCAACCTATGACTATACAGATACTAAAAGCTTTTAATTTAATAAAAAGATAACTATATTCTATCAATTCCCTCTGAGTCAAAACGTAAATAAACTTTAAAAAGGTTTTTGAATAGGGCAAACATAACTTTATAGGCACATAAAATCACAATTCAAAATACTGCCGTAGTTGCCTGTAGTTACAACAATATATTTGAGTAGGAGTGTTTAATTATCATATCGGAAATAGGGTATTTGACAGTATTAAAAATAAAATGCCAATTGTGAGCATCTGTGTTTAGAATGAATATTGGCAGGGGTTTTTACTATTTTTACAAAAAACATATTCATAATTTTACTATAAACCCACGAAAAAGATAATAGTTTTCACATCTAGTGTCACGTGACCCAAAACGCTTGGGATTGGCGGAGCCTAACATGACGTCACACGCAAGTAAACTTCCGGTTAAAGTGACATTACATTGTATCGTTTGACGTTTTAATAACAGTCGTGTGACGTCACACACTAGTCGGACGCCATATTGTCCAGTGAATTTTGATTTGATTGATTTTTGAGTTTTCGCGGCAACTTGATAATGGAGTATTTGATTTGGTTATTTTTACTGAAATACACAACAGAATGATGAATATCCACTTTTTACGGACTCCATACACATAAGTCAATAACATGAGATCGTTTTCTAAAACTTGTCAAATACCCTATTATTATGTAAGTAGCAAATCAGTGAACCAAATGTTCACCAATAAAAAAAAATAAAAAAAATGTATTTAATTAATTGAGAACTTCGGAGATTTTGTGTGGTTTCGTTTGAAATTCGTGATTTCTCGAAAACCGGAAGTGCTACGTTACTCAAATCCGGTTTGTAGTCTTATCAGACTATTCTTAACTTATAACTTAAACATTCTCTTTATCTATCTCTTACGGTTTGGCCGCTGAAACAGCACCACAGACAGACGGACGGATTGACGGACTTGTCTAATAGATAAGAGATTATTATGACTGACCTCCGCATGCCCACGCAGTCTCCTATGTAATTCGGCAGCCACGTCTGAAGGCGTCGGTTTTGACGCTGCAATTGGAGTGGAATCCTGTTCCGAGAACATCTCAGAGCTGGTGGTGGAACCCTGGAGACGAGGTAAATATTTCAGTATAGTATGTAAATAATTGATGCCTGTCTCGATGTTATAGCATTGGGACACAGTTTACTCCGGAAGTGGGGGTTCGTATAAATAATGTGTCAACAATAAGCTTGATTGGGTAATTATTTTATAGTATATATATCGCATGTCACAAACAATAGGGTAATAAGTGGGCAAAACCATTTATTTTTTTATTTACGTTTCGAAAACTACATTTTTTGAAGTTATACTTCTTTAGGCGCGTTGTGAAAAATTGATGAGAGTGAAATTTTAAGATGCGCGCGCATCATGTAACACTAAATTTTAACACCATGAAGTTGGTCGCTTTAGCGACCAACTTCATGTGCCGCGCTGCCATTACCGCGTCGCCCGCCGCACCGTACGCATGCGCGGCCACTCGCGGTCCTAGCGCGGGAAACACGTGCAACAAACATCGGGAAAAGTTACGAGTTTTGAATTTAGAACAGAGACTGTTTTCATATCTATATATATATAAATGAAACCCGTTTTCCGTTGTCACGACATAACATGAAAACGGCTTGACCGATTTGGCTGGTTTTTTTTTTGTAGTTTTCTAATACTCTGTACAAGGTTCTTACGGAAAAAAATATAAAGAAAATCCCAAGGGGATAAAATAAGGAATGAAAGTTTGTATGAAACTTTATCAATTTTAAACCGATCGGGCTGAGACTTTGCATGCAGGTATAAGAAGAATCATAGATGAATGTCATTGTGTATAATACAAGCCTGAGAACAAAAACTGTAGTCTACACTTCAGCTCTACACCGAAGCGAAGCGAGGGCGGGCCGCTAGTTTATAATATTTATCCACATGTTTCTAGTTTGTATGTTCGGAATACGTGTTTGAGTTTCATACAAGTGCAAATCACATATGTTCTAATAAATTATATTCAGTAGCGATTTTAATTGAATATTTTGATTATTTATTTATTTTTTCAAATTAAAACTGAACTTTATTGACTGTGTCCTTTTCCAGACTTTTTATTTATTTATTGTAATTAATTATTTGCATGCAATTAAAAACTAATTTTAAACGATGCCAAAGAAGGATAACTTCTCACGCGCCTACATAAGTACACGCAACCATTTTTTATTTACGTTTCGAAAACTACATTTTTTTCTCTATTAACTGGTAAGATAATTGTATTTTAATTCGAAATAGTTTTTGAATTATAGCAACACATGTCGTCAATTTCTAGGCAAAATTTATGATAGTGAGTATTCTAAACAGTATTATGATAAGTTAATACCCTATTGCCGATTCGGATTAATGCAAGTTTGAAGTTTTATTTAAAGTTATTTAAAGTTCCTCTGGCCTGTTCAATTTTATTTAATATATCATTTTCAGCGAAATTATTTTAAAATGAGACTTATTGTAATTTTAACTTTTTAAATGGCTCATCCATTTGAGCCACTTGAACTGCTTATAGGGTATTCTCTTTACCCAGTCACATAAAAGTACTTTTAAAATAAAAACTACAATTGATACACTAAATAAAAGTACTCTACACAAAGAAGGATAATGTACGTTTAAATCAAGGTATCATTTTAAACATTTGAACAATCAGTTCCGCTTCTATGATTAAATATGAAAAACGCGATATTTTAAGCGCGCCAATTTTTAACTCTATGAGAATTATTCCTAAGTCAAATGTCTATTTTGACTGGACTATATCCTTTACATTATAGTACAGTCAATCTGTAGGTTGAGTGGTGAAAAAAAAACCTAAAGGGTAAGTCTTGTAAACTGTAAGTAATTTAAAAAAATTGTTTATACAAAATTTGTTGGTAATTATGTACGGAACAACTTTCCCATTTAAAGTTTTCCATTAAAATGATATTTTCAGGGTGAAAAAGTGAAAAAACACTTTTTTTGAGACTTTAGCGCCACCTACAATGCGCATTTTTTGTTGTACGAGATTGCAACAATGACATAAATTGTAGTACTCAACGCCTTCTACAATTATGGTCGAAAAAAAGTTCCTAAAATGCATACAAAACAAGAAAAATGCGTTTAAAAAAAATTTTGAGGGTTTTTTTGAGTTTTTCAAAAAACGCCAACGAGTTGAACATGCCCATCGCCAAGGTGGCTTACTGACGTCATTTAGCAACAGAAAAAACAAGACTTACCTTTAGGTTTTTTTTTCACTGAAACGATTTTTTTTTCGACAGATTGACTGTACTATTAGATAAAAGCCTGAAAATAAATAAGTTTAAAAAAATTTACATCAATCGACTCATGTTAAACCACTGACCTGCGCCTCCTGTCCGGTAATCTCGGCTGGGTGTTTATAGTCGTGTATCTCATCATCATCGATGTCCGGTTCCGAATCGGAATACACTTCACCCGCCGTTTCCGGTTTAGAGGTTACACTGTCAGTGTCACTGTCATCCACTATTAGACCTGAGCGATATAAATAAACAGAGATTAAATCGATGAAAAAATTACTAGAAAAATATCTAAAAGAATGGACTGATTGGATTCTTTTCTAGTATTTTCTTTAAGAGCCCTTTTACTAAATTGCGCCGCTGCCGTACTGATCGGCGCGTAGGTAGATTTACACTAGTAAATATTGCATTTTACGGGTGATGTTTCGAGTCTTATAAAATAATAATTAATTAACTAATTATAAAAATATATACATATTTCAGTAGTTAAATGATGGTAGATAAGTTTTATGAAAGTTTTTGATAGTAATTCTATTTAATTCAACATCAAAATACGAGGTAAACCTGCATTATTTTTTGGGAAAACTCACGGAGGTTATATGTTTTTTTTGATAATTAATGAGATGGAAAATCAAAATTCTAATACATTATGTTACAACAAAAGCATATTTCTGATGTCGTAGTAACTAATTTGATCTAATTTATTGAACATTATTGAGAGATTGAGGCGTTTGAAGTTGTGCAAATTATCGTTTTTTCCGTAAACTAGCTGCGGTAGAACGATCAGTACAAAAAAAGGAAAATAGTATTTGAAAATATACTACATTAACTTACAATAGGAAGAATAAATCTACTGTTTATTTCTATTGGAAATAGTCAAAATCTTTTCTAAAGGGGTAAAGGAGGCGCTCAAAAATTTTCAAGCGATTTTTTGCAAAAAATGTGAAAGGGCTCTTAAATTTACAAATCTAGCAGTTAAATGTTAAATTAAAAATAATAATATAAAAAAAATTTAACTCTCAGACCAATTGAGGCCATGAGAACCATAGTGGCCTAACTCATTTTTTACAATATTGAGTTGATTATTTTTTCCAGTTCAAATTGATCATTTTGATGGAACCAGCGTGGTCTAAAAGTGATACAACGAATATTCACTAGATGGCAGCATAATTACTGTTGCGGTTCTTAGTCTACGATTAAGATTTTAGGTGCCATACTGGCGTAAGTAAGATAGGCCACTATGGTTAAAATATGAGTTAGGCCACTATGGTTTGAGAACCATACTTGGCCTCAATTAGCCTAGCCCCAAAGTACGCATTGTAAGGCTTATGTTATGGGATACTAGTGTAACAAATACATATATTTAATATGTATAGATAACAAAAATAAATTTTAGTAATCATGTATTTAAAGAAAATATAACTAGAAAAAAATCCACGCGGACCAGGCAGCAGACGGGACTCGAACCCGCACCCTTCGCAATCCGGGCGAATGCACTGACCAATTATGCTACCGCGGCCCTCACGGACCGCGTCGAAATTCTTCTAGCCATTCTTAAGCTGCAAGGCAGCGCCATATCTTCGCATTATAGGTAACCCACAATGTAATTTCGACGCGGTCCGTGAGGGCCGCGGTAGCATAATTGGTCAGTGCATTCGCCCGGATTGCGAAGGGTGCGGGTTCGAGTTCCGTCTGCTGCCTGGTCCACGTGGATTTTTTTCTAGTTATATTTTCTTTAGATTTAACCATCAAGCAGTTACATGCTTTAAACATAATAAAATTTATAACAATCATGTATTTTTTAAGTTTTTGTTATTTAAATGTAAATATGAGCAAATATACGGTTATAGAACACGACATCCGTAAAGTCAAGAATAATTTTAAAGTAATAAAAGCGTGGCATATAACTCAGTAAAAGTGGTTTTATTCATTAAATAAAATACTTACCAGCATGCCATTTATTCCTCCACGGTGCACTACCGATGATATGTGGCAAGGGGCGGGAGCCATACATGTCCTTCGGTTTTAAAACCACGCTGTTTGCAAAGAAATTTACAACAAAATATATTAAGAAAACTTTACTAGAAAAAAAAAATCCATTGCTATCACGGCCCTATTAGCCGCGTCGAAATTTTCCTAGCCTTAAGCTGCAAGGCAGCGCCATCTCTTCCCATTGTAGGGAACCCACAATGTCAAATGAATACTTTTTCAAGTATTAAACATTTGAAAGAAGAAATAGCAATTATAGTTATGCCTGATCCGAATGTATTTTTTTCCAGTAAACTTTTCTTTAGATTTAAACATCTAGCAGTTAAATGCTTAAAAAATAAATAAAAATCATAACAAAATATATTATTTTAATTAAAAAATATATATATCGGTAACAGTTAATTTCAGTTGGACACTTTCTTTAAACAATAAGAACTCGATATTGACTATTATTATGACTTTTCTTTAAAGTGTGTAAGTTTGTAGTACTTTTAAGGTATGTTAACTTAATTTGTATCAACCCACGCGTTTACTAAAAATATTTTATTTTTGTTTCCAAATTACATGCAGTTAATTACAATTTAAATTCATTTTATTGAATTCAATTTAAATAGGACCAAGTTTGCTGCAAATAGTTCATTTCTAGAGCATGTCACAGCTATAATAAATACTTCAGGGGATTGGATATATTTTGCCTTTCTTACAACCAATTTAGAAATGAATGCTATAAGGTTGTTTTATCCTAACACTTAGTAATTATTTTCTTTTATTCACACAATTCTAAATATTGTACGTAATCTTAAGCAAATTATGTAAGTTTATAATGTTTCAGTCTGTGGAAACTTAACTGGTTTATGAAATAGTAATAAGTGTTACTTAATTGATTTGTGTAAAACTGTATGTTTCCCAAATGAAAATCTTTATATATATAATTCTTCTGTGAGTGTGTATGTCACTGAACTTCTCTTAAACGACTGGACCGATTTTGATGAAATTTTTTGTGTGTGTTCAAGGGGATCTGAGAATGGTTTAGATTCACAATTTTGTCCGCTGGACAATGTTTTTTTAATTAATTTTTAATTTATTAGTAGTTGTTGATTTTGGAATGTTTTACATTGGATCCGACAGACGGCGCTACCATACTAGACAGGACAACGTCTGTCGGGTCCGCTAGTAAATAAATAAATTTATTTCGACCAAAATATGGATCAAATCATTAGGAAAATTTTAAATATTCGATTTTGTAAATATTACTAAGAACACACTTATAATAATATTATATAAAAATTAAATTAAATTTATAATACAATAAAAATAATCAAACAATATAATTTAACAACTACAATCATTACTAATCTATGTTAGTCAGTACATATATCATATAACAATGGTTCATGCACTGACAGTCAAAACGCTCCGAAAATAATGAATAAAAACTATTGACTTTCATTTTTAACTTTGACCCTAGCTTACAACTTTGACTTTACCTTTCATATTCAACTTCGACTTTAGTTTTATAATCACGCGCAATTTTTTATAACCATAATCTTTTCAATTTCAACTTTGACTTTCAAATTTGACTTTCACTTTCATTTTTAACAATTTTAATACTTTTTAATTGCTTATCATAAACAACACTCACCTAGTGCCCTCCGAATCTGTATCACTCTCAGAATCCGAGCCGACTATTTGTATGGCTTCGTGTGCGTTCTCCAATGCTTTGACGGATTGTATGATGCTGTCCAGCTCTGACAACTCTTGGGGAGGAGGTGGTGCCGTATTCTGGGTGTGAAGTAGAAGCCAAATCAAATCAAATTTATTTAAACATTACATTGATCAATCTATGTTAGTAACAATTGGCACCTAATAAAACTTAAATTTGACAACAGTGTATCCTTGTCATTCTCTATACAGAATGAAAAGGACGGACTGATGTAAAACTTCGTTTTGAGTTTAGAGAATTCTACCAGAATCGACAGCAAAGCGATTAAAAAAATACTTTTTAAAATTATTTGTAATATTAGGTATTTTTAATGAGTGACACAGTCATCGCTTGTAATGTTTCTCTTGGAAATCGAGATCATTCGATAATAGTTTTGACATAAAATGTACGAAGCTTTTGTCAAATTTGACATTTGTTGCACTTGGATCGCAGATTTTGAACGTAGCCTGGTCTATGGTTTATACGACAGCCACGTCAGCAGTAGACGGCGTGTGTAGAAGGGCCGGCTTTAGGATTGTGGAGGCCCCGGGCCACTTAGGATTTGTATGCTTGTTAACCCATCGAAAGGACACCCGGCATTTTGTGCCAAAGTTGTATACTTTTTTATCTGTGTTTCATAATTGGGTAACGTAGTCTGACCATATTTGTCATCAGCAGCTAGCTGTCAATGTCAAATACGTAGGTTTGTCATCAAAAGGGTTTCTATATGAAAAAATATTAATCATTAAATAACTTCTTTCCACGATTCACTAAAAATAAGGCAAAAGTAGTTTTATGTAGCAAATAATTTTGGCTTTATTTTGAGACCAAATTCAACTGTATACAAGTTTAGCATTTTTTCTATGAAAAGTGCCGGGTCTCCTTTTGTTATCTTTTATCCTGTTGTGGAGGTCCCGGGCCACATAGGACTTGCATGCTTGTTGACCCATCGAAATGTTGTTATTTCTTAAGCTGTTGTGGAGGCCCCTGGGCCAAAGCCCCACCTGCCCTGCCTTAAATTCGGCCCTGGCTGTAGGTAAAGGTAAAAGAGCAAAAAAGATATCAAAGGAAAAGATGTTTACTAGTGTTTACTAGTTGGAATTTGAGAGTTTTTTTTTTCCGAAGTCTCTGTTGTGGGGGTCCCCGTTTGTGGAGGCCCCGGGGCTTTTGCCCCGGTTGCCCTCCCCTAAATCCGGCAGTGTGTGTAGAGAAAAATGTTTCAAAAACAAAGTTTTGCGTGTGTTTTTGTTGAATGTTGTTATGTTATGTGTTAGGGATATGCTTTAAGTATCTAGTAATATAAAAAGACATAACATAAATTAGAAAAACTATATTTCGATTAGTTTTTGCATGCTGAAAACGGATCTGACCTAATTATTGGAAAACATCATTGTAACCATAATTAATGCAAATAATTATAATTTTTATTTTTTAAGCATCTAACTGCTTCATGTTCAAATCTAAAGAAAATATAACTAGAAAAAAATCGACGCGGACCAGGCAGTAGACGGGACTCGAACCAGCACCCTTCGCTATCCGGGCGAATGCACTGACCCATTATGCTACCGCGGCCCTGACGGCCGCGTCGAAATTCCTCTAGCCATTCTTAAGCTGTAAGACAGCGCCATTTCTTCGCATTGTAGGTAACCCACAATCGCGGCCGTCAGGGCCGCGGTAGTATAATTGGTCAGTGCATTGGCGCGGATAGCGAAGGCTGCGGGTTCGAGTCCCGTTTGCTGCCTAGTCCGCGGGGATTTTTTTCTAATGCAAATAAATTTAATTTCATTTCAAAAAACTTTTGCCCAGCTTAAAATACACTTTTTTCGATAATTCATTAGTTGCTTATACAAAATTACTATTTTGTATTTTGTAAATACTATAATAATATATCTTCTTTATATATAATAATTCTTCTGTGAGTGTGTATGTCACTGAACTTCTCTTAAACGACTGGACCGATTTTGATGAAATTTTTTGTGTGTGTTCAAGGGGATCTGAGAATGGTTTAGATTCACAATTTTGTCCGCTGGACAATGTTTTTTCAATTAATTTTTTTTATGGCGGTACGAAGTTCGCTGGGTCAGCTAGTATACTATAATATCTTTCTGCTATTTTTGTAAATAAATGTTTTAAAATACCTTAGTAGTTTGTTGTACGGTCGTTTCTAAGTCGTCATCATAAACCCGACTCTCTATAAACTGAGTGTTACTGAGAGCCATAAACCTGTGAACAAACATACAAACAAATAATTTAATAGCTGAAGCTCTGTCTGTAATTAATTGACATGATAGGACATGATAGGTGACCGAAAATTTGAATCTCGTTCCTAATCTACAAAGATTTGAATAATTCATATATTTTTTATTTTTATTTTTTTATTTATTCTTTAAATAAAATTAATTTTTAACGGGTTAATGCACGAACTTTATTTATTTATTCTGACGATGCAGACCTGGAAAGGCTGCGAAACGTCAATAAATAAATAAAGTTCTTGCATTAACCCGTTAAAAAATTGTTTTATTTAATGAGTGATGAGCGTGAAAACCTAAGAAACAAATATGTTTATTCTTATAATTTTTATTATTTTAAAGCATGTGACTGCTTGATGTTTAAATCTAAAGAAAATATAACTAGAAAAAAATCCACGCTGACCAGGCAGCAGGCGGGACGCGAACCCGCACCCTTCGCAATCCGGGCGAATGCACTGACCAATTATGCTACCGCGGCCCTCACGGACCGCGTCGAAATTCTTCTAGCCATTCTTAAGCTGCAAGGCAGCGCCATCTCTTCGCATTATAGGTAACCCTTAAGCATTATAGGATTCGAGTCCCGTCTGCAGCCTGGTCCGCGTGGAATTGTTTCTAGTTATATTTTCTTTAGATTTAAACATCAAGCAGTCACATGCTTTAAAATAATAAAAATTATAACTATAAGTACTATTTCTTCTTTCAAATGTTTAATACTTGTAAAAGTATTCATTTGACATTGTGGGTTACCTATAATGCGAAGAGATGGCGCTGCCTTGCAGCTTAAGAATGGCTAGAAGAATTTCGACGCGGTCCGTGAGGGCCACGGTAGCATAATTGGTCAGTGCATTCGCCCGGATCGCGAAGGGTGCGGGTTCGAGACCCGTCTGCTGCCTGGTCCGCGTGGATTTTTTTCTAGTTATATTTTCTTTATATTTATTCTTTATTACCAAAACAGTAAACGACGGACTTAATGCTATAGGCAGTCTCTACCAGTCAACCTGTAAGGATATAGGAGACAACTGTTATGGCGATAGAATAGAACGGCCACAAAAATGAGAATAAACTAATTAAAAAAATAGTGTGCACGGAGCACACATCTGAAACGAAACTTCTTTTCTTAAATAACCTCTCTTTAGGCGCGGTCGCAGCCTGAAATTTTGGAGGGGGTCACTCACTACACTAATAAAAAAAACCGGCCAAGAGCGAGTCGAACTCGCGCACCGAGGGATCCGTACACACCTGTTTTCAAAAAAAATTTTTTATATGTCGGATGGGGCGAGCGGGATAGGCGGTTGGCCACGTGGTTTTTCTTGATCCGCCATCTTGGTTATTCAATGATATTTCCCGAAAATAAAACTGTAGTCTAGTGACCAAGCTAATGTTTAATTTGAATCTTCTTATTACTTTACAAAATCAGTTATGATTGCCAAGGTACAAACGGATTGCTTTGTGAAGCGCGGAGAGTTCTGTGCTAACGTCCGTTCACTATCTCGGCTCACGTCTGAATGCCGAATGCTGAATGCTGAATGCCCCTTCCAATTTTTTTTTTTTTTTTTTTTGTTTCCTCCCAAGCCGGGGAGAGGGTGAGAAATCCTCATGGATACCCTACAGCCGGCTGTAAGGTTATGTCAGACTCCTACTGACTAAAAAACACCCTTTATTCATGCTTATGGCCAGAAGGGCCTTACAAGCTTCATCTGAAGCGATCACCCCCCGAGAGGGGGATGATGCGCCCCTTCCAATGACGCATAGCCCCTTAAATACTACCCTTAGCATAGACCACTCCCAAGTGATGACAGCTGTCACTGTCATAACTTGACGTTTCACAAAGCAATGGTACAATGACTGATGACATTTGTTGTAGGTTTTACGTTTTGCAGGAGCGAGCGAGACGCCATCCGCCGACATATATATGATTTAACTAAAAATTTGCGGTTTTCGCAATTTTTCCTTTATCTGTACTACAAGACGTTACTTTGTACCAAATTTCAAAATTCTAAGGTCACGGAAAGTACCCTGTCAGTACACCTACACCACTGTCAGCAAACTATAAATTTATCGCTGTTAAGAGATAGCTGGAATTCTCCTCTTATTATTTGGCAAAGTTTTGAGATTTTTCAATTTGACTTTAGATTTGGGGGTGGGGGGGGGGGTCATGTCCCCTGTGACCCCCCTCCCCCCACCCACCCTTCGGACCGTGCCTGCCTACATTAGGCGGTGCATAAGGCATAGGGGAATGGAGCACCGCTTTCAACTTTCGCCGAGTTACCCTCCAACTATAATGCTCATCGGGATAGCTGCGCACGTGTTAATTAATAAACATCGAGACGGCCTTTGAAATCTGTTGTATAATTATTGAACACTTAATAATGGTTGATTCAATTCAAATACTCATACTTGATTTTTGTTATGTAGGTTTTATATAAAATACTATGAAAATCTATAGCTAGCACTAAATTACATAATTTAATAGAATATTTTATAAATCGCGGGTAGTTAGAGAAATCTTTGTACACGTGATGACGTCACTTGTTTGTCGCTGCCTTTAAAAGGCCGAGCTCCAGCCTCCCCCCCCCCCCCCCCTGGGGGACGATCGCTTCCGATGAAGCCTTAGAGGCCTTCTCGGCCAGAGGCAGCCCCTACGGGTGTTTTTAGTCAGTACGAGTCTGACATAACCTTGCAGCCGGCTGTAGGGTATCCATGAGGATTTCTCACCCGCTCCCCCGCCTGGGAGGAATCAAAAAAAAAAAAAAACCTTTGCGGGGCCATTCTGTATCGAGCCATCGGACCGAGCGGAGCTCTGATTTAAGTAATTATTTTCCTATTGTTGTTTATAACTTTTATCGGAATTATATAATTGTTTAATATTGTAAGTCATAATATAATAATATACTTTTCATCCCACCACCTCGGAAAGTGTAATTTTGCGCTTCGAAATCTGGCTGGAAAATTCTATTTTATTCGCTTGAGCGGCAAAGTAGATTTGAATTTAGAACATCACATATAATGAGTACTCAATATAATTGTAAATTCAAAACGTCATTAAACCTATTTAATGTAACCTCTATGGTGCCAAATTTATGATTAGAACTTTTTAAATTGTGAAAAAATTTAAATTTGGAACCTTCTTGGTTTCTTTGTTTTATTTGCGTGCTTCGCGCCATTCTAGTTTTTCACGTTTTATTGCTTAAATATTTTGTCATTATAAATTGTTTTCTTTTTCATTTTGTCATTTCCTCGCTGAGGTGGGATGAAAAGTTACGTATTGCACTCGAGTGGAAAGATTTTTCACCTTGTGCTCGTTTGTTTCCCTCGCTGACGCTCAGGATTCTAATTTAGAATCACTCGCTGCGCTCGTGATTCAACTTTAGAATCCTTCGCTTGCTCGGTCATCCAAATCGAGCACGCGGTTAAAAAGGAACTTTCCACTCTTGTATAATAAATAACTATTGCCATTTACAATAAAAATTACTTCTGTAATCTTATAAATTAAAATAAGAGGTTAGTTGTTTGCGAGTAAAGATTTTATACTTTGTTTTGGTATTTTAATAATCAATACATAGCGTCTTTAAACATTTAATAATTTTGAAGGTAGTTATTTCCCTTATTATACTATTAAACTATTGAACAGTTTTATTTCCATTCCATTTGCTTTTTATTACTTTATATAAGTTTCAAAGTGTTTATATAATTAATGTCAATGCTAACACACGCATCCCACACACACACATATATATATATAATCGTACAACGCTCGTGACGCATTGCTGTTTATTTTATTAAATAAATTACTTTATTTTATTTCGAAATAGTCTTGTGTAGTTCGCGAACGAACTAGGTCGTAAGAGTGCTTTCACAGGTTAATTACTCGAACTAGTTCCATTCCCAGTTCCACAGTTCACTTCTACAGATGAATTTGTAAAAGGCAAAATTTATAGAAAGATATTTTACCTTATCGCTACTACTATTCATACGGAGGTTTTTGTTGTTTTAAAACTACAAAATAGGGCTGATGACGAGGTACAGTAAACGAAATTCTATTTAGTCCCTCAGTTAGATGATCAAAAAATAATGGACTCGTAATTTTTCTTTGGGCAATCAAACAAAAAATGACAAAGTTATAGCGCGTCAATGTTTGGGAGTAGGGGCTCGTGACGTCACCTTTAAGTGAAAATTGTACCAAAACGTGACGTCATGCGACTTTTCAAATCAATATATCTTTGCAATGTTTATATTATGTGAAAAAAGAAAAAATACGCGTCCAATACCTTTTGATAATCTACCTGATAAACGAAGAAAAAAAATAGTCATCATCCCTATTGTAGGTACAAGTACAGCATTACATAATCGTATCCCATGCGGCCAGAGCAACAACAAAACGAATGAATGACCTGCCTTTCACTGGTTCGAGCTGGGAGCTGACGAACTAGAAGAGCGAACTAGTTCGTTTAGGGGCGGCGACCTAAACTGAGCGATCTCAGTTGCGAATAACTACTATGTCCAAGACTATTTCGAAACATGTATATTTTTTACATTATAAATTGAATATAAAATTAAAGTTTAGAAGGTATTTTCAAAACAACTTTCAGTTCATGGCATAAAATTTAATGAATATTTTATTAATAGGCTGATGATTATGATAATTTTTGTTGTTAAATAATAATAAGTAACATTTACATAAGTATATTGTTTTAAACTTTTATCGTCACTAACTATTATAGTTATTACCGGGATTGCTATCTATGTATAAGGTGAGAATGTGACCAGTAGTAGGGGTGTCGAGTGCAATATAAGATGACGTCAGAGGTTAGATTGATATGTCTGCCAATAACAGTCTACCCGCAATTTATTTCAGTTAGGTACTCAGTGATCAAGGCGCTTGCAACAAGCCTGAAATATCGGGGACACCATCACCTTAATAATTATAATAACATTTACTTGTTATTGACATTCTGCAGGTCTACGCTGGCATCATCGAGAGCTGTCACCATCTCGTCTAACCGCTGATTCACCTCCTGGCATTTTGTCATCAGGCTCTGTGAACAAGAAATGATTGAAAGAAATTAATTTACTATAAATAAAACAACCAACATCATTTAAAAATTTTTTTTTGTTTTATTTCATGATTAAAAATACCGTTTGTGCATCTCTACTCATAGTATAGGTATGTTATAGCACAAGGTCTGCATAGTTAGTAATTATTCATTTATTTAATTGAACTATGTCACAGTGTGCGTAATTGAACTACTCCGAAATGGCTTGATCGATTTTCGTGAAATTTTATATGCATTTCAGTAGGTCTGAGAATCGAACAACATCTAATTTTCATACCCCTACATGTTAAGGGTGGTCCACCCTTTTTATGACAAAAATTTTGTTTTTATTTTTTTATGATACATCATAAAAATATAAATTTTCACCCTTCTACCACGAACCATTATTTTTTATAGCGGTATGAAGTTCGCTGGGACACCTACTTTAAGTATAAATATTTAAGTCTGTGGAAACTTAACTGGTTTATTTTATAAGTGCCAATTAATGTATATATATAAAACTGTATTAACATACAGTTTTAAATGAATGAATGAAATAAAATACTTAAAGTATTTTTATTGTAATATTTGATTAATAATGACTATATTTTTTTATTCTCCTCACAAACATGAACACGGAAATATTACAGGAGTACAAAGGCAATGGCCAAGAGGGGACAAATTCATTTACATAAATGAAGGTTGTGCAAGTACGACTTATGGGTTGCGATCGTCATTATGTTTGGTCAGGCAAGCAAATGAAATGTTGAACTTTTGGTTAATTTAAATTTGGCAACTTTTTTATGGTAAAGGTGGCGATAATGCTTGTTCGAGAAGGGCCCTCCCCCCTTGGCAACGCCTTGGAAGGCAAATAGTAAGCTATCGGTTATCTAAAAGCTGTTGTCTGTGAGAGGTTGTGACCAGAAAGGATTGAGCACCTGATGTATATTCTGTAGGATGTCCAGGAGCTGCTTGTCCCCAGCGAGGCTCCATTCCGCTGCTGCGTTGCGGAGAGCGGCCGTGTTCTTTTTCTCCATTGCAGTATGTGATTGTGAAATTTATATTGATGTGTTATTTTTCACAACTATCAGCGGGCCACTTTACTGCACCTGTTTAAAAAAGGTTTGAATTATAAATCAATGATAGAACCATTATACCACCATTATATTACTAGCCTAGCCCCTGAGTTGATCCAATTTTTTATTTGTAATTGATTAAGGCTCTGAAGCCTCTGAAGGCTCAAGTAGAGCTGCCAGGTCGCCAAGCTGGACAGACCAGTCAGTTTGGCCGGACATTTGGGTAAAAAGGCCAGACACCCTACATTATTGAGGATTTTGTGGTACAGTAATATTAGGTATGACAGTCAACTAACATGCGCTCAGCCACAATAGGCGTTCACTCGTTTGCAAAATGAAAAAAGCAAGCTACGTAAAAAGCCAGGCATCGTTTATTTTGGCTGGACACACAATCAAAAAACCTAATTATGTCCGGCTTATCGGGATACTTGGCAAGGGTAGGCCCAAGCACATATTTTGTAAGCTTTGTAATCATATTGTCACCTTCGAATTTTGTAAGGAAGGAGTTATTGTCCAGTAAGAGCACAGATTATTTTACATAGAGACTTTGACAGTGCAATATGATTACGGAGATGTCAAAATTCATGTCTAGGCCTCAGTAAATAATGCCAGAAGGCTTTCTCTACCAGAAGGAATGTAATAAAAGTGATCTACTAATTCAGATAATATGAGCAAAGTAGGTAACTAAACAATAATAAGAAATTGATATGTATGTATCTTTTATAACTTTGAAATCTATTTCTGTGATTATAATGAAACCATTAATTTGGTTTTAGTGGTAAACTGAAAAGAAACTACAATAGCAATAGCTGATAGATAAATAAATGCATAAAAAATCTCCTAAACACATGCATCACCCTCATGAAACTTCACAAAAATTAATTCATAATTTAATAACAACATAGTCTGATGCCTGGACAAACTGGATTTTTTTCTACTAAAAAAATCTTTAGATTATTTAATCTAGCAGTTAAATACTTAAATTACAGAATTATAGAACAACAATATTAAAATTCAAGGAGAAACCATAGGAAAGTTGAAAAATCTTTTTGAACTTTATCAAGTTGGGATATTTGTAAAACTTATTAGTCAATCGTAAAATATGCACCGGACGAACGTACAGCGTATAAAGGCTCAAATAGATAATTAAATAGCAATGAACTACGACAAACTTGCAATCTCCATCAATTTAAAGAAATCAACAAACAATTTACATGTCATTACATCTGCTATTTTCGTCTTATTACTCACCGCTTTTGATGGTAAAACAAACCTTCACATTACAAAACCAAACCTATATGCAGTATCAACATTAACAAACTATTAATTGTATTATAAAATAAATAATTATTGGTAAACACACAGTAAAAACACGTATTTTCCAAGTGAGCACAACACAAAACTGGCAGTGACAGTACTCGGCAGTGTTGCCAAGACCAAGGAAAAATAATTACGCATTATACATAAAATATGTAAATATTTATGTCAGCTTTCTCTTATTAATTTACTTTCGTTCTTTGTTACCTACATTTTTGGAAGTTGATTACGTAATAAGTGAAAAATAAAACCCTCATGTTATATGTTAATTAGATTATATGGCTAAATAGAACTTACCTACCATAACAAAAATAAATTTTAAACACAATGAAAAACATTAAGCTGTCTCATGTCTCATAAAAAGCTGTATATCTATAAATTATTTCATTTCTCTTTTCCTTTCACGGCAATGAAATAAATTAATTCATCTAATTAAATTTCAGCTTACTTTTATTAAGTACCACTTATTTTAATTTGCAATTGGTAAGCTAAGCATGCATGCGCAAAGACAAAACAATATTACGTTTTGGATGTGAAAGCATTGTTTGTCTGACTCTTTTTGGGACATAGTTATACAGGATGTTTGAAAGATGGGTGCAAAGCTTTAAGGCGCTGTATATAGTGAAATGCCCTTTTTTGAAAGCTTATTACTAGACTTATACAAAGCTTTCAACTGTAATTTTTTAAAATGTATATCTTCAGTCCTTCAATTATATTTCTGCTTAACAGAAACACGATTGCTAAATTTTTTCTCGATAGATTCTTTTTTCGAAAATATGTTTAACTTTTGACGATTTCCCAAATATTAGAAGAACTACTACACGTATAAGCATTAAATTTGTTTTATTCGATAGCTCTTTTGTAATATTAAAATTTTGCTTGTTATTTTTACGATATGTACACTAAATCTTTTAAAATTATTTTATTTCTTTTTAACGACACCGCGCGCTCGCCGACTCACCTCGTCGGGCCCATCAGTACGCCTGTGACCACGGTCAACGACGGTACTGTGCAAGTTTTTCCCGCGCGTGACTCGTACGGATCTATTTCGTAATTTACATTTTATAATTATCAAAATATGGGTAATCGCAGTATAAAAAAGAATAAACGCAAAAGGGCACGGCTACGTGAACTAAGAGAGCATATGAATAATATAAGAGTTCAGAGACAGTAAGTATTAAGTGTTTAAATAAATAAATAACTATCTTAAAGTGTGTTTATAATAAATAGATTAGGCATAGCGATTTTATCTAAACCCTAACATCATACAGTCAGAATCGGATATACGTATAATTATATAAAGTGTAGTAGGTACATATAAAGATTATTTTCTTTCGTTAGATTTTATAAAAAATACCTATTTTGTGTTATTTTTAGCGTGCAAAAAGACAATCACAATGAAAATTCTCAGACCAAATCAACTCGTACAGATGCCATAAAGGAAATTAATAATGATGATAGGTAAATATCAAATTGACTTATAAAAGCGTTATAGTTTGTAAACTGTAACACGATTCGTATGACGTTTCAATTTCGTTCTATTATCGATCTAATTGCATCGGAATAAGGTTTTCCATTTCATCATACTAAAATTTAAGAACCTTATCCCAATGCGCTTAGATCAATAATCGAACGAAACTGACAACTGTCATAGGGATGAAGTTATATTTTACAAACCATAATTTATTATTCAAATTATCTGTAAAAATTGGGTTCCTTTAGGATTTATTCTTCTTTCTATTTGTAAGTGTCGCTACACTTATTGACACAATACCGGAATTCCGGAATTCTGCAAATGGTTTAAATTCCGGAATTCCATAAATTTCATTTAAAAGTATTTTTTTTAACACCATTGTTCGTAATTTGTATGTTACTATACCGATAATTGTTTTATAATGAGCCTTGTTACCAACCAAAAGCAACCTGTTGCTGCTGATATTCACATTACCGCACTCTTAGGTAGTAATCAAAATTAACATGCGCGTAACAGAAAGCCGCGGTACTCTCTTCGCTTCTGTCCAATGTCAACGTCGTGCGTTGTTTTCAACTAAGCATACTTGTATTATGATGTACTATTTCGTAACCATTTTGTTTTATTTTTAGAAAAAAATATTATCTTTACGGAACTACTGGGACATTTTCAAATTTAACACATACAGCAGACATACTGGAATCAAATGAGAATGACAGGTAAGTAATTACGAATTCAATCTATAAAGACTAATTATTATTATATACAATACTCATGTTTGCTTCGTTTTATTACCTAACTAACCTTTTCATTTTATTTTCAGAACTTTGAATGATTCTGAAAAAACACTTCTGGATTTGGATTTACCAGTAACCCTAACAAATACAGTCAATATTCTGAATTCAAACTATAGGTATATAAAACTAGTATCACGAAAGAATAATTAAAGTTTATAAGCCATGTAAATGTCATTTCACTGTTTTGTTTTATTCCTAATAAATCTGCATATACATACATTTTTATTTCAGTGAGGCTGTCGACCCCGAATTACATACGGAAAAGACATGTGAAGAAGATGCTTACGAACCAGTGCATGGTCGACGCATTATTGACATAAATTCGTTTTATAAGCAGATTCAAACCATATCCAACCATAATTCGTTGTTTGATTGCAATTTTTCACATATTTCATTATTAGGAGAAAGAAGAACTGGATTAATATCAAAATTTAAATTAAAATGTAACATGTGTCAAAAGGATTTCATCATCACAAGTGAAGACACATTAAATAACACGACGTTAATGTTAACATAGCTGCTGCTATAGGAATCACTTCTGCTGGTATTGGTTATTCCCAATTCGAAGAAATGACAGCATCCATAAATATTCCTATTTTTACAGAGGTCACATATTCAAGACTGCAAGACCAAGTATATGAAAAATGGGAATTAACAGCTGTGGATTCTATGGCGGTAGCAGCTAAGCGTGAGATAAATGCCGCAATAGCAGAAGGCAAGTTAACAAGAGACGGTATACCAGTGATAGATGTATATGCCGATGCATGCTGGTCAGCGCGATCATATGGAAATAATTATAAGGCACTATCCGGAGCCGCAGCAATAGTTGGACGTAGATTTGGTGAAGTCCTTTTTTTGGGTATCAAGAACAAGTACTGTCTTGTTTGTGCTCGAGCAGAGAAAAAGCAAACTGAAATACCAAATCACATTTGTTTTAAAAATTATACAGGGTCTTCAAGTGGCATGGAGTCAGAAATCATATGTCAAGGATTTGAAACGTCAATCTCAATGTATAATATTGTCTATGGCAGACTGATTGCTGATGGTGACTCTGCCACTTACGCGAAAATACTGGCACGTAATCCTTACCCGACGCACACAGTTAAAAAAATAGAATGTAGGAATCACGTACTACGCAATATGTGTAATAAACTGAAAACCTTGTCTACAGATACCAAATACCCCTTGGCACATAGAAAAACATTGACACAGGTTAAAATTTTGAGCATCCGTAAAGTCGTGCTTAAATCAATAGAAAAACATAAATTAGAAAAAGAGAAACCGGAAGCATTAGCAGGTTTTAGAAATGACGTACAAAATTCAGTTCGGCATGCCTACGGCGACCACGCTAAATGCAATAACTATTATTGTTTGAAAGAAAAGACAACACAGAGCCACATGGAAATAGAAAATACTTTGCTTTGGTTTAGGATGCAAACAATAATTCAATCAGTTGTTTCAAAATCGAAAAGCATGCTTGAGGACGTGGATACAAATACTGTTGAGCGTTTCAACAGTGTAATCGCTAAAATTGTAGGAGGAAAGCGAATCAATTTCTCACTTCGTCGAGGATATCAAGCACGCTGCAATGCAGCAGTTGTTTCTTTTAATAATCCGTATCCAAGACATCTACTTAAAAAAACAATATTAGGCAAAAGCCCAAAAAAATCTGTTTTGAAGAGATTTGAAGAAAGACGACTGGCAAAAAGAAAATTAAATAAAGAAAGGCCTCACCAAAAAAATAGAATGCTAAAGACAAATAATGTAATTCAAAACGATTATGGAGTTCAGAGTATTAAACCTGATTTATCACCACAAGAATTAAATATAGCCAAAGAAAATTTCCTTCAAAACCTGAAACAGTTAACTTCAGACAAGGAAAAAATACAGCTATCCACTTTCAATCAGAGAGATAGTGATGACTGGGTAGAGCTTAGAAAAAATATGATAACAGCATCAAATTTCGGATTAATAGTGAAAAGAAGGGAAAATACCAGCAAAGCAAAATTAGTGGAAAATATTTTATACAAATCGAACATTAATAACGTAGCGGCGATAGCCCATGGTGTGGAAAATGAAGGACTCGCTTTGAAACAACTTGCGATTCAAGAAAAAGTGGTCATTGCACCCTGCGGATTATTCATAGATGATGAATACCCTTTTATTGGTGCTACCCCCGATGGTTTAATAGGACAAGACACAATTGTAGAAATAAAGTGTCCGATAGTTGCATTTAAAAAAGGTCTGGACGAATCAATAAAAGATAACAAAATACAGATGTGGAGGTACAATAAAAAAACTGAACTTATTAATATCAATACAAATAGTAATTGGTATTATCAGATCCAAGGACAACTTCACGTGACACGAAGAAATAACTGTTTGTTTGCCGTTTGGAGTGGCGAAAATAAGGCTGTTAAAACTGAGTTGATTAGTAGAGATGATTTGTTTTGGGAAAAAAACATGAAGCAAAAGCTACTGACTTTTTACATGGACTGGTTATTGCCAGAAATTGTCGATTCTAGGCGAGCGAGGGGAATGCCACTAAGAGAATTGGAAAAAACAGATGATAGCACTAAAAATTACGATAACACGGAAAGAGAACCAACACCAAAAAGGCAACGAATAGATGAAGAACTCCTACCACCACACGATCACAACAAGGAAAATAGGCCTGTTTGCAGTAGACAGATATTGTTTGAAAACTTTTAATTTTTTTTAATTCTAAGAAAGTATTTAATTATATTTAATGTTAAGATAATTAAAAAGATTTCTTATATCCATTAATGATCTCCCTTATTTTACAAAGAACTGATGTGAGACAGTAT